TGCTGGAATCCAGGCTTCATCTAAAAACCCCATTACAGATGGAGTACATGGATCCATTCCTGGCACTGAAGTCCCAAGTGTCTGCAGCCTACATCCTGCCAGGTCCTGTGTCTCCCTGCAGTGCTGCGGTGCCCGACCAGTCACCAGTGCTCTATGCTCACAGTGAGACCAGCTTTGAAGTTTTTCAGAGCTGCCTTCAGATGACTTACAGAACTGTGAGGCCCCACGTTTTCCCACATCTTAATATTCCTAACTGTAAAGCCATTTTATGGATTAGGTTTGGCGGACGTTACATGCAAAGCCAGGGTGTCGGTGAGCTAGGAGCTGACCTCTGAAGACCTTCTATTCCTCAGATCTATTAAATCTCTCTAGAATAGAATTTTAAAAAATTGTATTTTTTCTAAAAGTCATATTCATGTAGATCTGCAAATTGACAGAAAATTACACATATCCCTTTTCAAAATGTAAAATGTCCATAATTGCAGTGGTAACCCCTCCCTTCTCTAATTACTGACTTTCTCTTGTGAAGAGTTGTCAATTTTATTGACTATTTCAAAGACTATTTTTTGTTTTGTTAATCAAGTCTACTGCTATTTTTAGTCCTTCATCTTAAGATTTTTACTTTATTCTGTCCTGCTTTTTCTGGTTTTATATAGATAATTTTGTCTGGCTTTTGGAGTAAAACACCAAGTTCATTTATTTTTAATATTTTATCTTATACATTTAAAACAAAATATTTACCAAGCATATATCTGCACATCAAACAATGTTATAATTGTCTAACTTCCAATTTCCATCTGATTCACAAAGATCATTTTATTCAGATTAAAATTTCACATTTGTTAGTGTGATGATTAATGTTACCAATTTAAGAGAATCTAGAATCCCTTTCTCCCTCCCTCCTTCCAGGCTGTGTGTAAGTGCCATGTGTAAGTGGAGAAAGTAAGATGAGCACTAACAAGCATCCATCACTTTCTGCTTCTTGAGTCACTAGGGATACAGTGAGATCAGTTCCTGCTGCCTCAACTTCTCCACAATGATGGACTGTGTACTCTGGAACTGTGAGCCAGAGCAGGCCCTCTTCTCCTTAAGCTGCTTTTGTCCTTAGTATTTTTTCATAGCAACAGAAGATGAAGCTAAGGCAGTTGGGCTAATTTTTCTCATCCTCTAGGCATTTGTTACTGCAGGTCTTCCTCATGGGCTCCATGGATCTGATTCTTCCCCATATCTGAGTCCTCTGAGCATAGCTAGCTGGCAGTGTGAGAGGCTGAGCTCACACCTAATGGAGTTTAAAATGTAAAGATTAATACAAGATGCTGATGATCCTGTAATTTGGTTTCAAAGAGTATTTGCTACTGTTCCTATCTTTATCTATCCTGAAAATGAATGTCTCCCAGCTAATCCTCAGCTTTGGTATCATTTTCCTTTGAGATGTCTGGTCCTCCATGTTGGGGCTGGGCTGCTCACTGGTGACCCACAGAAGAGGCTCACGCTGGCTGTTCTTCCCTCTTCAACAGTATCTCATCCTCAATGTCAGACTACAGTGTGAAGTTCTATTTAACACTAGTACTGCTGCTCATCTGAGAAATTCTGACACAGCAGGCCTGTGATACAGCCCAGCACTTACCTTTTAGAAGATTTCCAGAAAGAATTCTAATGTACAATCAAGTTGAAAACCAGTTTTAACAAATGTAAATTAAAATATATACATAGTAACAATTAAAGAAATAGAAGACATGAATTTCAGAGAGCAATGGGAGTGGTACATAGGGCTGTGGTGGGTTGGGGGATCATTATATTAGATATTTTCCTGCTGTGGTAATAAAAACACCATGACTGTCTTAAGTTAGGGTTCTATTGCTGTGAAGAGACACCATGGCCACAGCAACTCATATAAAGGAGAGCATTTAATTGGGGTTGGCTTACAGTTTCAGAGGTTTAGTTCATTATTGTCTTGGCGGGAATCCGGGCAGCACACAGGCAGACACGGTGCTGGAGAAGGAGCTGAGCGTTCTATATCATGATGTGTAGGCAGCAGCAGGAGACTACCCACTAGGCCTAGCTTGAGCATATTAGATCCCAAAGCCCTCCTCCACAGTGACACACTATCTCCAACAAGGCCACACCTCCTAATAGTGCCCTCCCTGTGGACCAAGCATTCAAACACATGAGTCTATGGGGGCCATTCCTATTCACACCACCACAATGACCAAGGGAAGTTAAGAAGGAAGGGTTCACTTGGACTTACAGCTCCAGAGGGATGAGAGTCCATCACCACTGTGGGCAGGGAGCATAGGAATAAGCAGGGCACGGAAGCAGCAGCTGAGAACTCACATCCAGATCCACAAACAGGGAGCAGAAAGAACGCTGGGGATGACGGGAAGCTTTTTAAGCCTCAAAGCTCACCCCAGCAACATATCTCCTCCAACAAGACCACACCTTCTAATCCTTCCCAAACAGTCCCAACAAATATTCAAACATATGAACCAATGGGGGCCATTCTCATTCAAACCATCACAATTATGTAATTATATTTTAAAGGTTAAAAAATTAAATTTAAATTAAATACTAACTACTGTACAAATACTCATTCCTTGACAATCACATTCTTTAAAATCCTCTCAGCCCCTGTGTTCTCATTCTCACAAAGCAACAAGACAAACATCCTCTGCTTTCATTATCTCTAGGTTTCTCCAGTACTTGAATCAATGCCTTGGTTCTCTCTCCACCCTTGGATCCTGAAAACCCTGCAGTCCTGCTTCTGTGCACACCACACTACTCTTTCTGACACAACCCTGAATGTCTCAATAACTACAAGTCCACTCAACAAACAGCACATCACACTCCATTATCTTTTGGGTTCTACTCTTAAACACTAACTGCAATGGGAAAAGTTCACAAGAACTTCTGTCCTAATGGAGCTTATATCTTAAAGGAGAAAAGAAAACATAAATTGCACACTGTGGTAAGAAATCAGTGTTACAGAAAAACTGAGTGTGAAGAGGGGATCAGGAGTGTCAGGTAGCAGATGTAGAAATATTTATGCTGGTGGCTCACGAGGGCATTGGGCATTTATACAAATTCTTGAGGAAATGAACAAATATCCCAAGAAACTTATGCACAAATCAAAAACAACACTGCTATGTCCTTACTGAATTGCTAGCACCTGAGACATGTCTAGAACACAACACAGCACAAACTAAGATACTATTTATTATGTATGTTACGTTAGGAGGGCAAATGTCATCACACTTACTATCACTTTTCTTTCTACATGTTTAGAGGGGAAACTTCACAGGTTTGGTGGGATAGCAGGACGACCCTCTCCCCCATCAGACTCCTAACCAACAAGGAGAACTTCATAGAGAAGGGCTGGATACAGCTGGGGGGCAGATGGCTCCCCCTTCACAGTGCAAACTGAGCTCTGCAGATTATTGGAAAGAAAGGCACGATCCATTTGCTCTTATCTTTGCATTGCCATTCTGTGCTCACAACAACTAGGCCTAGCTTGAGCATATTAGATCCCAAAGCCCTCCTCCACAGTGACACACTTCCTCTGTTTCTGTTACAGTGAAGGTCTGCAATCACTACCATCCTTAGAAAACAATCTTGTATCAAGAAAGCCGTCTGGAACCCAGGGACAATGTACTAAATAATCAAGTATTCCGAATATTTTTGTCTCCAGCTTCCCCAGATCCTAGAAAACCTTCTCCTCTCAAAAGATCAACTAAACACATTTGCTGTTAAAATTAAGCCTAAGTGAGACACATGCACAGGAAATAACTCTTAACTATGATCAAGGCTGGGGACACAGTTTAAATTCACTGAATACTGTGTTGGAGAGCATTGGTTCTCAACTGATGTTTAGGACAATTTTCTTTCTTTCTTTCTTTCTTTCTTTCTTTCTTTCTTTCTTTTTTTCTTTCTTTTCTTTTTCAAGATAGGTTTCACTGTGTAACAGCCCTGGATGTCCTGGAACTCACTCTCACTCTGTAGACCAGCCTGGCCTTGAATTCACAGAGATCCACCTGCCTTTGCCTCCTTAGTGCTGGGATTAAAGGTGTGTGCCACCACTGCCCAGCTAAGACAATTAATTTTTAAAAACAAGCTTTTAAATTGGGTATGGTGGAGTATGTAGAGGCAGAGGCAGGTGCATTTCTGAGTTGAAGGCCAACCTTATCTACATAGTGAGTTCCAGGATAGCCAGGGTTACATAGAAAGACTCTGTCTCAAAACAATTAAATAAAAATAAACTAAAAATTAAACAAATGGGGTATTTTAATGTTGCTTTTGGGTTGGGGATGTGGCTCAGCTGGTAGAGTATTTGCATAGGACCTAGGATTCAGTTCCCAGCACTGCATAAATCAGGTGTGATGGTACATCTATAATCCCAGTACCCAGGCATGGAGGCAAAAAAAAAAAAAAAAAAAACCAGTGTATCAGAGGACCTCAAGAATACAGAGACAACAGAAGGTGTGAGTGTTAATCTTAGTTTGTCAACTTGATTGGATCTGGGGTTAGCTAAGGCATGTGTCTCTGGGCAGGTCTGGGAAGGTATCTCTCAGGGTCATCTGGGGGAGTGGCAGAGACCCTTCCCCCCAGGGGGGCTGCCACCAAAAGGTACAGATTTAAATACAGATCTAAAGCCATGAGGGAAAATCGATGCTGCTTCTGCCTCCACCTTCATCCCCTGCTGGTGAGCACGTCAACCCCACTCCTGCCTCCTTCACTAACACTGGAATCTCCCTTTTTTGGCCTTCAAAAGTTTGACAAGGATCAGCAGCTCTCTGGAGTCCTCTAGGCCACCAGCGCCAGACTGGGACTCATTTACTGGGCAGCTCCTGGTCCTCCGCCTCTCTAGGGTGAAGACAGCCATAAGGACTACCCAGCCCTCACCATGTCAGCCAATCTAATAAATCCCCCTGTAGCATAATCCTATCGGTTCTGTTCTTCTAGAGAATCTAACAGAAGGGAAAAACAAGTTTGCAAAGAAGTCAAAGTATCTGAGAAAAGTATAAATATTTATTTTGTCTTTCTTCGGTTTAAGTAAAATTTAAATTATACAATTACATGCAGAGACTAAGAAAACATATCGGGCACATTTCTATTTCCTCTTAAAGGATGACAAGGCGCTTGCTGCTTGCTCCAGCTCTGTGCGCACAGACTCTACTCACAGTGAAAACTGAGCTCCTAGAAACTCAAAGCTGCCTAAAGCGAAGCGTTACTGAGAGCCCGGTTCAAGGACAGGAGTGAGGAGATGTACCCCACTAACTTGGAGCAGAGGCTTCTTCAGAGGAGACCGTCTGAGAAAACTATGCTGGAAGCTTTTGGACATCCTACTTGTAAAGCTACACAGTGCAAGCAAAGTAATGAGGAAGGGTGTGCTGTGAAGACAACCACAGCTGCGGGGTGTGCAGAAAACGTTTCCTTGCAAGGTGAGTGTTGCTTCCCCACAGCTTAACAGGATCATTTTCAGCATCTGGTTGTTAATAATTTCCCCAGGATTCAACAGACAAGGGCAGTAAATGAAATCACAAAGCCACATCTAATGCATTAGAAAAATAACAGACACTGCACTGGCTGTCACTTTGTTCAAGTCTAGCTTTGTGAGGGACTCTATGCCCTCCACTGTCCTGTAATCACCTAGCTAAGCTTGCACGGTATACCTCGAAGGTCAAAGGTGTGTACTAACTATGGCTTTTATTAGCAGTGTGTAAAGTATATGAAAAAGTATCAGACGCTGCCTAACCTCTGTACCTGCTTCCACTGACAGATGAACTAATAGGCACCAAACAGGCAACAACATGGCTTCCACCTACGTCACTAAAGGCTGGTGTTTCAACGTTTCAAGTGGGAAGAGCTATTAAAAGAAAATGGTTACTACTCAGTTTCTGGACATTTCCCATAAAGGCAAAGCAAATGTGAGTTTTATTATTGCAGAAAAGTTACTTTTTCCTCTTCATAAACCTTTTTGCTTCTTTTAAAAGCTCTTCCACATCTTCCTTCTCTTCGTCATCCTTTTCTGGCTGCCAGTCAGAATCCTCATCTGTCGGCTCGTATCCTTCTTCCTCGTCATCGTCTTCCAGAAAGCTGTCGTTCAGGTCATTCTCACTGGGGTGCCCACCGTCATCATTATCTTTATCTCGGACTGAAAAACAGCGTATTGCAAACAACACATCAACCACTACAACTGGGGTTAGGGATATCTGTTGGAAAATGTCTCCCTGTGGCATGAATTAATTAATCTTTAGCTTACTACTTTGAGTGTTAGAACTGGCTGTAGCAGGATTTCTCTTTTGGGCCACCAACCATGACACGGAGACTTCTTATTAGTTATGAATGCTTGGCCTCCTCTTAGCTCTTATTTTATTCTGTTCCCTTGATCTATGTTTTGCCTCGGGGCTCTTTACCTCTCTTTATATCTTACTTTCCTGCTGTCTCTATGTCTGGCTAGCTAGCACCTGCCTGGCTTCTGACCCTGGGTGTGTCCCTCTCTTTTTCCCTTGTTCTCATCTCTCTCATTCTTCTCTCTCTCTCTCTCTCTCTCTCTCTCTCTTTCTCTCTCTCTCTCTCTCTCTCTCTCTCTCTCTCTCTCTCACACACACACACACATAAACACACACCTAGATTTCTCCTCCTACTTATTCTCTCTGCCCTCCAGCCTTACCTACCCTTTCTCTGCCTAGCTATTGGATGTTCTGCTTTTTATTAGACCAATCAGGTGCCTTAGGCAGACAAGGTGAAACAGCAACATCTTTACATAATTAAACAAATGCAACAGAAACAAATGTAACACACCTTTACATAGAGTAATACTTCACAGCATAAACAAATGTAACACATCTTTGCCCAGTTAAAATAATATCCCACATAACAATGGGCACTAAAGTGATCATTTGTTTATTAGTCTAACTGTCCACACTGTGAGGTCCCTGTGACTAACTTGGCTCATGAGAATCAAATAGAGGGTCCCTAATAACACCATGCTGCCAGACCTTCACCCCAGTCAGCTATGTTATGCCCTGCCCCTTCCTGATAGGATTACTCTGCTGCCTCTGACTCCCAAGTGCTGGGATTAAAGGCATGCACCACCACTGCGCAGTTTAGTTAGTTTGTTTGTTTTTTAATGTGCCAACACATTTGGAAAAGCAGCTTGTAAACATCTGCCGCACTTTATCACACCACTGCATCAGGCTCTCTGACAGCTTTTAAATGTCATCAGAAAGTAAGACAGCTAGGGATATGACAGCATTTTCCTTGCACTGATTTCTCTTGCATTCACTGTCTTGTGCCAAAGCTCTAGCACTCTGAAAATGTGTGGAACGCTAGTAAGGGCTCATGTTAGCTAGACACAGAAGAAACGTGGCAGGTGGCAACAGAACAATACACAAGCAATGCAAACCCTTAGCTGCAACATGTAGAAAATCTATGGACCCAGCATTTCAGAAGGGCTACAAATGAGAAGTTAAATACTCAGCCTCTAGTGTGGTTGCTTTAATGCTGATACTATGCTATATTACATTATCTTATGTGGTCATGAGTGTCCACCTGTTTAACTTTTTAAAAAGAAAAAAAAAGGGACCTAGTTCTTTCTTCATGTTTCTACTATGTGGAGTGTCATGGCCACTGTCCTGATCACCTGCACTATAGTCCAAGGTTTGCTGTTTCCCTTCTCTCATGCTGGCCTCCATTCCATGGCACATCAATTAGCAAGTCTTACTGATTCTTTCAAGGTCTCTTAGCTTTGGGGTACTTCTCATATCCCTGTGACCCTTTTCACACAGAAAACACATGACACATGAAAAAGTTAGTGTTCGAAGAAATGGATCTACACATACATGAGATTAGGATCTGGGTAATGATAAATGTTAAGCATTTGGGAGATAAGAAACTGTCAGAATTCTGTCTTAGATATCTCTGAATTAGGAAATATGAGACCCTAACATTTAATTTGCCATTTAAAGTATTCAGACCCACAAGTTTTAGAGGAAAAAAAGATGTGCTGATTACATCAGCACACAGAGATTCCCAAGCATTCACAGAGTTGCTCCCTGCTTACAGATGTTCTAAGATCTCCACTGGGAGCTAGAAAATCCAGCCAAATCAGTGAGCTACAGGTTCAATGGCAGACCCTGTCTGAAAACCACCAGACATGGAACACACACACACACACACACACACACACACACACACACACACACACACACACAACACACACCTAGGATAAAGCCTGATTTGTAATTGGGCACATTAAGAGATTAATAGCAACAATAATGAAATGGAATAAACAAAACAACAGTAGTTAAAAGCTTATGAGTTACTGATTTTATAACTTTTCTTTTTGTTTTGTTTTGTTTCGAGACAGGGATTCTTTGTAACTTGGTCTGTAGACCAGGCTGGCATCAAACTCACAGCGATCTTCCTGCCTCTGACTCCCAAGTGCTGGGGTTAAAGGTGGCTGCCACCAAAACCCAGCTTATTTTATGACTTTTCTATTTGCCAACTTCAGACAAATACTGACTACAAGTAATTGAAACAGCAGGAAGTGATTAAGGCTACCTAGTTAAACAGTGATCTACATGTATGTGCTTTTGTGCTGCTAATATGAAAAAGTAGCTGTCCAGTAAAAAAAATCTTTAAACATTCACTGTTGAATATTGTAATTACATTATAATCTCAAAAATTATTTTAAATTCACAGATCTGAAGTATATTCTTCATTTAGAAAACACTTCAACAAAATCCCAACAAACTTTGCAAAGAGTATTCAGACATTTTAAATTATGCTCTATGATCTATATTGATATCCTTTAGGTAAATAGCTCCTATTTCTATAAAGATACACAAATGTCTTTATATGGGACAATATATTGGCATAATTTGCCAATAAAATACAGTTGAATAAAATATTACATATTGCTGGAAAATCATTAAATCCAACCCAGTAAAGAGATTCTGTCATACATAACAGCCTCTAGACCCTGCTAGCCAAGACAAAGGGGGTACATTTATGTCTCGAGTGCTAACACACTGCAGTGATCAATAATGAAGAGACTCTCGGTGGATTCTCTCACTGTGAGTCATCTTCTTCACTTTGACACAGCTGACTTGCTATGTAGACACAGTACTATAGAACACAGTGCTGACAGCATACGCTTTATTCTCCCTCCTCGGGGGTAGAGATAGTATTTTCTGATTTGGTCTCTGCATTATATACAAAACCCAAAGAAGCTGAAGTTTACTGAAAGGAAAATTCTTTTTTTTTTCTAGGAAAATTCTTAAAGAGCTCAAAAACATGTAAAACAAAGGTTGACTGAACAGCTAAAGTTTTACACTCTAACAGGAATGTCCACGGTCCCAGTGGTACTGGAGAAGGTTCACATAGCAATCACCAGCTACAGCGATTGGTTCAAAGGGAAGAATTTGGTCTAGGCTACCTGAAGGAGGGAAATTCACCATTTCTTCTAAGAAACGTGAATCAAATGTTGTTCATTCTTTCTTCAGATGTCAGCACTGATTCTACTGTCCCAGCTTAACAAGGGTGTAGAAATTCCTCGAGTTGAGAGGAAATACCTTGAGAAGGAATAACCCTCTGACACAGATTGATGAAGGGAAACAGGGACATTACGGACAGTAATAATGAACCAACACAAAAAGCATTGTCCAAACTAGCCCCTGCCCTCAGGCTGTTCTGGTACAGAAGTCAGTATGCTTCCATCATTGCTCAGGCACAAGACGCCCAACAGACATGGGAAAACCAGACTGCTGGGCTATGATGGGGAAAAGCATTTGCTACATACAAGCTTATAATTCTTTCATTTATTTGGGACAGGGAAGTATGCTGCCCAGGCTGGCCTCAGACTTGAGGCAATCCTCCTGCCTCAGCCTCCCAAGTATTAGGATTCCAGGTATGAGCTATCATACTCAGCTTCTGAAAATTCATTATAATCAACTATAATCTCATTAAAAATAACCTAAGAGAATCATTCAAATCAGCAACAACAATTCACAAAGCAACAATATTTTCTAAATAACTGGCTTAATGGGAGAATTCTCTCAGGTTTCTTTTGAGTTTACTCAAGTACAGTTACTTACCCGGAAGTGCACTGTGTCTGTATTCCATCTTGTGCTGGGGGTTCTTCCTTAGAAAGAAAAGGAGGTAAAAATTGGATAGAGTTCTCCAAAGACTGAAAAGCGCTGAGACGATAAAGTAGCATGTTCAGTAACCCTCTAATAAAGTCTGGACCCAAGAAGCACCTTATGAAAGGACTTGTCCCTATTCCCTGCCCCCTCTCCCCTTCTTTCCAGTCCTCTTCCTCCATCACCATCGTCCCCGCCATCAGCTTGGCATCAGGCACTCACGCACTACTCTGCCGGGCAGTATTTGTCTTTCGTTACAGTATCTACTGAGTGTGAATCCCACTCCAGGGCTAGTGTTTTGAAACTCAAGAAACTGCAGTATAGAGAGAGGGCCCGTGAATGAATGAACTGGATTTAAGAGCTTCATAATAACCAGATGATTAAATCTTCCACTTATAAGTTACGGCACTGTTTAAAAATGCTCTTTTCTATCAGCTAAAACATGTAACTTTGTTAAAATGGTTCCTAATAAAATTACACCTTTAATATACTATGTTTTTTCTCTTCTGTACCTCTGAAACTACTAAATAAAATGAATAATTTCTGATTATATGGAAGCATCTGATTTATAAACAGTTGTTTCCTGGTTTTTAGCATTACCTAATATTTTATATTTGCTCCAAGCATTTTCCTTATTCCAGGCAATTGGAAGTCATTATAAAAACACAACTTTAAATTAAGTAATGAGATTTAGAAAATACATCATGTAAGCTGTAATGAGTTTTATTTGATTTTAGATAACTTAGTTAAATTATAGCTAACTTGACTAGCATATTGACCAACACAAATAAAAAACAAGCATAGTAGAGCTCCCTACCCACTCAAGAGCAATAAAAATTTGATTTTAGAAACTCCCACCATAAGACATCCTCTACAGACTCTTAAGAAAAGTAAAAACTCTATAGATGGGAATATCACTATTGAAAGGAGGGCTAGTGTTAACACGAGGAACACCTGATCAGACTCCTGGCCCAAGCACCCTCTGGAAAGCTGAGCTTCAGTTTCCCTGTCTAAAGGGCCAACAACAGAGCCCACACGAAGATGAGGTTGCAGCGTGGTAGAGGAGAGGCACTGTCAGTATCCATTCCAGAATCAGTCAAACTACTTCTGCAGGCCAGCCCTGTGCCAGGTGTCTGTGGCATTCCTTGATGCTAGTATCTCTTTTTTCACAACTTTTCCTGTGGGTGAGCATTAAACAGTGCAAGAGGCAACTATGCAGCTAATTAGGGTCATAACTCAGCAGGCTTGAGGGCTGGAAACCAGTCTATAGAAGACCTCGTGGTTGGGGCAATTAACCTAACCCTGACCTTCTACTGGACGGAAACTTTAAGCTTGAGAAAAAATGAGCGAGACAACTGGCATGGGCTCCAGGGAGCTGCCCCAGAAAAGCTTCAGCAAGCCTTCCCTGATGAACACGCTGGTGCAAGCAGCTGACTTGTAGATTCAGTTCTCGTTGAAAGGACACTCAGTGCCAAGCATTGGAGAAGAAGAAATTGAAAAAGGCAATGACACCAGAGAGCTTCCTCCTTTATCCAGGAAAAAGACTACTGTGCAGCTGAGGATTTTGTTAGGGTTTTATTTAAAAATTTTCAAACCTACAAAAATGAAAACGTAGGCCACTAACACATGTTCCTCTCCTCTCCTTTACCCTCCCTTTCCTTCCTTCCTTCCTTTCTTCCTCCCTCCCTCCCTTCTTTTTCTTTAGAAGTTCTGGGGATCAAATTCAGGGACTTGAGCATGCCAGACAAGTACTCTAACCACTGAACTACAACCCAGCTTATAAGTATCATTTTCTTCATGGACCACTTATCGTTTTATTATTATCTGCAGTCACCTGAAACCTGAAGTGTTTTTTTTTTTTTTTTTTTTTTCTTTTTCCTGTGAACATGTTTGTTTTAGGCACCAAAAAGTCTTTTTCCCCCTTAATAATAGTTGAGCAAGATCATTGAAAAGTTAAATATGGTCTTAGCTGTTTATTATTGGAGTGTCTTTCAAAATCTGGTTTAGAAATTTCAAGTAACTAAATATTGGGCTTTAAAAACAAGTGAAGGAACTGAGCGAAAAGCTAAAGGCTAGCTGATGTGAGCTGGCAGGCTAAGGGGTGAACAGGACTTAACTTCCAGAGGGAAGACAAAGACGCAGTGTCATAAGATGGGCGCAGTGACCAGCACTGTGGCTCCACAGTCATTCCTGTATCTGGTCCCCCACCCTCCCTTCCCTGGGCCTCTCCACTGGATGGCTCTGAGGGAAAGCAGCTTCCATTTCCTCTTTGATCTATCTTCACAGGGTTCTCTGCAGTGATGACTCACACTCCTTCCCTGGTAGCTTGACCAATGCTGCAGGTCAACACCCAGTGGTTCAGCACTGATTCCTCTAGTGGGTTCCTGAAGACAGGACAACACAGGGATCTCTGACTCCCAAAGCCACAGACTCAAACAGGAACCTTTCAATGCCTCCACCCCACCCCAGTCACTGTGACAGGAGACCGCCTCCCCAGCACCTACGTGCTGTGTGGACTCCAAGACACATGTCTGGCTAAATGGAACCCACTCGGTACTGAGTCCACTGTGACCCATGGATAACACCATGCTGACTGAGGAAACAAGAAAGGCTGCTCACTCTCAACTCGCTCATTATTATAATGTGTGACATCTCAGAGCAATAAGGCAAATAATAGGGGAAGAGGAAGTCAAACTACCCCTCTTTGTGGTATGGCCCTCTCTTTAAGAGACCCTACACCTCCACTAGAGGACTTACAGTGGAAAGTTTCAGCAATGTATCAGGATATAAAATTATCACCAAAAGAGCAGCTTTTCTACCAACAGTGAACCCGTAGAAATGAAGTCGGGAAAATAGACTGCTCACAGCAGCTGTAAAAGTACCTAAACATCACCAATGTGGAAGAGACAGACAGCTCTCACTTACATGACCATTTGTATGGCTTTTCCAGGGAGGAAAAACTTACATTTTAAGACAGAAAAAGCTGACATGATTAAAGAAAAAAGACAAATATACAAGTTATGAGATTTAAAAATTCAGAAGAATTTTTGGTACTGAGTAACAAAAACAGAATAAAATTGGCGAGGATGTGTAATACCATAACATATACAAACAGAATACAAATGTAAGTGCCCTGGTATGTTCAATAACAACAGGCCACATACAACAATTTACAGTGGCCAGCAGATTCAGTCAGTAATATGTACTCAAAATTATCTAAAAAAAAAAAAAAAAAAAAAAAAAGGCTGTCTGCACTAAAGTTCTTTAGGTCTATGATAATTTTCTTTTTTAGTTTGATTAAATTCAAGTCTATTCACTCATTAATCAAGGTTTCAAAATACCAAGAATCCTTTCTGTGGATGTAATATGCTTACTGCCTCATTGGGGAGACATTCCGGTGAGGAAAGAGTGTGGTGTGCAGAGGTCTACTCTGCCTGATAGAGGGGAGGGTGACAGTGAGGATGTGCAGAGAGGAGGCTCTGCCTGACACGGGAGGGCGACTATTGGGAGCCATTGTCATAATAACAAGCAGATAGCAATTAATATTCCAGGTGTTAACCCACCAGGAAGAGACTCTGATGGGAGACCCTGTTAAGCAAGGCCACAAGGTTACAGATGCTGGAATATCTTTTGCTTCTGTGTGTAATTTCACATGTGCTATTTCAGTTTTTCCTAGCAGCTGTGGGGAACCCCCACTGCCTGTATCTAGTGCATGTGTATCTCATATCCATCCTGATTTACTGAGCATTTGTCAAGAATTGACTCCTCCTTAAGCTGTATTATCTAGTTGATACAAATAATGTCAACTTATACAGAGTTTTGATGAATAAAAATGAATACAAAGAGATGCTATTGAAGTCAGGGCTTATAAGTTCCCCTTAAAAGCTGTCTTGGATTACAGTTTAGCCTGACACTAAGAAAACAGCTGTATTTTCCAAACTGCTAAGATAGCTGATATAAAACTTCAAAGTAGCTTTAGATCAGACCAGGTGCCTTGCTAACTAATGGTCTTTAAGATAAACTATCCCCAGAAAAGAAGCAGCCCTAGGACATAGACAAGCTGTTTCATCTGTTGACCCAAGGAAGCAACCTAATTGCTGTCTCCTTGCTAGTTCTGGCTGATAACCTAGGACAATGATTAACTCTCTGCACAAATTCCTAGCCTCAGTTTTATAGTGTTTGTTCAGACACACCATGAGGAAAGATTCTCTAACTGGCCAGGGCTACAAAAACTAAACTAACTTCATAGCCCTGAGAAAGAGTTACAAGTTTCCCTTTTTATGGTCAAGGGTTACACACAGGACAGGAAAATAGATTTTAAATTTTAAAATGCTTTCAATGTCACTGTGCCTTGGAGAGTGCTGAGCAAGCTTATTGGGGGGAGCACCTCTCGGCCGCTCTGCCCAGGGTGGGGGAGCACCACCTCTCAGCCGCTCTGCCCAGGGTGGGGGAGCACCACCTCTCAGCTGTACCACAGCTCTTCGATGCATTCTCCCTGATGAGATGACACATCTCTCTGCCCAACATTTTTACAATTGTTAATCACAAAATGTTAGTTTAAAATGTTTATACACTTGGAAGTATAGGATATAGCACACAATTTCCTTATTTCTCTTAGACTCCTTAGTAGTTTAGTTTTGTAAGACTACCCCTATAGACTTCTCTTTTTTACAGCTGCCCACCAATTAGGGAGTTGACTGAGACAGGTTATCTGGATTTATTGCATGTGAGTCTGCCAGGAGGACTCTGTTCCTTATCATTTACTTAGAAATGAAGCATGACCTTCAAATGCCTGAAAGGTTTTGTGGGTATTTAAGCTGTGAAGAACAAAGAAACTTGGGAACATCACGAGAGAAACATGTATGAGAGAATTAGAAGGAAAACATTAAGAGTAAAGACAAAGCTAGAATGAGACATAGAACAGAGAAGGCAGAGAATGCAACTTGAGAGAATAAAGAAGGAACCCATCAGGATAGGAGCTGAGAGTGTATTTTTCCTAACCCCTCAGATAAAAAAGTTTTAGTGCTCCAATTCCATGGATTTCTTTCATGCTCTGAGTGTGGTCTAGAGCTGGCTCTTCATAGTCCTCGGTAGGTGACAGTGTGGACGTGCAGAGGGGAGGCTCTGTCTGTCACAGGGGAGGGTGACAGTGTGGACATGCAGAGGGGAGGCTCTGTCACAGGGGAGAGTGACAGTGTGGACATGCAGAGGGGAGGCTCTGTCACAGGGGAGAGTGACAGTGTGGACATGCAGAGGGGAGGCTCTGTCACAGGGGAGAGTGACAGTGTGGACATGCAGAGGGGAGGCTCTGTCACAGGGGAGGGTGACAGTGTGGACATGCAGAGGGGAGGCTCTCATGTTTTCAGCTGCCACTGAGTTCTGGGCATTAGCAAGAGGGGTGGATTAGTGGGAGTTGGGGAAGCTGACAGAAATGGAGATAACATCCCCAACTGACTTACATATCACATCTCAGTGTCTTCACAGAGTATGCATTGGAGTGTCTTATAAGTTAATCTGATTGTATTTTACACAAAAATACAGAAAACTTCAGGTACTTATAAGATTGTTAACAATTTAGAATTATCTGAAAGAAAATCTGTGTTCTACATAAATGTAATGTAAACTATGCTACAGACTTAAGATAGGGAGCTGCTCAAGTCACTCAATTTCACCTGGCTAGTAAACAGTTAGGAAAGAGTGTAGCCACATGGCTCAGTTTCCTTACCTGTAACAAGATGCCCCATAGGGACACTCAGGCCTGTCACCAGTTTCACCTTCATCTGTGACTTGTATGTCTCCATAATCACTATCACCAGGGTGGCTGAAGTGTTGAAAATGGAGAGGATTCTTCCTGTGAGGGTGATAAACATACCATCGGAATAAAAAAATAACAGGAAGTTATGGGTTTATAGTGGCTGTAGAGTGAAACCAGAAGGGAACTAAACGCTATGTTGATGATATAAATACAGATGGCATCCCTAAGACATGTTGTTGACCAACCTGACATAGCTGTTGGAAACAGTCCACAAATGGAGTCCTGTGCAGAGAATTCTGGGTGCTTGTGAGAAAACTCCAAAAACACAAGAGTCTTATGACCTCAGTTTCTTTAAAACACAGGCTTGTTCTTAGAATGTGTGTTCATGCTCCTCCCAGGTGCAGCAGATAGGAGTGAGTTCACTCCAGTTTACTCATTATTGCTTGCTGCTCTTATTTCAATTAGATGTTTAAACTATCCTTTATATGCCACTATGGAAAAGCATGTTTCCGTATGTGGCCTGTCCTTGTAATTGTATACAGCTTGAACTCCTGAGAACTTTACTCGTGCATGTAACCTTTCTTAACCCTCAGAGTATAAACTGCCTGGGAATCTGAATAAAGCTGGCTATTGATGAGACTTCAGTCCACCTCATTTACCCTCTCCATTCTCACATGTCCCAATGCCTCTAGAGGTGACATCTACTCAGCACAGGACTCCTAGGGAAACAATCAAGTCTAGTGTCATAAGAGAAATTGTGTACAAAAAGATGATTTGCAAACATTATATTATTCATGTAGGTATGCAACAAATATAAGCACCTACAGCCTTTGAAGATTTCTGTATCCTACACTAAGATAAAAACATTACCAAAGTTCTAGAAAGACCCATGTTTCGTTTCTAATCATTAAACTCATTTGAGTACACAAAGTATACTATCATGTCTTCTAAAAGCATTTTTCAAACTCTTTGGTTCAGGCTTCTCTTCTAGTCTTAAAATTTATTACTAGAGTTTAAGAGCCATTTCTTTATGTGGTGGGTTTACCCTGAGAGAAATTTAAAGTGAGAAATCAGAAAAGTACATTTATTTATTTAAAATAATAGTAACACACATTTTCACATATTATAAATAACATGCTTTAATGCTTTAAGAGCTTTTTAAAAACCCACTTTTGCATTTGTGTGTGTGTGTGTGTGTGTGTGTGTGTGTGTGTGTGTGTGTGTGTGTGTGTGTTTAAGCATCAGCACACATGTGGAGGTCAGAGGACAACTTTTGAGTGCTGTGGAATAATCCTTCTGTACACTATGTGTTGCTCTCATTGCTAATAAAAAGCTGATTGGCCAATAGCTAGGCAGAATTTTCAGGGCAGAGAGAATGCTGAGAAGAAGAAGGGTAGAGTCTCGGGAGTCACAAGGAGATGAAGAGGGAGCAAGACATGCTGAAGGAGATGGCACAAGCCACATGGCAATACACAGATTAATAGAAATGGGTTAATTTAAGTTGTAAGAGATAGTTAGTAATAAGTCTGAACTATCGGCCAAGCATTTATAACTAATACTAAGCCCCAGGCTGGTTATTTGGAAGCAGCTGCAGGGACACAGAGCAACTCCACCTTGTTGTAGTTCATTCTCTCCTTGGCCTATATGTATTTTAGGGATCTAATTCAGGTCATCAGGCTTGATGGCAAATGCCTCTACCCATTGTCTTAGATTTCTGTTGCTGTGATAAAATACCATAACCAAAAGTAACTTGGGGAAAAAAGGATTTGTTTTCACTCACAAGCTTAGACCACACTCCATTACTGAGGGAAGTCAGGGCTGAAACCTGGAGGCAGAACCTGAATTAGAGGCCATGGACAAATGCTGCTTACTGGCTTACTCACTTCTCAAGACTTTCTTGCACAACTCAAGACCACCTACACAGGGTTGACATGGCACACAATATGCTGGGCCATCCCACAGCAATTAATCAAGAAAATGTCCCATGGGCTTGCCAACAGCCCAACCTCATGGAGGCATGTTTTTTTCCCAAGTGAGGTTCTCTACTCTCAGATGACTCTAGCTTTTGTCAAGTTGACAATATAATAATAATAACAATAATAATAATAATAATAATAATAATAATAATAATAAATCTATCCATCACAGGCACTGAGCCATCCCACTGGCCCTTATTTAACTCTTTAGCGCCAATAAAAATTCATGGAGATATAATACATGCTTAAGAAAAGGTGTCTGGACTCGGGAGGCAGAGGCAGGTGGATCTCTGTGAGTTCGAGGCCAACCTGGTCTCCAGAGCGAGTGCCAGGATAGGCTCCAAAGCTACACAGAGAAACCCTGTCTCGGAAAAAGAAAAGAAAAGAAAAGAAAAGAAAAGAAAAGAAAAGGTGTCTGGCTTTTCCTCCTTGTTCTGCAGTTGATCACTAACAACCACAATGCTCTGTGGTCTCTACTGCATGCTTATGAGAATTACATTCTAAATACTATAACATCTGCAGGAAAATGGATGGAACTGCAAATCATCACGTTAAGTGAAATGAGCCAGACTCAGTTATACAAAGACTATACTTTTCTCATATGTGGATCCTATACGGGAAGCAGGGAGTTGTGGGTCATTAAACAACAAAGGGGATGAAGAGGGAGGGAGACAGACCTTAAAGGAGAAGGGAAAGAGAGATGCTAACTTAATAAATGAGAGATGAAAGCAGAAAATGGGTTATTTGGGAAGGAAAGAGAACCAGCAAGTGGGGGAAGTGGGTAAAAGGAGCCTGGAGAGCTGGATATGGTGGCACATACCCTTAATGCCAGCATACGGGAGTCAGAGGCAGGGGATCTATGTGAGTTTGAGGCTAGCCTAGTCTACATAGCAAGTTCCAAGACAGCCAGAACTATACTATATACAGGGAGACTCTGTCTCAAAAAACCAAAAGAGCATTGAGAACATCAGAGGATAAATTAGAATAAATTATAATAACAGTATATGAAAATATTATAAAACCCATTACTTTGTATATTAATTTTTAAAAATTAAAACACAAAACAAAAAGGAAGGTAAACTTAGAAAATATAGAGACTTGGAACATTATCCATTTGAGAAACGGAGAGGTTAAAGCAATAATACCCAGGCTGAAGAAAAGGTAGACTTTTGTAATGATTTTATAGATATGTATGTGTATGTGGGTTTTTCTTAAACTCAATATGCCACTCTGCCCCCTTCTTAATATACATAAACACTCCAATAAAAATTACTTCCTCTGCTTTGTTACAAATATAAATATTTTGATTTAAACATTTTTCATTCTTTATTTCAAAATTAATAAAAAGTTGCTGCCTAAAGCTAAGAGCGATTAAAACTAACATCATTATAAATTATTTGATAAAACATTTACTCCTTTTAACAAAAGGAAATGATAGTGTTGAATACTGCTATTCATTGAATTGTGACCCCTTCAAAACTCCTGTGTTGGAAGTGCTAATCTCCACCGATGAGAGAGATAATTCAGGTTAATTGAGGTCATAATGCTGGGGCCTGACACAAAATGACTGGTGTCTTCCTAGGTGAGGAAGAGACACTGGGAATGACATACAGAGGAAAAGCACCAAGAAAACCACCACCTTCAGGCAAGAAGAGAAGCCAGGCTTGCAGACCCTGGAGTCTAACATTTCTAATGTCAGGTTGAGGGAAGGTAAATCCTGTTACTAAAGCAAAGCCAGTCTGAGGTATTGGGTTATGATTGCCTTAGCCAACTAATGCAGACATAAAACAGTGCCCTTCAAAATCCAAAGTAGTAGCTTATAGTCTGCTGTAGATTTTTACATTGTGTTCTACGCTTAAGGACACTCCACAAGCAATGTCATGTATAAATTTAAAACTCAAAACTGTTGAAACTGAAAAATATAGTTACTCTAATGCCAAAATAACAATGTATTTTAAAAGGAAATGAGTGTGAAAGGAACAGAATACGTGGTGTACGGACTCTGCGCACAGCCTGGAGATGCACTGCACAGACACAGCTTGACAAGTGGGATGGCAAACAATACAAACAGACTGGTTAGCACATGCTGCTATAAACCCACGGTCTAAAGCTGATTACCACTTAAATGCATGAAAACATGAACTCGTTACATTTTCAAAGTAAAAAATTTTTCTATTTTATAGAAAAATGTGAAAATACATATAACACAATGCCTAAACACAATCTAAAATTGTCTTAATGGATAGGTACAATAACTATTTCTAAAAGTATCTGTTTAAACTTAAGATATTAGAAGAGCAGGTATTTAAGTCTGTGTGATTCAGTTTTTAAGTCTGCATTCCCAGGTATTCAGGCCTTTGCATTAGTCAGCATGTCTACACATAAAACATTTAATTCCCCATTATATCTTAAAAGCTTCTGACAGGATTTACCAGAATGCACGGTGGGAAAGTGCAACCCAGTGGAAATGCAGTGAAGCACCTAACCTTAAGGCAATGGTTCATTAGGCTCGTAACACACAACAGCACAGAACTGCATGGCACGGGGCTGAAAAGCTACCTGCAGGTCTGTCTTACCTGTAGCAGTTAGCCCCATACATGCAGGACACCCTCTGGACCTTGCTTTCTTCTGAAGAGCCTAGAACTGAATCAGCCATTGTGTGCGAAGCATCGGGACTGGAGGGAGCAGAGCTGGACTTAGGATGGAATCCTTGTGATGTCTCAAGCAGTGACTTACTGTGGACGCCTGAATGGCTCTCAGCGTGCCTCACTGTCTCACCCTCTTCATTTGCTGTTGCTTTGCTGACGGTTTTGTGTTTAGAGACCTCACCAAGTTCCTCTATTGGAACTGCATTGCTCGGTTCATTTATCTTCACACTATCTACATCTGTGTCACTTAATGTGATTGAAGACAATGATTCTGGAACTTCCTGGAAAAGAAATCCAGAAAAAGCATCATTTAAAAAAGCAAACTTAAAAAAAGAAGAAGAAATATTTAAATTAAAGCTTAAGAGGACAAAAATACAAGTTCCATGATACAAAAAGCTTAAAACTTCAAGCCTCTTATTTTGAAGATATTAAAGACACCATTTTCTGGTTTTAGTTTGGAAACTTTTTAACAATCTGTAGTTCTTTCAATATCAATTTATAGCTATGATACTCTTTCATTGTCACATAATCTAACTCAAAAAGCTCTTAAATGTCACTGTCCAACAACACTGTCCTTGAGATTTCTTAAAAATAACTGAGCCACTTACTTCTCTCTAAATAATGGTACTTTTCACATGACAGAATGACCAAGCTGCTTCATGTCTACAGGGGGGGGGGTAATGCTATGATCGACTGGAGAAAGTAAGCAGCTTCCCTTTGAGACACTCTGATAAGTGTCAAGTTAGCCAATTAAGCCCTCGAGTGCCAACTACTGCCATCTTGTTAAATGGATAAAATAGAAACTGCCCTCTGATACTAACCTCTTACACCACAGATGACTGCAATCTCACTTCTCATCAAAGGGGCTTCTTTTCACGGTAAACTACAATTGCTCAGAGTGAGGAGAATAAGTGACTGTAGAGAGTCCAACAGTAAATGGGATATCTACCACACAGTCCCTGCACCAAGTGTCACAGAACACTGCACCCAAGGGTCAGGGAATGCTACACCCAAGGCACAGGGAACACTGCACCCAAGGGTCATGGAACGCTGAACCTAAGGCGCAGGGAACGCTGCACCAAGGAGATATTCTAATCACTGCATGCCTTTTAATTTGTACTGGCCACCACCACAAACAGGAAGCCTTATCTTGAAAACCAATCACTTAAGTACTCCTCTTTATGTGGAGTAGAAACATTGCTCATTTAAACACAAGCGTCCTTGTTAACTAAGTCACAGCTATGAGGAGCACCCACCAGACACACAGGAATGTTCACCTCCATTTCTAAGGGCTCGGGTCTGTTGGCTGTGATCTGGCAAAAGCTGACTTTAATACTAACAGATAGCTAACAGTTCAAATCTCTTAACATACTATTCACATGACTTCTTTTGGACTAATTATTTAAATGTTTTAATATTTTCTTTAAAAAACTGTAACTTCAAAATATTATTCATACTACTAATCACACTCTTCATGGCATGTGGGTCTTATCATAGCTCTCTGCACAGCAGCAGATAATCTAGGAGAAGCAGTCACTTGGCTATTCTCTCATTACTTACACTTGACAGGTAGCATTTATGCAACATCCCTCTACACCATACACTCTACTTCCAAGCTTCTCTACCACACCCCAACCCTATCCCCTTCCTTTCAGGACCAATTGGCACAGGCCACCTGGAACTCAGGGACAGGAACTGAGAAGTCCTGACCTACCAGCCCACTTGACAGCTCTCTCCAGGTTCCTTCCTTCCTGTTCAGCAGTGGATGAGTCAGTAAGTCTGCTAGCTGAGCAATAGCCAAAATGTGATAGATTGTGTTCCTGTGTCATTTTTAGGCTCTACAAGTTATTTTCCATCCTTAGAAAGGAGGATATGATTCCTCAGAAGCACTTCACTTGCCTAGGCCTTAGACGTTGCCAGCTCCTCGGGTATCTTTGTACAAAGCCTGGAGGTGGAAGAGCAGATGATGCTTAGGCCTTTCAACAAGCCCTACAAGAAAGGGGTGATTCTCACTGCTAGGGTCCCTGCCAAACCCGGATCCTCAGAGTACTGTTGTTCCAGCATCCAACCACAGCGGAAGTTTTGGGGGGAACAACCCCACTCAAATTCTCAGCCAATTTATTTCAGAACTAAGAGATACACTGGAAAGTGATAAAATAAATTAGAATACATCTTTTCTATGACTGCTTTTAAAAGGAGGTTTTACTTATGTATTTGTAGGAGGGTGGTGCATGCATGCCCACATATGCACACAAAGAGGTCACCACAAGATATCGGACGTAGTCTTCACACTAGTGGCTGAAAACAGGATCTGTCTGGACTCAAAGCCTGCCTTTGAGTTAGGTTGGCTGGCCAGAGAACTCTCCAGATCTTCCTGGCTCCTCCCTTCAATGTTGGGGTCACAGGGAAGTGAAGCTGTGCCTGGCTTTTCTTGTGAGTACTGGAGACATGAACTTAGGTTCCAATGCTTTCCAAAGTAACTGTTCTTACCCATGGAGGCATCTTCCTAGTCCTCTAAGGATGTTTTTAACTAAAGAACAATATGATATACAATAGCATTTAATGTTTTAAGTAATCTCTCACACCACCCCCGTCAAAGATTTTGTAGCAGATAATGGCTATTCCAGAGATCCACAATCAGTCAAAGCAGAGAACAAGTGACAATGGAGTACCCACACCCAACTCCTATGTCAAAGGCTCAGGGTAAGTCATGGAAGAGGGGACAGAGAGCTTTTAGGTTAGAGGACCACAACACCTGCTGTAAGACAATGTCTCCTAGACATGACAGGGAGGCTGTACCCACCAAACCTCAACAATATGGTCTAAATGAAACCTTATAATGAGAACACCCCTAGATAAAGAGCTACCAGCAGTCTACTCCTACTGAGAGAGGGAGACTCCATTTGCCCTCTGATAGGTCATCCAATCCCAAAGGGGAACCCTTAAACACATGCACACAAAAGCAACACCAGGTGGATTCAGTGGGTTGTGTGTGTACATATATGTTTAACAAAGATAATTAAAGAGAAGGAAGGGGTCATAAATTTACCTGGGAGTGGGGAAAAGAAATAATGTAAATACATACTCAAGTATGAAACTCTCAAAAAATTTAAATCAAAAAAAAAATTCTCATAGCTAAGTGCAGTCACACATACCTGTCATCACAGTACTTGGGAGGCTGTGGAAGAAGGATCGAGTTATGAGCCAAGTTGAGTTACACAGAAAGACCATTTCTGAAACAAATACATCTTTATATATGTATGTGTATGTATCTTCCTGCATAAATCCAGATGAAGATTTTGTAATGCTATAAAAGTCAGTACAATAATGGGACTGAAGGATGAGACAAATTTCATTTTTAATAAATATGCTTCTGAATATCCTATTTTGGCAATAAGCATGTGTTATTCTGCTATTTAAAATGAAAAACTAAAGAGAATGAAATCTATAACATCATAGTCCAACTCTCTGTAGTACTAAGAAACATAAAAAAGAATCTGTTTATTAGAAACTAAACTTTAGTTCCTTACAAGAACATGTATAACATTCTGATTTAGACAGAAAGAACATTAACATCATAGGTGTCAATATGGTAAATTAGGGGACTTCAGATGAGAGAGAGTTGGTTGGGCATGGTGGCATATACCCAGCACTCGGGAGGTAGAGGCCGGGGGATCTTTTTGAATTCAAGGCCAGCCTGGTGTACACTGTGAGTTACAGGACAGCTAGACACACACATCCCCAAAATCAAATGAGACACAAAAGCTGGAAATCATAATGCTCTTTATGGAACTCCATGCAATATTAATATATAGTAGCCTTGGCATTCAAGAATTTAACATTCTTGGTTTCAATTATTTATAAATGGTCCCAAAATCCATTACACACAGTAATTTTAAGTTTGCTGATACATAAATTTAGAACTGTGCCAATTCCAAAGCTCATGGGCTTAAGCAAGCTAGTACCTGGGATGGGGATGGGGGGTAAGGGAACAGAAAAAAATGTTTTTTTTTTTTTTGGCAAGTAGGAGAATGAGAGCTAAGCACACCCCAGTGCTTACTAAGATTTGATGGACATGGGAAGGATTAAGCATGGGTGGCTAGAGAGTCATGACAACAGTAGAAAGATCACCTACAAAGTAAAAAAACTGTGTGTTTGAGACTGGAGCTCATGGGGCTAGTGGTCTTCTGAGAAAGATCAGAGCTCACTCTTAAGACTACTAAACCAGCCTATCAACTTGTCTTGTGGCACTCCCTGCCCCTCAGCCATCTGAGCTTTGATGTGTTGAGGCAGGTAGGATAAAGAACTGCCCCCTAACATAAATCCAGCAGGGTGATTTGCTGTTTCTAAGATGATCTTGGCAGGATGTCCATGCTGATAAGTTGCCTAAAAGTCTTATATCAATTCCATTAACATTCCTGGAAGAATAATGGAAAAATCCCAGCCCCATGCCCAAGCTTCAGACTGATAGTTCAAGCACTAGCTAAATATTGCTTCCTAGGAAGTCTATGCCCTGAGACTGAAAACATAACAACTGAAATCCTACCTGTGTGTTCTCCCAACACGTTATCTGTCTATCCCAGCTGGGAACATGGAACCTGTCTTTTATTCCCCAATCTTTCCCCAGATCCAGTGTGCAGACACTGAGCACTGAAGTGTTCTGCATCCTAGATGCTTCGAGAATCCAATGCCTCAGTGTCCTTAAATGGCTCAAAGTCTCCGAATTCCTTAATCATGCCAACATGACCATCATTTCCCTCTCTTATCTCAGAGATTTTACTTTGTCTCTTCCAATCTCTCTCAAGAGAGCTAAAAGAACCTCAGTGGTCAATACATTCTCAGTCTCTCCTCCTGTGAAGGTCTCCACTGCTGGCTTCAATTTTAAATGAATGCCCTTCCTTGTATCCAAATTTCTAAGGACAACAGTTGACTGACTGTCCCTTATTCAAAAGGATTAGGACCAGAAATGCTTATGATTTCTGAGTTTTGGAAGTATTTGTAAAGATTTACAGTTGAGCATCAATATCTGATACTACCCAAAGCCCTAAGTGGGTTGAGAATCTTGTCAGGATGCAAAAAGTTTCAGACTTTGAGGCATTTTAATTTTTTTTACTTTGGGATTAAGGATTCTCAAGATGTATTTGTTTTCTTCCTTGCTTTCATACTTAGCCTATCATCAACTTTCTATGACCAAAAAGTACAATAGAAACGACCAGTTCTAATCCTTGGCCTTAAAAGACCTGGTGGCTTTTAATTTTACCCTCTCAGAATCCAGCTGTCAGGTAAAGGTATTTAGTCTCAACTAGCTAATGGTAAGTGGAGGGAGGAAGGCCCAGTCAGATTCCAGATATCCCACCAACCCTTATAGAGGTACCATTCATGACAGCAAAGTCACTTAGGATGAACCCACCACTGCTAATACTAATGTGTCATAAAATAGGTATCCAACTGAGCCCAGTCAACTCCTAGTATTTGTTTGAAACATAAATCATTATTGTGCTAAGTGATTAGGTGTTGGGCTTGCTGTGCTCACAGCAAGAGATAAATAATAATTTTATGATAATATCGCACATTAGTTGTTTTGGTTGTGCTCCCTTTTGCTACCTGTGACAGTTCTAATTAGATTATGTAAAAGAAGTTATATTGCCTTAATCTCTGTACTATTGGAACAGAATATCACAGGCCAGGTCATTTATAAATGACAAAATGAATTCTTTCAGTTTGAGTTCTGGGGAGGCCGTGGTAAGGTACTGGCATCTGAAGTGGGATTTCCTACTCTGTCCTCATAGGGCAGAAGGGAAGAAAGGACAAACGTGCTCTGACATGACAGAGGCACAGCAGGATGTGCACTTGTGTCCTCTTGTGACAGAAAGGCAAAAAGAGTATTCCAGCTCCTATGGACTTTTCTAGCAACTTCAGTCTACTCGTGAGTGTGGAGACTACTGAGCAAGCACCTGCTACTGCTACCGCACAGGGAGAGTAAGCTTCCTTATAGATTTTCAGTGGACACAAAACATCCAAACCTCAGCAGTGACCTTTTCATTGATTCAAGAGCCCTCTTTGGCCATAAGCTGGACAGATACATAACCCGTGGGGACTGACAAAATCCTGGACTATAAAAGAACAATTAACTTCATGAAGAAAAGAGTGCTAGTCACAAAACTCGCTCAAGTCTAATGTGCTCAGTAGGAAACCCCACTGTACACAAAAGCATCTACTTTGTCCACCAGCATTTTCTAGCAGTGTGACCTTGGGCTTCAGCTCCCCCAGGTGCTGAAGGATGGCACATCAACAGTTATCCTTGAGGGCATGTTCAAATCCCAGGAGTACACTAAGGCACTAATTATACATAGGTCGTGGATTAAATGAGTCAGATCTCAGGAAAGAGGCCAGAAGGAACTGTTGCCCCTTCTTTCCACTTCCTTTTCCAGTCTTTCACAAGAAAATGTCTACTCTCTAGTCCTGGACGATTGCTCCGAGGTCTTGTAAGGCACCTCTACATATCAGACTAGATTGGCCAGCCAACCTTTGTTTTCTCTCATGGTGAACTTGGCTCCCTGTTCTCTTCACTATGCTAGCCCATCAAGATTGACTGCTCTCTAGGGTAAGAACTAAGACAGAAACAGGGCGGCATAGAGGGTAAGCTTCGCCAGGTCTGGCTTGGGGCTTCAGCTTCAGCCATGTTCTCTGGCTCAACTTTTCTAGAGCCCAGCACAGAGGTTATGAGAGTTTGGACCTCTTGTCTACTAAAACAAAGAGAGGTAAAGCTCCCTCAAGACCCTCTTGGGAAGAACAATCAGCCAAGCAGAGCTTACAGTCCCTCCCTCCTGTATCTATTATACTCTCTTGATCTCATCAAAACCTCAAAAAATGCCTTAACTAACTTGGATCTTCTTACTGCTTCTCTCCCACCTATTAGGTAAAAAGACAATTTTTAAAGTCTTTCTTATAATTATCAAACTTAGTCAGGTTGAAGTATATTAAAACATATATATATTAGATTCTCTTTGAAACTAAATAATTTCTTGTATAATAGGCAAAGTGAATTGATATGCTCACTGTTCAAAATATATGAAGACTAAAAGTTTATATAATACAAGTTGCATTTTAATAAGATTTAAAGGCAAATACATATGAGCCAGAATACATCTTGTTTTGATTTATTACAATTGGCCCCATCAGTAAGCAAAGATGTTGAGTCTTAGAGACTGGATCTACTTCTCTAGCTGGGAGGGTGCGAGGGAGAGTCTGGGTCTCTCCCTAAGGGAAGAAGTGGGAGTGAAGGCAGTGTATGAGTCTCACCTCTGGGAAGCTGCTGGCATTCAATGACCCAGTATACCCTCTACCAGGGCAGACCAGCCTGGCTTCCTGAGACTGAGAGACCCATGGAGCTCAGCCAGCTGCCAAAAGACCATGAAAACTGTTACCTTCAGCTACCACCGTCAAAAGGAAGAAAAAGGCCTGGACTTTCTGTTCTGGGGCCACCTCTATTGTTTCCTGTTAAGATGCATTGGTATGTACAAATCCTGTGCAAGCTCAGGCTACCCAGAATCCGGCTGGAGGGAGAAGGTGAGCATGATCTCCCCTCTAACTGAGGCATTTGATAACTTCTGGGAGAGGGGGTCAGTTTTCTTCAATGATGTGACCCCTGGTGGATCAGCCACATACCCAGGCAGGCCTCACTCTGAAGACCAGTTGTGCAACACAAAGTGGACTTGATGGAACTTGGGGGGAGAAGAAAACTCAGGTAAGCAAGTAGGAGTAGAAGGATGGAGAGGGTAGTTACAGGAGGAGTTGAGGAACACAAAATTCCCAGAGAATGAATACATTTATTAATTTTTTTAAACTCTGGCTTATAAATAAAATGTGCTGCAACTACCAAGTTAAAAAAAAAATGAAAACTTCATGTAATATACAGGCCTCATTTCTTTTTAAATATCTGACATCAAGAAATGTCAATTTTGCCAAACCATTCTAGAGGACTGGTACAAACTGAAAGAGGGATGAAAGGTCTGCAATCGCTCTAAGAGTCACAGCAGAGTGACCCTGTGGCACTGTGAGGACCCCTCGACCATTTGTTCTCCTCACTGTACTCAACAGAGGTCACATGAAGTCCACATACGACAGCAGCCAGGCGTTCAGAACAAAGGCCAAACTAAGACCAGAGCCAAGAGGTCTCCACCTTTTTCTACTCTGAAATATTATTCTACAATGCAAAGTCTCCCTCCATATTAAAAATAAGTTTCAATAAAGAAAAATAAAAGGGGGGCAGGAAAGATGGCCCAGCGGTTAAGAACACTGACTGCTCTTCCAGAGGACCCAGGTTCAATTCCCAGAACCCATATGGCAGCTCACAAGTATTTGTAACTCCAGTTCCAGGAGATCCGGCATCCTCTTAAAAAGATAGATATGTAGGTAGGTAGGTAGGTAGGTAGGTAGGTAGGTAGATAGATAGACTGATAGATAGACTGATAGACTGATAGACAGACAGACAGAGCAATTTTATATCTATATAAATGCAAAAAGGTGCCACTTAGTTTGATAAATTGAGCACATGATATATTTCTATCACTTCCTAAGGACTGAAAGGAAATAATTCTTGCCTCAAATACCAGACAAAGAAAATAAACAACACATATTTAATCACCTTGGATGAAACAACCAGTCCTTCTTGATCAGAACTTTTACATTTTTTCCCAGGATCCTGTTCTGCTGACTTACTGTCCAAATTTCCTGGTGAAATTAATCGCTTTCTTCCATGCTGTGTTACGTTTACTGGGGTTTTATCTTTGCAGGTTCCTTCTTTTCCACTTCTCTGGATACCATCCTTATCTAACATACACACAAACACACACATACAAAGAACAAGAAGAAAATTACTTCCTGAATCTTCAAAGGTCAATACTCCACATGACTAAAAAGGATAAAATAGCAAGTGACTCACAGGCTGAGAGATGGCTCAGTGGGTAAAATAATTTGTTATGCAAGCTTAAGGATCTGAGTTTGAATATCCAGCATCAACACAAGAAAAAGCTCTGTGGGCCTGTAACCCCAGAGCTTTGACACAGGGACAAAGACAAAGATCATGTGGGGTCGATGCTAGCCAGAGAAGTCAAACCCAGGGAGCTTCAGACTCAGTGAGAGATCCTATCTTAAGGGGTTATGGCCCAGAGTGATAGAGATGGACACCTGAAAAATCAAAATTACATTTACAGTAATGTCCACTGGGGAACACTCATTTATAAATCTCAAACAGCACTAAGAAACACAGTGGCCAAGGACTCCAACCCCAGAGCGCACCAGGCTCAGACACACTGGGTCCACTTTAACAGTTTTACTGCAACTCTGAATCTTGTTTGTATTTGCAAAGTGGAATGTCATATTTTGCTTATGATCTAACAAATAAAGCTTGTCTGAAGATCAGAGTGCAAAGCTAGTTACAGTAGTTGGCCATAGAGGCCAAGCAGTGGTGACTCACACCTTTAATTCCAGCACTCAGGAGACAGAGGTAGATGGATCTCTGTCAGTTCAAGGACACCCTGAGCTACAAAAAGTTGATCAAGTCTAAAAGAGAACTCACAAGGGTGATGGCAGCACTTGGAGTGACACACCTTTAATCCCAGCACTAAGGAAGTAGAGACAGGAGAGATATGGCTGGATGGAGAGATTAATATAAGGTGGGAGGAGACAAGAGAGAGATGCAATCTGAGGCAGTCAGAATGCAGTTTGAGGTTTGGTGGAGACAGATGCAATCAGATTCAATCTGAGGATTTGTAGAGACAGGATCACTCTTTCTGTCTAAAATAGAGAGGTAAGAGCTAGTAGCTGACCCCAGTATCTGTCTCCAAGTTTTTATTATTCATGTTTAGCCAGTAGAGGGCTATAGGGTATCTACTACAGCTACTCAACTCTGCCTCGTAACAAAGTGTAGTTATACTACTACAGCTGATAAACACCTTTAGCAAAGTGGCAGGATACAAGATTAACTCAAAAAAATCAGTAGCTCTACTATATACAGAAGATAAATGTGCTGAGAAAGAAATCAGGGAAACCTCACCCTTTACAATAGCAACTAACAACATAAAATATCTTGGAGTAACACTAACCAAAAACAAGAGAGGCCTGTATAGTAAGAACTTTGAGTCTTTAAAGAAAGAAAATAAAGAATATACCAGTAAATGGAAAGATCTCCCATGCTCTTGGATAGGTAGGATCAACACAGTAAAAATGGCAATCTTGCCAAAAGCAATCTACAGATTCAATGCAATTCCCATCAAAATCCCAACACAATTCTCCACAGACCTTGAAAGAACAGTACTCAACTTCATATGGAAAAACAAAAAACCCAGGATAGCCAAAACAACCCTATACAATAAAGAAACTTCGGGAGGCATCACCATCCCTGACTTCAGGCTCTATTATAGAGCCATAGTCCTGAAAACAGCTTGGTATTGGCACAAAAATAGACAGGTTGACCAATGGAATGGAATTGAAAACCCTGATATTAAACCACACACCTATGAACACCTGATTTTTGACAAAGAAGCTAAATTTATACAATGGAAAAAAGAAAGTATCTTCAACAAATGGTTCTGGCATAACTGGATTCAGACATGTAGAAGATTGCAGATAGATCCATATCTATCGCCATGCACTAAACTTAAGTACAAATGGATCAAAGACCTTAACATAAATTCAGACACACTGAACCTCCTAGAAGATAAGGTAGGTGGCACCCTTGAACAAATTGGTACAGGAGACTGCTTTCTGAACATAACACCAGTAGCTCAAACATTGAGATCAACAATTAATAAATGGGACTTCCTGAAACTGTAAAGCTTCTGTAAAGCAAAGTACACAGTCAGCAAGACAAAACACCAGCCCACAGAATGGGAAAAGATATTCACCAACTCCACATCTGACAGAGAGCTGATCACCAAAATATACAATAAACTCAAGAAACTAGCCACCAAAACACCACACAATGCAATTAAAAGAGGGAGTGCAGAACTAAATAGAGAATTCTCAACAGAGGAATCCAAAATGGCTGAAAGACACTTGAGAAAGTGCTCAACATCCTTAGCCATCAGGGAAATGCAACTCAAAACCACTCTGAGATACCATCTTACTCCTGTCAGATGGCTAAAATCAATAGCACCAATTACAATCTATGCTGGAGAGGATGTGGAGAAAGAGGAACTCTCCTCCATTGCTGGTGGGAGTGCAAACTTGTACAACCACTTTGGAAATCAGTATGGAAGTTCCTCGGGAAAATGGGAATCAGTCTACCTAAGATCCAGCAATTCCACTCTTAGGCACATACCCAAAAGATGCACATTCATACAACAAGGACATATGCTCAACTATATTCATAGCAGCATTATTTGAAATAGCCATAATCTGGAAGCAACCTAGATGCCCCTCAACTAAAGAATGTATATCGAAAATGCAGTACATTTACATAATGGAGTATTGGGGGGGGGACAAAGGAATCTTGAATTTCTCAGTCAAATGGATGGAACTAGAAGAAACCATCCTCAGTGAGGTAACCCAATCACAAAAAGATAAACATGGTATGTACTCACTCATTTTTGATTTTTAGACATAGAGCAAAGGATCACTAGCCTACATTCCACACTGCCAGAGGAGCTAGGAAACAAGGAGGGCCCCAAGAGAAGATTGCATAGTCCCTCGAAGAAGGGGAGGGGGACATGAACCCCTGACCAAATTGGAGCCCGGGGGCAGGGAGAGGAAGGAGAGTCTTCATCCAGTTGCTGTTCGAAGCAGAAACAGACACCTATAGCTAAGCACTGAACCATACTACTGCAATTCAGTTGTGGAGAGGGAGGAGGGTTGAGCAAAGGAGTCAAGACAGGGATGGAGAGACCTGCAGAAACAGTGGACCTGACCTACTGATAGAATGGAGACCCTAATCATAAAGCTGGGCAAACAGCATTGAACCAAACCAAACCCTCTGAATGTGGGTACCAGCTAGGAGGCCAAGATAGTCTATGGGAGCTCTAACAGTGGAGCCAGTCTTTATCCCTAGAGCACAAATGGGCTTTGGGAGCCCATTCCCTATGGAGGGACACTCTTGTACCCCAGATACAGCAAGGAGGGTCTAGACTCTCCCCCAAACAATATAACAGACTTTGAAGGTCCTTGGTAGAGGGTCTCACTATCACTGGGGAGGAGTGGGGGTGGTTGGGGTGGGTTGAGTGGAGAACATGGGAGGATGGAAGGGCAAGGGAATGGGGGAATGGATATGTAAATATGAGTAATTAAAAATAATAATAATAAACAAAGTAGCTATTAGATACAGACAGATGAGCATGGTTGTATTCCAACACAAGTTTACTCACCAAAACAGGCAATGGTCAGATCTGGCCTATGGGCATCAGTCTCTTAGCATAATTCTGAAGGACACCCAAAGGGCTAAAAGCAGTTCAGGGAATAAATGCCAGCAAAACACTGGCTGCAGGGAGTAAAGGAAGCCCTGAGTGAATATGTGTTGTTGACATGGGCACAGCCATGGTGAGGACTGCAATGTCTCAGCCCCATGGGAGTGGCAAAGCCTTCCACAGGAGTCTGAGTGTGGATGTTGACAATGTGTGCAGAAAACATCTACCATAGTTTTTTTCCTCTGAATATTTATGGCCTGAAGACCACTCCCACAGAGACAGCTCCTACTGAGATTAACTAAGCCTGTCTCCTTGTTCAGCTATATGCAATAATCCTACCTCCTTGTCCTGTTCAAATATATATATATGTGTATACATATATATATATATATATAATTGATATATTACATAGATATTCAACTACACATGCATGCACACACAGTAGGCATGCTGAGCTTTCAGGGTGTTGCAGTTTTTCTATCAGAGAGCCCAGTCTACTCAGTCCAAGATTTTTTATGTTTCTGTGTGTCCATGTTTTTATATTTTCTTCATTTCTCCTCACCATCCCAATCAGGTTCATCCCTGAGGCTGTGCAAGCATTCAGCAATGTAACACAAAAAATAAATGACCCAGAGACTAATATTTGGGTTCACACTTCAAGCTGAATATCAGAAAAGTATAGCAGCCGGCCACTAGCTCTCACCTCTAGCTCTGGCTGAAAGAGCTGATCCACACACGAGCTCTTCACCAAGTCTCAAATTGCTGCCTCTCCTCAGTGTGAAAGCCTCCTACTGAATACTGAAGGCCCTGCTTCTATCTTATATGGATTAAAGGCGTGTGATCTGTTACTCTTTTAAACTGATTCAATCTCATGTGGGTCGCCTTGAAGTCAGAAAGATTCATCTACCTTTTAATCCTGAGTCCTAGGATTACAGGTGTGTACCACCACCTCCTAGCTTCTTGATGCTGGGGTTAAAGTGTGTGACTGGCTTCTATAGTTTGTGGCTGACTTTGCTTTCTGAATCCTCAGGTAAGCATTAATAAATCATAAATAATATATCACCACATAGCAACTGTCTATATTATCAATAGAACTATCAGTCACACCAAAATAGTAGTAATATACAGCAGTCACTTTAATCCATCATCTTCCCCTGATTCACTTACTATCAATCATGTAAAGTTTCAGAAATAAAAAGTTCATTCATTTTAAATTGCATGTTCTTCTGAGCAGTATGATGAAACCTACACTATCCAGTTCCCTTTTTTTTGAAACATAGATCTCTAGCATTATTCACATTAGTGTATCTTCCTTATTAGACCAACTGTTGTGTTGTAGTGCTTGTATTCGAGCAACTACTATTTTATTTAAAATGTCTCCAAAGCACAAGAATAGTGACACTGGAAAATTTGCTACAAATGGAATGTTTGTAACATCTCAAAATCGTGTGTGTGTGTGTGTGTGTGTGTGTGTGTGTGTGTGTGTGTGTGTGTGTGTGTGTGTGAGAGAGAGAGAGAGAGAGAGAGAGAGAGAGAAGAAAAGAGAGAGAGAAGACAGAGAGAGAGAGAGAGCGATGTGGTACACAAAGAAGACAACTATCTGAAGCCACAATGCTGACATCTTGACCTTGGATTCCTCCAGAACTGTGAGAAGGTAAAGGTCACTTAGGTCATTAGGCCACAGTGTTCTATTACAGTGGATAGAGCTAGGATAGAAGCTCTCAGGAAACAAAGAGTAACACTTCTCACAATTACATTAAAACCCCCCAAATACTTCACACTAAAATAAAGTAATACCTTTACTAAAATAAAATTATAGCTCAACACCACTTAAAACAATCATTAAAAAAAATCCTTAACAAATAAAAGGGGCATAAAAAAAAAAAGGAGAAAATATGCTGAGGTAGAATTTTCTCAGCAAGTGAGGCCCTAAGATCAATTCCCAGGACTGAAAAACAAATAAAAGAGCCAGAGAGTCAATGGGATTTATCAAGAATGCAAGGTTGGTTTGATATTCAAAATCCTATGATGTACAAGAAAGGAATTTTATATCAAATCCTACTGATGTACAGGGAAGGCACTTAACTTTAACATTTGTTTCTCTTTTTTTTTGGTTTTTCGAGACAGGGTTTCTTTGGAGCCTATCCTGGCACTCGCTCTGGAGACCAGGCTGGCCTCGAACTCACAGAGATCCACCTGCCTCTGCCTCCCAAGTGCTGGGATTAAAGGCATGTGCCACCAATGCCCGGCAACTTTTAACATTTGTAAAAACAAAAACCTTGAGAAAAATCAGACAGAAAAGAACTAGGATAGAACCAAACATGACCAGCAAAAGAAGTCAATGACATTATTCCTGATGATGCTCTGCTACACTCATAGACCAGAGCCTAGCATAACTGTCAGAGAGGCTTCATCCAGCAAATGATGGAAACTAATACAGAGACCCACAGCCAAACATTAGGTGGAGCTCAGGGAACCCTGCAGGAGAGGGGGAGGAAGGGTTATAGGAGCCAGAGTGGTTATGAACACCACAAGAAAACCCACAGAATCAACTAACCTTGGCTCATAGGGGCTCACAGAGACTGAACTGACAACCGAGGAGCCTGTGCAGATCTGACCTCTGCATGTATATTGTGGGTGTATACCTTAGTCTGCTTGTGGAACTCCTACAGTGGAGTTGGAACTGGCTCTGACTCTTTTGCCTACTTTTGGGACCCTTTTTCTCCTACTGGGTTACCTCATCCAGCCTTAATATGAGGGGAGGTACCTAATCTTATTGCAACTTGATATGCCATGTTTAGTTGATATCCCTGGGAGGCCTGACATTTTCTGAAGGGAAACAGAGGAGTGGAACTAGGGGAGAGGGGAGGTTGGAGGAGGGACTGGAAGGAGGGAGGGGAAACTTCAGTAAGGATGTATTATATGGGAGAAGAAATAAGTGGCTGAATAAATAAATAAATAAATAAATAAATAAATGTGAAATAATGGCTACCCAGAAGAAAGACATAAACACTGAAGTGTCTGCTGTGACAGTAAGCTGGGCCAGAAGAAGAGTCATGTCTACTTGAATCTTGTAGCACACACACCGTGTACTTGATATTATCTAACTATTTTTAAATATTTTGGTTGTGGTGCCCTTTTACCTCAGATGAGACACCAACTTGCTCACTTGAGGATATATATTAACAGTGTATCTAACTATAATAGAGGAACACCACATGCTCAACCAATGGACAGATGCTGTTGACAATTGCCCAAAAGTAACAGCTTATGTTTTGAATTATATTCCACACACACACATCTAAAAGTAAATCTTAGGTGAGCAGGCATAGCAGCCCCCAACTCCAGCACTCAGGGGACTGAGACAGGGGCATAACAAGTGTAAGACCCATGTCTCAAAATAAATAAATAGAGAGACAGAATTTAAAATCCCATGCTAGCCCTTACCATGTGCAACCACCTCTCTATAGCTATTTGCTCAGAAAAACCTTTCAACTGTCTTTAATGTTTCCTTGAAACTCAACATTAGCAAAAACAAAAACCTACCTCCACCCTTAACAGGTGCTGAAAGGTTCTGACCACTTGAACTTTCTGCTAACATCCAAGCTGGGAGGATTCTTTTCCTCTGGGCAGGGTGCAGCTTGTGCTCTCGGATGTCTCCACATGCACCTGCAGAGGACTAAAACAGCATCCATACACTAATTCTTAAAGGTGATGTGCATCCTGAGTGAGTTTGTAAAATGATTTACTTTGAAGAAAATTGCCATTAACAGAGCTACCCACAACTGTAGACTCAACTAGTTAAATTTCTGACGAGAAATTCATTACCTATTGGTTTGTGTCAACCTAGTGTGACATTCTCAACAGATTTAAAAACAACAAAAGCAGATCAATGCCACAGACATTATAATACGCATGATTTCTGTTGTCTTTCCATGAGATCAAGACCATGTTAGCAAGGTGCTTCTTAAGTTTCTCACCATGGGCTCTATGGCAGTACACTTGGCCTTGGTTATTTCGGGGCTTCCTTGCAGCTGTGAAGTCCCAGTTGTCTTATCAGGTAAATTAATCACAGGGGACTTCTGCATCTCACTCAATACATCATCTTCATCAAATATTTGACTGTTCCTATAAAATAAAAGAGAACTTTGTTTTCTATCATTTACAACACTCTGGTGGCAACCTTGAGCTTTTCAGTTCTACGGTCAAGAATTCTCAATGGGGTATTGGGCTCCTTTTGTCAAACTTAAAAAACTAAAAACACAGTTTACACTACAGTAAAATGTTTATCATCTCTGGCCACAAATATTATCACAGCATACATTAGTCTTTAAAAGTCATGGGCCAGAGTTGGAGAGATTAATCAGTGGTTAAGGACTCAGGGTTAGGTCCCAGTACCCACATGATGGCTCACAACCGTCGGTTACTCCAGGTCCAACACCCTCTTTGGGCCTCTGCAGCCAGAGGCACACATATGGAGCACTTACACACATACACCCAGGCAAACACACACATAAAATGAAAATAAATATACCTTTAATACTGAAGATAGTGCACTGGAGAAATGTGTACTGAAGTCTGATTCATAGTTTTTAAATGTTCTTTTAGTAGCTTCAAAGTAAGAAATGATCTCTTTCAAAGGTAGACTTGAATTTCAATGGCAGGAAACATAGGAAATGGCAGGAACTATATCCCATACCAAGATTATTCTGTATTTGCTTACTAACTCAAAAGCTGATAGACATTTGGCTTGTTTCCCCACTTAGACTATTATAAATGATGTCACTGTGATCATCCAGGTATAAGTTTTTGTGTGAACACAATTTTCAATTTGGGGGTGCCAGGACACACAGCTGTTTTGATTTTTAAAAGTCTAAAAAGTTATGGGAATATGCACATTCCAAGGAGAATGCATTGCCTCACAACACCACACAGTATATGAGAGTTCTGTTTTCTCCATATGTTAACATCAACATTTACTAATGTCTTTGGTTTTAGCTGCCTAGTAGCTTAATGCGCATTTCTTTCAAATTGTTAAAAGTAGCTCATTATGGGTTTGACTTAAATTTCCCATCGACTACTGATGCTTTTCATGTTAGGAAATATTTACTCTAATCAGTTGCGCATTTTAAAACTGGGTTGACCTTGTGTTGTTGAGTTATAACTGCTTATATATTCTAAATGTAAATATGCTATAGACATACATGGTGTATGAATTTTTGTAATTCACTTGTCCTTTTTGTTTCTTGGCTGTGCTCTTATAAGCACACATGTTTTCAAATGGGAGGAAATCCAATTTCTCTAATGCTCCTGCCTTTCCTGTTGCTTTGATGTTAGACTTGTGGAGCCCCTACCTGAGGCAGGAGGTAAAGGTGTATACCTATGCGCTCCCTCTTTATATTCAGGTCTCTAATCCATTTTGATTCTTATGTCATATAAAGTGAAAGTCTAACTTCACTTTTTCATGAGGATATCAGCTGTTCCAGACTGGACAATTGACTTCACCCTGTTTAATCAGTATTGGTGCCCCTGTCAGAAATAAAGACCACATTTGTCTTTTGGTGACAAACTCACTCAGGATGGTTTCTTCTAGTTCCATCCATTTGCCTGCGAATTTCAAGATTCCATTGTTTTTTTGTTTTTGTTTTGTGTGTGTGTGTGTGTGTGTGTGTAAATGTACCACATTTTCTCCATCCATTCTTCAGTTGAGGGGCATCTAGGTTGCTTCCAGATTCTGGCTATTACAAATAATGCTGCTATGAACATGATTGAACAGACGTCCTTGTTGTATGAATGTGCATCTTTTGGGTATGTGGAATTTCTGGATCTTGTGGTAGACTGATTACCATTATCTTGAGGAACCACCATACTGATTTCCCAAGTGGCTGCACGAGTTGGCACTCCCACCAGCAGTGGAGGAGTGTTCCCTTTCTCCACATCCTCTCCAGCAGAAGCCATCATTGGTGTTTTTGATTTTAGCCATTCTGACAGGAGTTAGATGGTATCTCAGAGTTGTTTTGATTTGCATTTCCCTGATGGCTAAGGATGTTGAGCACTTTCTTAAGTGTCTTTCAGCCATTTTAGATTCCTCCATTGAGAATTCTCTATTTAGTTCTGTAACCCACTTTTAAGTTGGATTAGTTGGTGTTTTGGTGACTAGCTTCTTGGTTCTTTGTATATTTTGGAAATCAGCCCTCTGTCAGATGTGGGCTTGGTGAATATCTTTTCCCATTCTGTGGGCTGCCAATTTGTTTTATTGACTGTGTCCTTTGCCTTACAAAGCTTCTCAGTTTCAGGAGGTCCCATTTATTAATTGTCGATCTCAGTGTCTGTGCTACTGGTGTTATATTCAGGAAGTGGTTTCCTGTACCAATTCATTCGAGGGTACCACCTACTTTATCTTCTAAGAGGTTCAGTGTGGCTGAAATATGTTGAGGTCTTTGATCCATTTGGACTTAAGTTTTGTGCATGGGGATGGAAATGGTATGTACTCACTCATATATGGATTTTAGAGCAAAGGAGTACCAGCCTACAATCCACAGCGCCAGAGAAGCGAGGAAACAAGGAGGACCCTAAGAGAGACATGCATGGCCACCCAGAGAAGGGGAAAGGGACAAGATCTCCTGAGCTAATTGGGAGCATGGGGGAAGGAGAGAGGAAGCTAGAAGAAAGAGACAGGAAGAACAGGAGGGGAGATGAGGACATGAGAGAGCAGGAAGATTTAGTCAGGGAAAGAATTGAGGAGAGCAAGAAACCAGATACCACAATAGAGGGAGCCATTATAGGTTTAAAGAGAATTCTAGCACTAGGGAAATGTCCAGAGATCTACGAGTTTGGCCCCAACTAACAATCTAAGCAGTGGCTGAGAGGCTACCTTAAATGCCCTCCCCTATAATGAAATTGAAGACTACCTTATATGCCATCCTAGAGCCTTCATCCAGTAGCTGATGGAAGCAGAGGCAGACACCCACAGCTAAACACTGAGCTGAACTCTGGAATCCAGTTGCAGAGACGGAGGAGTGATGAGCAAAGGGGTCAAGACTAGGCTGGAGAGACCCACAGCTGACCTGAACAAGGGGGAGCTCATGGACACCAGACTGACAGCTGGAAACAGTCCTATGACTGTTCCAGATCCCCTGAGCAAGGATGTCAGTTTGGGGCCTCTGGTAGTGGATCAGTATTTATCCCTAGTATACAAAAGGACTTTGGGAGCCCACTCCACATAAAGGGATACGCTCTCAACCTAGACACACAGGGGAGGCTCTAGGCCCTGCTCCAAATGATAGGATAGACTTTGAAGATCCCCTATAGAAGGCCTCGCCCTCCCTGGGGAGCAGAAAGGGGATGGGATTGGGGGGAGGGGAGGAGGGGAGGAAGAGAGGAGGGGAGGGAGAGGAAACTGGGATTGACATGTAAAAGAAGCTTATTTCTAATAAAATAAAAAAAGTAAAGAACATGAACATAAAGGCTGAACCCTCAACTCCACTGAGCTCTCTGCCTTTATGCCAGGACCACACTGTCTTGATTTCGAAGCAGGTTTTGAAATTTGGAAATGTGAGTTCTTCAGTAATATTTTTCATATTTAAGTTTGTTTTGGCAGTTATCTCTAAGGGTTCAATGTATATTCTAAATTATGTTCAAATATGCTACTTATTTTTATATCTTTAATACAAAAGATGCTACCAATACAAATGAACTGATTTTAAAACAATTTCAAAAGAATTTTTACTTTTCTTCTCATTTTTTCTTTAATTAAAGAAATATATTTTTATATAATATAGTCTGATTATGGTTTTCCTCCCCCAACTCCTCCAAGATCCTCCCAGCTCCTCGCCCATTGAAATCCACACCCTTTCTGTAATTACAAATGAATTTTAAGGTTATTTGTTGTCACATTATAATGACATTTTCATCAACATTTTATTGCTTTGTTCAGATTAGTACTTGAAACTAGAAGCTATTTATATGGAATCTAAGTGCTAAGAACTTTCATAGACTGGGAAAAATAAGTTAGCATGACAAAAATTTACTATATTTTCTTTGAGACTCTCTTTAAGAAAATCTCCCCAGGGGGTGAAATTGTGTTACTTCCTTGTCAACAATGAAGGTTAGCCATGCAAACAAAATCTTACTCCATCACAGTATCACTCAATCTGATATCCCAGGAGCCAACATGTACTCTGCACCCAATACTGCAGATGCATCAGAAATGGAGATTAATTCTGCTCCCATGTGGTGTGTGTATTATTTAATTATTTAAATACAAAACCAAGGGTTTTTTTTCTCTCTCTCATTTGGGTTTCTATATGGTTTCTCAACAAAAAAAAAAAAGTGTAAGCTTTGGTATCTCTAGCAGAATAATTTCAGACATAAGTAAAAACAAAGAGTGAAAAATGAAAACTTACAGTTGATGTGTAGTAGCCACATACTCCTACAAAGTAGGCTGTGAATAACACTACACAATCTTAAGACACTGTGAAAAGTAGGTAAACAAAAGCAAAATGAGAACTGACCAGGGGTCTTTTTTTAACTATTACTTTGTTGTTTGGGTTCTTTTCTTAAATATCCAATCAGTTGAAAGAAAACAAAATTACCAGGTTAAAAGACTTCTAACAAATGCAACAAAGTATTTCACAGAGAGGATCCTTCCTACTCTTTTTTAAACTCCACAAGAGTTAAACATGTAGCAATAAGAGAGTGTACCCTGTATCCCTATCTACAAATATGAATACTGTGTGTACTATGCCACTGAGAGCACTTTGTCATATTTGCTCCAATTAAAAACAATCAAAGTCCACTCTGTATACAACCTCAAATTTGTTCCTCCTCCTTCCATTCCATCCCTCAAAGCTTAAGTATGATTTCTTTATAACTTCACTATATGAATGCATCCATTATTTGACAGAAATAGTATACACTTTATATACTTTTAAGTTTCCCCTCAATACCATGACAACCTCAATGATATCAAGAAATATCTAATGCATATGTCAATATTTCCAATTAGTTCAATAGGTCTAGTGTTTGAATTCTGTCATTTCTTCAATTCTCCTACTCTGTTCTTTATGATGTTCTTATAGGGTAAGTCAGTGATACGTCAGAATATCTTCACATTTTAATAAAGCTAAAAATTCAAGAAAACATATAGTTTGTTTGTTTGGTGGAAACATTAGGAATACAAAGGTAAAAAATAGCACACATTGGAGCATACCACGAGGCATATGTGTCCAAAGCCAAATGTTTTCCAGAAACACAAATTATGTGGCTACTACAGTCCAAGTCTGACTCAAGCCTCGAATGATTTTCACTGGAGCATTTGTAAAGGTGGAAGACGCAGACGCCGCTACTCACTCTCATCCCACCAGGCAAGCTTACCGTAAAGTACACTCCACTTCCTCTTCAGTTTGTGTAGAGAAAACACGGAAAGAGTACTTGTTGAGTAACAAGGAAAAGATATCCCCAGGATTCAACCAGCACCACACATGTGTCTTCATTGGCAAGAGCTGACTCTTCTCAGAGGACTGATGGAAACACGGATTTGTATGGATCTAACCAATAAAGAATACAGTGATGCAGCAGGATTGTAAAAAATGCAACTAAACACCAAATGATCTACAATTGTGGTATCAAAACAATAAAGTACAAAATTATACTTGAAAGTTTGGTGAGCCTGGCACCTAGTACCATAACCATTTACACATGTAAAAAGTGTTCTACCTCCCGTTTCTGAAGGAATCCAAGATAACAAGCAAACTCATCAATTGATTAGTTAAATAAACTACTCAATAGATAAGAAAGATGAAAAAATAATTCTCAATATGGGAAGGATCCCCACTGTTTATCCAAAAGGTACAAATCCCCTGTCAATAGCACTTCTTTGCTAGTTATTGTCTCCTAATAATTTCTGACACAATTTAAAAGTGAAAAACCATGAGGCAGGAGACGGTGATCAAATATCTCAAGCATAACTGTTTTCTTTCTAGCTGTCTTGAAGAATAATTTTACTTTTAAATAAAACCCCTCCCATGAATATCATTTAGATTGAAATCACAAGTAATTAACACATATCAAGGACAAAACTATTGCTGCATTAATTATTTTAGATTATATTTTCCCACTGACTGCCTCCATATTAGCAAAGATAATTAGTTCCCTCAAAAGTAATTTGTAAAATATCTATTGAAAGACACTTCAAAATTTGCAAATATGAACTAGTAAGAAGTCTTAGCAGGTAAAGGTGTCTGCCACCACACCTGAGGACCTAAACCATACACACACGCCCACACATACACACACATACATACCACACACACACACACATACACACACACACACACACACATACAACACACATGTAATTTTAAAAAGTCTTAAATGTAATCAAGGCAAAACTGGCTACTTCTGTAAGTCAAATAGCCAATTTTTTATAATTACTATTAGATTTTGAAATAAAGAAGCCTTCCTATATGATAATCTATGGTAATGCAAACAAAACAATGTAAAATCTGTGATTTTTTCAATAGAGTCTAATACAGAACAACTTTCCCTGTGACTTCTTCCTCTAGTACATCATGCTGAATTATTATTTTCTAGAGAAATCAACAATTTCCCTAGTATACCAACTTAATCACTCAGTATTTTTTATTGGTCAGCCATTTAAATATATGTATGTATGTATGTATTTGTACAATACACAGCACTGCCTAAGAATGGAGAATATCATCATTTATGCAATAACATTTCCCAAGGAATTACAAAAGCTTGGTTTAAAACATCAAGTGGTCAGCAGTTAGCAAATCTACCCACAAAACAAAGTGAATCAATGGTGATAATTTTTTTCTCAAGCTGTTTATACAGTGGACTCCAGAAGTAAAAATGATATTCCAAGTAAGTATACTGATAAATCCTTTAAGTTAAGCCTAAATACTTATTATTTACTAGTGTGTATTTACTAATATATATGGTTACATACATTCTAAGGTTTTAACAATTGTTTTATTGATTCTTTGGGAATGTCACATCAATGCACCCCAAACCCACTCATTTCCCAGTCCTTCCATATCTGCCCTCCACCTTCCCAACAAAAAGAAATGTTACCTTCCCAACAAAAGAAAATGAAAAATTAAAATTAAAACAAAAATCTCACTGACCACTCTGGGCACAACCCATTAGTGCTACAACACCAGCTCAGGTTCCTTCTGCCCCCAACCCTCCCCACACACAGAGCAACAGTCCAGTCCACAGCACATCCCTTCCCGCCTGTGTCCTCAGCTTCCCACTGCATGCAAGCAGCTACTGGTGTCCTCAGCCCAGCCTGTGCAGGGTAGCAGCAGCCCAAGCACTCTAGGCACTAGACCAGCTCCTGGGAACCCACAGTGCTCCCAAACACAACACATAGACAAGTACCGCTGGTGCAGCTAACACCCCACCACACACACACACACACACACACACACACACACACACACACAGCTCCGTTGTTGTGGAAAAACTGAAAAGTCAAATCTGGTGAGACACCTGGGAATTCTTAAGGAGAGAATTTGATTTTATTTTTTAAAAATTCTTTCCCATGTTAAGAATGGGGAAAATTATTACACTGCAGGGAATTAGGACTCTGAATAGTTCTAAAATGGAAGGCTTGAAAATGGAAAAAAATAAATGAAGGGATAACTAATTTGACTGGGATGAATGTAATGTCAATTATAACTATTACCAGTTTGGTAATTCATATCTTACCCTTAAAAAGTGGTTTGATAACTCTGCCAAGTATAAAAAATTGACTGATAAGATGAAAGCCTTAGAAAGACCTACTAATTAAACTAATAAAAATATTCACAGAGGGCTGGAGAGATGGCTCATGGGTTAAGAGCACTGGCTGCTCTTCCAGAGGTCCTAGGTTCAATTCCCAGCAACCACATGGTGGCTCACAACCATCTATAATGAGATCTGGTGCCCTCTTCTGGTGTGCAGATATACATGGAAGCAGAATGTTGTATACATAATAAATAAATGAAGTCTTTAAAAAAATATTCACAGATAGAGAAATTTAGAGCAGAACTGATTGCACTATTGCATGATGAAACTGAAGAGGAATGGCCCAAGATTATTAGAAAACCAACCTTAGTTTATTCAGTTATCACAAGATAACAACCACCAGATAATAGGTACCCCAAAACAGAATTTTGTAAGAAATATGTTAATAGCAAAGGTTTGAAGAAAGATTTTCTGTCACTTGGCAACACGAAGAAACTGGAGAATAGTCACACTAGAGAATTAACAGTTAAACAAAAAAAGCTCTAAAACAAAAAGAAGCAAACTCACCCCGGAGGAGTAGACGCCAGGAAATCAAATTGAGGGCTGAAATCAGTAAAGTAGAAACAAAGAAAACAATACAAAAAATCAGTGAAACAAAGAGTTTGTTCCTCGAGAAAAATCAATAAGATAGACAAACCTTTATCCAAACTAACCAAAAGGCAGAGAGAGAACATGCAAATTAACAAAATCAGAAATTAAAAGGGGGACATAACAACAGACACTGAGGAAATCCAGAGAATCATCAGGTCATACTTTGAAAACCTGTACTCCACAAAATTCAAAAATTTAAAGGAAATGGACAATTTTCTGGATAGATATCACTTACCAAAATTAAATCAAGAATAGACAAGCAATTTAAATCAAACTATAACCCCTAATGAAATAGAAGCAGTCATCAAAAGTTTCCCAACCCAAAAAAAGCCAAGGGCCAGATGGTTTCAGTGCAGAATTCTACCAGAAATTCAAAGAAGAGCTAATACCAATCAATACTCCTCAAACTGTTCCACACAATAGAAGCAGACGGGTCATCCTTGTGGATTTCTGTATAATTCCCTAGTGCCAGATTTCTCTTTACACCTATAGTGGCTCCCTCTGTTGATGTGTCTCTTTTCTTACTCCTCTACTGCTTTCCCCACTCAATCTTCCTGACCCCTCATGTTCTCCCACCTCTCCTCCCACCTCCCTCTCCCTTCGCCCCCATGCTCCCCATTTGTTCAGGACCCCAACTAGGAACCAAAGCAATAGTGGAGAGGCTACCTTAAATGCCTGTCCCCTATAATGAGATTGATAACTACCTTAAATGCCATCCTAGAGCCTTCACCCAGTAGCTGACGGAAGCAGAAGCAGAGATCCACAGCTAAGCACTGAACTGAACTCCTGGAATCCAGTTTCAGAGACAGAGGAGTAACGAACAAAGGGGTCAAGACCACACTGGGAAAACCCACAGAAACACCTGACCTGAGCAAGGGGGAGCTCATGGATTGGGGTCTGACAGCTGGGGAACCAACATAGGACCAAACCAGGCCCCTTGAATGTGGGCACCAGCCAGGAGCCCTGGACAGTCTATGGAGCCTCTGGCAGTGGAACCAGGATGTATCCCTAGTGCACGAATGGACTTCAGGAGCCCATTTCCCATGGAGGGATACTCTCTTAGCCTAGATACACAGGGGAGGGCCTAGTCCCTGCCACTAATGACTTGACAGATTTTATGATCCCTCATGGAAGGCCTCATCCTCCCTGGGGAGAGGATGGGGGATGGGATAAAGGGATCCGTGTGGGGCATGGCTGGATGGGAGAGGGAACTAGGATTGTTATGTAAAATAAGACTATTTCTAATTTAAATAAAATTTATTTTAAAAAATAGAAGCAGAATGGTCACTGCCAAACTCTTTCTACAAGGCTACAAATACCTTGATACCCAAGCTACAAAAAGACACAACTCAAGAAAGAGAACTACAGACCAATCTCCCTCATGAACACTGATACAAAAATACTCAATAAAATACTGGCAAATCAAATCCAAGAACACATCAGAAAAATCATCCACCATGATCAAGTAGGATTCATCCTAGGGATGCAGGGATGGTTCAACATATGAAAATCCATGAATGTAATCCACCACATAAACAAACTGAAAAAGAAAAACCACATGGTCATCTCACTAGATGCTGTAAAGGCCTTTGACAAATTCCAACACCCCTTCATGATAAAGGTTTTGGAGAGATCAGTGATAACAGGAACATACCTTAACATAATAAAAGCAATATACACCAAACCAACAGCCAACATCAAACTAAATGGAGAGAAACTCAGCATAATTCCTCTAAAATCAGGAACAAGACAAGGCTACCCACTCTCTCCATATCTCTTCAATATTGTCCTTGAAGTTCTAGCCAGAGCAATAAGACAACAAAAGAAGATCAAAGGGATACAAATTGGAAAGGAAGAAGTCAAACTTTCACTAGTTGCAGATGTTATGATAGTTTATATAAGTAACCTGAAAAATTTCACTAAGAAACTCCTATAGCTGATAAACAGGCTTAAAATTTCAGCAAAGTGGCAGGATACAAGATTAACTCAAAAAAATCAATAGCCCTACTATATACAGATGATAAATGTGCTGAGAAAGAAATAAGAGAAATATCACCCTTTACAATAGCCACAAACAACATAAAATACTTTGGGGTAATGCTAACCAAACAAGTGAAAGACCTGTTTATAACGAGAACTTTGAGTTTTTAAAGAAAGAAATTAAAGAAGATACCAGAAAATGGAAAGATCTTCCATGCTCTTGGATAGGTAGGATCAACATAATAAAAATGGCAATCTTGCCAAAAGCAATCTACAGATTCAATGCAATCCCCATCAAAATACAGGCACAACTCTTCACAGACCTTGAAAGAACAATATTCAACTTCATATGGAAAAACAAAAAGAATAGAGACATATCAGTATGTTACAACAAAAAAAAAACCTTTCATTTGTATCAATATACATAAATACTTTAAACAAGAGGAGGAGTGTGTGTGTGTGTGTGTGTGTGTGTGTGTATAGTAACAAAAGAACCTTAATTTTTATCAATATACAAAAATACATATCAATGTAAAATATTTGAGATTAATAGTTGCTTTTTAGTTTAAAAGTAAATTCAACAATCTACCCTTTTATCCTATCATTCCTATATCCCCCCTTTTATAGCTATACAGCTCATTTTAAAATAAAAAGTTCTAGTTATTATTATTAAAAGCTATTATTAAAAACTATTTAGGATAATAAAGAAATGCAGGTTAGTAGTTAGTCTTCTATAACAATCAAATCTATAGTCATGTTAGGTGTGTTTTCAAGGTCAAACAGATAGGTTTTAGATAGATGGTTTTCAAATACTTCAGAGATCTACAGAATGTAGCATTTAAGATGTTTTAATAAGTTTAATGTTTAATAAAGTTTAAGTTTAATGTTTAATAATAAGATTTTCCAGGTCAGTGAGATACATCTGCTCCTGGCAGCACCAATCTACTTCAGAGAAGATGGTGGACACCGAAGAACCTCCATATGGAGGTTGCTTTCATTTGTGGCAAAAGCTAGCTACTGGGCAAGAAACTGTCCTTGCCTCAACTGCTGACAGTATGCTGTCCAAACTGGACAAGAAGGACACAAAAAAAGGTTAACTGCCAAATTTTGCCAAGACAAGGTAGGACAGTCTTCAAAGAAAAGTCTGTCAGATATGCTAGGCCTGTTGGCCAAAAGTGGATGCGCCAACATTGCAGAGAAACCTTGGGTGACTGTCCAGGCAGACAGAGGTCTCTGACACTTCCATAGCTTGGGAAGTTGTTTACTCTACATTTCCTGTTTACTCAGGTAATATTTTATATTTCTCAGTCTCTAATGGGGATTGAAGACTAGTTATACCACTTTCTTTGTTACCAAATTCAGAAAATAAACTTACAAAAGAGATGTAAAATTTATAAGGTTGAGAGACATAAAAGTTTAAGTTGTTTACCTACGAAAAATTTTAAGCCTAAAAACTAATTTTAGGGTGATAATACAAGTTATGATAAAAAGTGGTTTAAGTATAAAACTTTAGACTCATCAAGATAGGTTAGATAATAATTTCTCTTGCCAAATATAAATATACTGGACATTGTAAATGTAATTGCTACCTGATTATTGTTCTTATTGTATATACTTGTACTATGTTAGAGTTAAAACCTTTCCTTTTTATTTAGACAAAAAGGGGGAAATTTAGATGAAGCATTTACCTAAATTATTCTGTTATTAATAAAATCTCAGGAGTCAGATATTGGGGTACAAACCTGATAAACCAAGAAAGAAGGCGAGGAGCCACTAGCTGACCCTCTCTCTCCACCTTCCCAGATCAAAATTGCTTGAATCTCTGCAAGCCCCTCTCTATCTCTTCCTGTGCCTCTCTTGGCCCTCAAATTTCTATGGTTAATTTTTGGACTCTGCCCCTTGATTCAAGGTTTAACTTTATTAACAGGCATAGAGTGTCATGGTGCAATCAAATATCCCACAACATAGATATGCTGTAAAGATTATATTGGTTTATTATTCTGTACATGATATTATCAGTAGGATTTGAATATTAGTAACACAATCTAGAAAAGTCTAAGAATTAATGTAAAGAAAAAAAAAGAAATCCAATCATCAAGACAACTCAAAGGATCTACCAATCCAAAACTAAAGAATTAGTGTACATTCCTCCTTTCATTTCCATGGATTACAGAGTAAGCAATTGAACCCTTGCATAATGTTGAGTGTTGTCACAAAGCTCTCACTTGGGGCCAGATGTGTCACTATCCACCTTGCTTTTCTGAACTAAGTAAGTCTAAACAAGTAATGTTCTACAGAAACAGGAATTGGGATGCTTCCTCCTTCCCTAAAGGTGCTTCAGTAACAACAAACTTCTTTATTTTGAGCCATGTAGTTCATTAGAAGGGGAGTAGAAATTGGGTACTGAAAAATAAGTACTCTTATAAAAACCCATGATATAACCACTCCCAGAAATTCCACATTATACTTCTCATCACAGCACTGACTCATGCATTCGACTATACTATTCTGAGAACCTGATAGAGTTTAGGCCTTACAGTAAATACCAGAGACGCCAAGCGAGTCCAACTCCCCATATTCAATGAGCCTAAATGATCCCAACTAAGAAAAATAAGAAAGCAACGATCCAGAGATGCTCTACTGCTGGTCTCCAGGGGTGCGGACTATGACACTGACACACTGTCAAGGCACTCAGCCCAACATGAGAACAACATACAAAGCTTTAAAACAGTATTTATTCAGGGTTGAGATGAGGTAAAATCAGTTCTACTTAAAAGTATTCCCAGAACTAAATTTAAAAGGCTATTATTGCAACAACTGTTCAACATAGAATAATAAAAGGAAATGTATATTTTAAAAAAATGTGTAAAGTGAAGTAATGACTTATACAATAGACAGTCATACAGAAATGATGAAATCACAGGGCTAGGGTATAACTCAGAAGTAGAGCACAAGCCAGGTAAGGAGTGAAAATACAAAATGGCTTAAATGTTGTTTGTCAGAGTGGATTTAGTTCCATAATATTTAATCTCACCACAAATAAAATACTGAAAAGTGAATGGGGTCTCATACACACAACTCATTCTCCTATATGACGGAGTTTGCAACTGAAAGAGAATAAATATGTGGTCTCAGGATCACCCTGCAAAGCACTGACGCTCAAGATATAAAGCAAAGCATTAGAAGTCCAGCCTACAGAAAATGCTTCAAATGAAAATCATCTACAAAACAATGAAATAGAATAAATTCTACAATTTACAAATACTTCTATACAAAGAACCACAGAAATGTGTTGATAAAAATCCTAACACTGAAGTGACTTTACTTACTACCTCATCTGTCCCCATAAAACCACGCATTACACAGTTACAGGCATTCTTTGGTTTGGGGGAGGGAAACGCTGCACATATCCCTTGAAAGCAGGAGGCAGATCTCAGGAGTCCTCCTCTATTCTTCTCCATTCTCTTGAGATGAAGTTGCTCACTGAACCTAGAACTCACCATTTTTAGCTAGGCCAGCTGACCAGCCAGCTGCAGGTGCACTGTCTAAGCTCCCCTCACCACTATGGTTACAGACACACATGGTGTCCTAGGCAGTGTTCTACTGCTGTGAAGAGACACCATGATCATAACAACTCATATAAAGGAAAGCATTTAATTGAGGTGGGGGCTTACAGTTTCAGAGGTCTGTCCACTATCATCATGGTGGGGGGCACAGAGGTGTGCAGACAGACATGGTGCTTGAGAAGGAGCTGCCACATGTTGATATGCAGCCAACAGGAAGTAGACTGAAACACTGGGCGGTATCTTGAGCAAGTATGAGACCTCAAAGCCCACTTCTCTAGTGACACATTTCCTCCAGCAAGACCATACCCATTCCAACAAGGCCACACCTCCTAATAGTGACACTCCCTTTGGGACCATTTTCTTTCAAACTACCACACATAGATTTTCACGTGTGCTCTAGGGACCAGAGCTCAGGTTCTCATTTACAGAGGAAGTGTTCTTCTTTGCCCATGTTAAAGGTATTTTTATGTGAATTACTTGGCATATCCAATATGAACAAAATTATAATTTACACATAGGCAATCATCTTCTATTAATTCTAACCATTCAAATTCAGCTCTGTAGTATGAGAAATACAGTTTACTATTTAGATATTTACCTTACAGGTATGAGATGAATAGCTTCTGTTCTGACATAAATTCCCTATTTCCAAACCTTAGAATAAACAGGCCTCTCTAATCAGATATTAGAAGGGCAAGAGGCAAAGGGTTAAAATGAATCAATATACTCACTGGTTTGATTCGAAGCTGATTATCCACCACCTCTAGAATGGCATGTCTTCTGGATACTCTTTTGTCTGTTATCTACAAGGGAAACATGTCACATTTAGCCACTTCCTTCAAAGATAAAACCCTTAGCAACACCTATGAAATTAGTAGGCTAGACATTAAATATATTAACTCAATAACTGCATGTCCAATAACTGCCCTCATTTAACAGATAATGAAATAGTGAAGAGAAGGGGGGAACTTATCAAACCCATGAAAGTGTAAATGACTACCCAAAAAAGCCTGGGGACTACATATCCCCAAATCCTCCCAATTCCTACACATGAAATCTACCTAGAGAGGATTCCTACCAGTAAAGTCTACCAAATAAGGAAAATATTCAGGATGTAACTGGTTAGGGAACATTTCAAATATAAAAATTCAGTTTGTCCTAAAGGTTAAGTGTAAATGTGAAGGGTGTGACCACAAGGTTAGGCAGATCAAACAACCTGCATTCCTGTTCTAGGACCACATGTGGCAGCCCAAGTCAAACATTTATAGTGAAGAAGAGATCAGCATCTATGTCTTCAATATAATTACTTCCTGTTTTGAGTTAACAATGGTCAATTTACACTCACAGTTATTTACCACATCTGAGTTCAAAACTGCTTCTATTTTAAATGCTGAAATGATCATCCTTCTCACCTGGTTGTAAGCATAACAGCTGAGATTAACTTTTTTATCCCTGGGTGATACATGATAAAAAAAAAAAAATCTTAAGCAACAACTACATGACATTCTGATCATATGACCTGTCTTATGGTTAGCTCACTTACTGTCAAATACTTGAAGTCTAGCATTACATACAGCAGGACAAACACTATCTCTCAAAGCATGCTATAGCAATGTATAGATAAAATTAAACCCATTAAGGCTGCAAAAACATTAAAAATGTCACCAGTCAGTACTCTTTTTTTTTAAAGATTTTATTTATTTATTTATTTATTATGTATACAACATTCTGCTTCCATGTATATCTGCACACCAGAAGAGGGCACCAGATCTCATTACGGATGGTTGTGAGCCACCATGTGATGTGGTTGCTGGGAATTGAACTCAGGACCTCTGGAAGAACAGCCAGTGCTCTTAACCTCTGAGCCATCTCTCCAGCCCCCAGTACTCATTTTTTAAAATCATGTAGCACTTCCACACTTAATGATATGACACTAAACGTACAGGGCACAATAGTGTGAGGACCACAAAAAGTAATTCTTCCAAAAAAAAAGTTAATTAAAAAAAAAAATAATTCCTAAGCCAGATGTTGGTGACACATGCCTTTAATCCCAGCACTCGGGAGGCAGAGGCAGGCGGATCTCTGTGAGTTTGAGGCCAGCCTGGCTTCCAGAGCAAGTGCCAGGATAGGCTCCAAAGCTACACAGAGAAACCAACAAAAAAAAAAAACCCTGTCTCAAAAAAAAAAAAAAAAAAAAAAAAATACCTAGGGAAAATATCTTCAAAACCTCATTAAAATATGGCTATTTCAAAGAAGTAAACATCAAAACTGACAAAAATAAAATGTAGAGACTCCTGCATTGTTTTGTGAAGTGTACCTAAGTGGGCAGAGTCAGTAGCAGTTACTAATGGCTCACCTTATCGTTTGCAAGAGCTACAGGACTTACCACAACACTACTGCAGCGATTATTCATTTTGCATGTTTGGATTCTGAAAGCCCAGAGGATTTAAGTAACTTAGGTAGTCACTCTCAGAACACACAGTGTTCAAAATCCTTACTCTTACTAATAAAAATAAATGGTATATGTGAGGAAACATTTACATATGACTATACCTAAATAAAAACATTCAGAAGCAATCACAGAATCAGAGTAAGAAGTTCCTGTTTTTATTTTGAGTATCAAGATCTTTGTCACTTCTTCACAAACGGCTTCCCTAACCATCAGAGGAATGTCATGATAAAACCATGATATATAAAGAAGGTTCCTCTAATACTCCATCCAAGGCTTCTTTCCTTTTTATACTATCCATAAGCAATAATGGATCATTTCTATCTCAGTCTATCTTTTAAGCAGGCTTAACACTAGGAACAAAAGGATATTTTGAATAATACAAAAGTATAGTGTGACCTCTAGTGGGCACATAGTTTATTTCATTACAACTACTGAGCCCCTCTCCCCCACAAAAAAAAAAAAAAAAAAAAAAAAAAGTGTTTTTGTTGGATACAGGGCTACATGCCTGTAACCCTAGCACTTGGGAGGGAGCCAGAAAAATTGCAAGTTCAAGAGCAGCTTGGGCTATTTAGTGAGACCCTGTCTTTAAAACCAAATACATTTGAAATAACTTAAATTCTAACACACCAACACATCCTCCAAGAAGTCAAAGAGATCAACAGCTAGAACAAACCATATCAACGTCTAAAGCACAACCAGGAAACAAATTACAAAACACCTTAGCTAACATGCTCGAGAAAGACACAGAAACAGCAATCTGACAGCCTACATGGGAGCAGGAAAGGCAAAGTGGCAACAGGGAGGAAGGCAGGGAAGAAATAGGGAGGGGGGGGCAGCAAGAAAGCACACTCAAGTGGGAAATGGTGGCGATCCATCTTTCCAAAAGAAAGTGAACCCAAAACAGACGCCTAAAGAGTAAAGTCAAACCAGATAAAACTGGCTGAGTCTCCAGCCTTGACTATTGCTAAAAACCAGCCATCAGTTAGCCTCATCTCACATTAGCAGGGCTAAGAGCCATGGCAGGATCTATAACCCTGTTTTTATAAAGGAGAGGCCCAAATCCACCCCTCTCCTTGCCAAATCCACAGTAGTCTGGATTGCCTCTCTGAAGCAAGCTAAAGCAGGTTGGTCTTGGGCATCTGATTACCAGATGAAGAGCAAGCTGCATTGAGGGCTTAACCTCAACATTCAAAAGAAGACATCTTCCCAGGAAACATTTCCCAACCTCCATTGAGTCTAACAAACGATGGAAAGTGGAACAGTGCTTCATAGAGGTACACAATCACCTTGGGGGAACTTCTGCTTCATCAATACTGTGCCATGCATGCATGTCTCTTCTCTCACACACCCCTCTGAAGCCAACAAACAAAACGTAACCTCAAGCGCCACATTTCCTACTCCCCAAATAGCCTTAAAGCTAATACTAATGATTCCATACAGGCGCTGGAAACCAGCCAAGCTGACTACACTCCTTACATCCTGGTATTAGCTGACCCGGGTCTGCTCCACTAATCCAAGACAATACACCTACAGGATGGGGACCCTGTATGCCCACAGCACTATAATCAGCAGAACATTGTACACAGAGTGGTCACTATAGAAGAGAATGGGGGGGGGGGGCAGGCAGGTAACAGATGTAATTAGGGAAACAGCTATAAATGTAGCGAACCAAAAAGATCATAAACTTATTTGAAACACTGAAGGGTTTATGTGTGATTTTTAAGATTTTATTTTTTATTATATATGTCAGGATATGCATGCGTGTGCAGTGCCTGGAAAGACAGGTGGTTGTGAACTGCCCAACATAGGTGCTAGGAACTAACCTCAGTCCTCTGTAAAAAGCCACAGGCTCCCAGGGGCTAACCCATCTCTCCAGCCCCTTGTGATATTTACTTGGCTGACAGGTTCTCTAGAGTGGCCATTGTAAAGGATATGCCTTGTGGTAATGCCAAACAGCTGAATACTACCGAATACAATTTCATAGTGCAATCTACAAATGTTCTATCTAGTTCCTTATCCTCCCAAAGAGGGAAAGGAATATATTGTTTGGTGACCATTTGTATTTGTATCATCTTTTAATGACCAGTTTATCATCCAATTCTCTCATCTGAATGAGGCTAAGAAAATGTGCCTGACTCAAAGCTTTGAAATCATTAGAGTATCTCTTTAGACCAATGACTGGCCCACTACCCAGACTACTTAAGGGTTAGCTTCTGATATTACCTAAAGAACTACTACTATCATGGTAAGGCCACCAGCCCTGCAAAGGAGGGGATAAAAGAACTTAGCCTGGGGAGGTCACTGGATTCACCAACCGTTTCTATAATGGGCCTGTACTGTAACTACTGTAAGCTTCGTAGGTCAACATGCAACACATTAACCCTTAGAATAACTACTCTCCCTTAAAAGCTAATAGTGTTTTTGTTTATTTGACCTGTTTACATTTTATATCTTATAACCGAACTTAGCTCAGTCTGGATTTGACCCTAGTTTGTTAGCCGGATAGGATGAGCATGATGTTAACACATTCAGTACTTTATATAGACACACACACACACACACACACACACACACACACACACACACACACACACACACACACACACACACACAAAGTCCGTGAGTTGACAAAGTTTGACTGAAACCGTACTGCCCCCAAACTGTAGAATCTTGACAAGCAGAGCCAAGCTGTGGCGTTCCCTGGGGCAGGAGATGGAGCCTCAGCCGAGCAATCTCTGGCTGCCCACGCCCAGGAGCACCTCCCGCACTTACTCCCAGCAGAGGCCCGCGGCCTATCACCGTCTGCCCCGGCCTCACGGGCACCTGGGCACCGCCATCCAGAGGCTGCAGAAAGAAGTCCCAAGACATGGAGATGAGAGCCGGTTCCTTGGCCAGGAGAAGCCTCGCAGCCACCTCCGTCAGACACCCGGGGCATGTCCCGGAGGGGCGTGAGACCCCAGGCTCCTTCACTAGTGAGCGTGCGTCCTCCCTTTCCGGAATCAGCACTCCACGCGAGCCAGAGACTCAAGCAGTTACTACCCGTCAACTCACCGCCAAACTACTACTTAAAAGCAGGTGCTCACACCCACATCCTCCCAGCCCTGCCTCCCACAAGACTCATGGAATGCTGGGTCTTGTAGTCCCTGACACCTCCCTTCCGCTCCTTTCCGGAGTGTAGACCTAATGGAAAAACTACCAATCCCAGAAGGTAATACGCACCTCTCTGCGCCTGTGCGGATTCGTGCTGTGGGACGAGAGAGCGGGCTGGCGTATCCCTGGGATCAAAGCCTGTGGAGTTGTTCTACCTGAGTGTTTAAATAGCCACAGCGCTGGCCTCATGACCTTGTGTCCTCCCAAGAGGAGGACGTTCTTTTCCCGACGGAGTGTGGTGCGTATATGTGTTTCTTCCCCTTGGGCCCCAGTGGCAGGAGTGTCTTCCCTACCCAATGAGGATGTCTTTGGGCTTTTTTTAGGGTTCAGCCTCAGGAGGGTTTTTTTGTCTGCTCTGCGGAAGCCCTATGCTCTCGGGGATCTGCAGCCAGCGGGCCTTCTCTTTAAGGCAGAAGCCTGGCTTAAGCGCTTGGCTCATGTAGCTGGCGCGTCTTCCTTCTCTATAGAGGAGGCCTGTTCTCTGGGCACTGGCACCAAAAGGAAGTGGGGAGGTCTTTCCTATGGAGAGGCCATGTGCTAATAAGCTCAGGGCTTCCCGCTAGAGGGAACTTTGGAGGAAGCCTGGCCCAGAGTTTGGCCTTGCCCTGTTATCTTTTTCTTTCTTGTTGCTGAGACCAATCAGACCCAGCAAGAAGTTATGTCAGGAGGGCTTTCCCTTCCATAACCAAGCCTGCACTACAGGCTGGGCTCTGCAAAAGGAGGTCTTCCTGCCACAGAGTTGGAGTCAGAATGCCTAATGCATCCCTGAGACAAGGTCTTCTCTTGCCCCAGAGACTGCCTTGTAACCAGCCTGGTAGAGATGAAGATATTCTAAAAGAAACACTGTGTCCCTGGCTTCGGCTATCATAACAGGCCCTAAGAAACTGGAATTTCCCCCCAGTAAGCTTATGCTGTGCGAAGAAAAAGCCTAAAGCCTGGCCTAGCCAGAGACCAGACTTCCCACAGAGATTTCACACAGTCCCATCAACTTGTCAAAACATTTTGCTGGAGCAACTACAACACCCACAGTAATGGGCAGGGCCACATCTTAACTGGAAACTGCTCAGATATTCATAACTGAAGGTGGACTTAAGGAGCTCTTTGTCCCTCCTCCTAATCAAAATTCCAATGAAATTTTTCACAGAACTAGGAAAAACAGTTTAAACATTAATGTGGAGACACAAAAGACCCCCAATGGCCAAAGCAATCCTAAAGGAAAAAAGAAATGGTGGTTTTATCAGAATGTCTGATTTCAAATTATATGACAGAGCTATAGTAATGAAAGCAGTATGGTACTGGCACAAAAAGTGCACACAGAGAGTAATGGGGTAGAAGAGAGGATCCAGCAGTAAACCTACACATGTAGAGCAAACCTCATCTTTGGTCTCTAAAACGAATGATGCCTGGAAAACTAATTACCTACACATAAAAGAATGAAAATAGATCCATGTCTCCCACTTGCACAAAAATCACCATCCAATTGTCTTGTGGGTATGTCTGTGGGATGTTTTCTTGGTTAATGACTGACTTGGGAAGGCCCACCCACTGATTTGGTGCCCTGCTGGCAGGTGGTCATGGGTTATAGAAGAAAGAAGGGTAGAGTAAAGTGTGGTGGAATTTCCCAGCACTTGGGAGGCAGAAGAAGTGGATCTTTGTGATTTGGGGGCCACTCTGATCTAAACAACCAGTTCCAGGACAGCCAGAGCTACATAGTGAGACCCTATCTCAAAATCAACGGAGGTGGTGGAGGGCTGAACAAGCAAGTCAGTTTCTTTATGCTCTCTGCTTCAGTTCCTGCCCCCAGCTTCTTGCCTCAAGTTCTTGCCCTGACTTGCCTTCATGGTTGTGAGGTATCCATCAGAGAAGACCACTCAGGCATAGGTTCAAGCCAATAGAAAGTCTTTTAGTCAGTTGGTGACTACATTGGTGTTCAGGACCCAAGTGCAGTTCCAAGCCTTCCTCAGGTTGAGTTTTTAAACACAGAAACAACATCCTGGGTTGACATATTTCACTTAGCCTCAATCAGAACCATGGGAGCCAAAAAGCATGTTTACCATTTAAGCCTTTCCCAGAACTATGGGATTTGATGGGTTACATCTTTGTTCTTGCTTTGGCAGGTGTTGCTGCCTGTGTGCTGGGTTCCAAAGCCTGAATGTCACGTCCATCGTGTCATCAGTTGTACTAAGGTCTGGGGCCTGTTACATCAGGATGTATTACAGCGGCAAGCTGATGTAGACCTTTTCCTGCCCAAGTTTCATTTGGTTGTGGTGTTTTATCACAGCAATAGAAACCTAAACTAGAACAGAAACTGGTACTAGGTTCATGGGACATTGCTGTGACAGACCTGACGGGGTTGTTTTTGAGACTTTCACACTGAAAAGGAGCTGAATGCATAGAGCTTACTGGGATGTTCTGTTGGAACTTGGGAGATAATGCTGAGAGCACTGAAGTGATGGGGGCCTTCCTTGTTCTGCTTCAGAGGGAAGCAAAGACTATCACGACAGTTTGTGTGATATATGTATTAAGAATCTGCAGTTTATGGTCAGCTGGAGCTAAAGTCAGTTGTGATTAACAGGAGACCAGCAACACTAAAGGGGAGCCTTTGCTTTGCTGGGACCATCTATACTGTTTAGCCAGAGCTGACATATTAACGGTGAGAAGAGACCAGCATCACTGAGGTGAAATCTGGAAGTATTTCCTCAGGGTCAGCACACAGAGGGACCAAGGCTACTTCTCATGCTGGCAGCCAAACTAGGTAGAGTAGTACCAGTCTTGAAGGCATTAAGGTATCACGGAGAGCAGCTGAGGCTTGGGCCCAGGAGACATCATTGGGGAAAGGTTAGGGTTATAGACACACACACACACACACACACACACACACACACACACACACAAACACACACCTGTAGTGCCAGTTTCCACAAGATGACTACAAACTGACACTCTTCTTATTCCCAAAAGATTCATAATACTAATACCAAAAGTTCCATTAATACTCTGAAATTGGGGCTGGAGAGATGGCTCAGCAGTTAAAAGCACTGCTGCTCTTCCAGAGGACCTGAAGACCAATTATAAAGACAGCCATCTATAATGGGATTTGCTGCCCTCTTCTGGTGTGTAGGCATACTATACATAATAAATAGATCAATCTTTTTAAGAAAGACTCTGCTAACTAGAATGACGTTCAATACACTCCTTACCCCTTGGTATCAGCTGATGCAAGTCTGTCCCACCAGTCCAAGAGACAGAACACTCTTACGGTGTGAGATACAGGCCATATTTATCTTTGTATGCCACAGAGCTAGCAGCTGTAAAGCATTGTGTTTAAGTGGACACTACACAGATGTTGAATGGAGATGGGACAATCACAGATACGCTCTAGAAGAAATGAATACATTATATAATGAAATCTGAAAATCTTCAAACTTCTTTTTTATATATTATTTATTTAATCTTATGTGCATTGATGTTTTGCCTGCATGTAAGTCTATGTGAGTGTGTTGTGTACCCTTGAACTCGAGTTATAGGCAGTTGTGAGCCACCACACAGGTGCTAAAAATTCAACCTGGGTCTTCTGGATGAAAAGTCAGAACTCTCAACCACTGAGCCATTTCTCCAGCCCAATCTTCAAACTTGTAATCTTCTCAAAGAGGGTAGAGAATATATAGTTTAATATCTGTAGATATATGGTGTAATGGTGGTGGTGTTGATTTGAGACAGTGTCTATGTAGTCATGGCTGTCCTAGAACTCACTCTGTAGACCAGGCTGGCCTCAAACTCACAGAGATCCCATTGTCTCCTGGGTGCTGGGACTAAAGGCGTGTGCCACCACATCCCAGCATTTTTATTTTTTTAATAGCCAGTTTGTGGTCCAATTGTTTTCATCTGAACAAAGACAAATAAAAGTACCTGAGATAACTTTTGTAAGTATTAAATTATACAGTGTCCTTAGGTCAATGATTGTCACAACCCATACCATTTAAGGATCAGATAACAGTGAAAAGGAAAAAAAAACTTTTAATAGAAGTAAGTGAATGAAAAAAAAGAAAAGAAAAATGGCTTCTCCTATGATTTATTGTAGATATGTGGGAGAGCATAGCAAGAGGCAGGGACCTCTGGTAACGTCCAGCTTGTACATGGCCCTGAGCTGGGCCATATGGGGAGAGAGGGAAGGGAAGCAGAAGGAGAGAGGGGGGATCAGGTGCAGCAGCCAGGAGGCCCAAATATACAAAAAGACGAGAGGGTAGCCAAAATGCTTGGGTTATATAGTGAAGAGCAGCCCAGACCCTGGGCTGGAGGGTTTAGGGTAGGGACAATATGCCAGCCAGGAGGACCCTTTACAGGTAGGGACTGAGGGATACAGGGAGAACCTGGTGGCCAGGTCCACTTTGATACACTAAATAGGCACCTCAGCCTGGCTCTATCCTGCCTTGCCATAGGCCAGAGCAGTTTTATTTATCAACCAATGAGAGCAACACATATTTACGGCATACAGAAAGACATCCCACAGCATTGAAACTACTTAGCTCCATAATCCACTGTCATTCTCTAGGGGCCATCTGGCTTTTGCACAGGCTATACTGGGCTTTTGAAATGGTTTAGAATCTACAAAAAACATAGAGGTACCCTTAAAGAGGATAGGAGATGAACCTATACAAGGTGCCTCCAGAAAAGATTGTCATATAACACTAACTCTAACCCTAGCCATGAACACTGACCCTAACCCCATACAGTTCCATTGAGGCCCCTTACCTGTGGATTCTATGTGAATTTAAGCTACGGAGTCCAATAACATGACTGAAAGGCACCAGTGTGCTAGGCTATTGCTGCAAGATGGCTTGAAACGAGTACTAATAGTTTTTTTAAGTTTATTTATTCATTTTTATGTGTATGAGTGCTCTAACTGCAGGTACGCCTTTATGCCAGAAGAAGGAGTCTTCCCATTGCAGACGGTTGTGAGCCACCATGTGGTTGCTGGGAATTGAACTCAGGACCTCTGGAAGAGAAGCCAGTGCTCTTAACCGATGAGCCATCTCTCCAGCCTCTAATAGGTCTTAATAATAATTAAAAACCCAGAGTCAGATATCAGGATATCAGATATCAGTCAGAGAATTAAAGGAGCCAGCCACAAAGGAGACCTCAAACCTCTACTGAATTTTCAGACCAAAGAGGTGATCCTGTGTCTATGAACCCTCAGAAAAGAGGTGATCCTGCTTGTGGACAGGCTCATTTAGTAGAACAGCAAAAAGTGGATGAGGCAGTTCAGGTAGGAAAAGAACCGGACTGTGGAAAAGCTTGACTGATAGGACTTTTGGAAGCCACAAGAGGTTTTAAGTATGAAATGACTTGGTTTATGGCACTCCTTTTGGGAGCAGGGACTAGAAACAAGATGGACTGATTCAACAGTTGTCATGGAGTATGCAGCAGTCAGAGTCTTAAACAGGGAGAGGGTTGAACTACACAGCGGGTATGGAATGACAGACATCCTCATGCTCTTGGTTTTGTCCCAAGGCTATTTCCCCAGTGGAAGGACTCATTGGCTGCTTTTTGTTTCAGATATGCCTCCATATATTCCATATGGCTGGATGCTGTCTGATAGGCATGTGGGTTGCTATACACAAGCAACCCACATGCTCAGCCATAGAAGAACAGAGCTTCATGCAGCTGGGCCTTAAATGGCAGCACTGTGAACTTCCTGCAATGCGCTTAAAGGAGGCAAAGTGACCACAGAAACCATTGCCTGGAGGCTTTGGGACTTGCTAGGCTGAATCACAGACCCAGGAGTGAGAGGCAGTCTTGTTTGTATACCTCAGTCTTGGGAAGAGTAGGCACAGCACATGAGCCTCCCACTCTTGGATTCCCTCCTGGTGTTTCTACTACAGAGGGATATAACTAGTCTCTAGGCTTCTCCAGGGACATGGGGAAAGCACTTCAATGCCCTACTCCATCTCTGCCCTGTCTACCTGGGGCTCCTAGCTTTGTCAAGTGGGCCAAGTATGGGTATGGTTGGGAGAGGTACTAAGTAGCTGTTTTCTGCCCTGTAAGGACAGTGTGAGCAAGCTGGAAGTGAAGGTGTATCAATTTTGCCAAATTGTTGAGAAAGCACTATTCCATTTTGGAAGATTAGTAGGGCCTGCTGGCCTGGGACACAGCACCCACAACACCTACCAACCAACAGGGATTATTTTGTGCCTGATGTCCACCTTTGCATCCATGTCTAGAATAGAAACCTTGATCACCATGGGCTGAGATGTTTGACCTGTAGTACCTGCATGGGAGCCCTGCAGGCAGAGGCTTCCCAGCAAAGCTCCCTGGAACTGGTAGAGCCACCTCAGGGGCTAGACATAGGGAGCTGCTCTATGGGGCTCTTGTTGTTCAAGATAAGAGTTGAGCCTACTGAGTGCTGGCCTTGATTTTTAGACAAATTTCTGGGTCTTGGTCTTGCCTTGACAACTGCCACATAAAGAAGGGGAAACATGAAGCAACTGTCACCAGACTCCCATAACACCAAGGAAAGGGGCCATTGGTCCCCAGTTGCTGAAGAGCAAAGGGTGACTGAAACAGCAAAGGTGTAGTTCTGGAAGGGCCATGGGTGGTAGCAAGTGTCCATTCTGAACATCTACAGATGACTGCAGGGAAACAGGTGGTACTGAAGTGAGTGACCAGCATCCTCATCTACCTACCATAGGGCATGAAAGCCATGCTATTACATGCCAACTGCTCCATCCACTCTAGGCTCTGGAGTCATGATCACCAGTGAGCCCCACATGGCCCCATTAAAAAACAAACAAAAACAGGTCAGACACACTGAACAACTTGCTCTTGGAACCAGAGTGCATTTGCAACAGGGCCATGACAACTGAGCTAAGTTTCTTCATCATACTATGCTTTAATGAAGCCAGCGGCTGGGAAAGGAAGAACTTGGGTGATGTGGTCCCACCGAAGACTCATGGGGAGTAGAGGTTATGTGAGACTGGGTCCCTAGTGCCAGATGATGGTCATTCAGAGATATTATGTCTTGAAGATGCACAGAGAGACTGTCGCAGGAACTAGGTGACTTTGTTGTGACTCGACTTTGTCTGCGCCATTCAGAAGACTGGATGCTTGCCTTCTGTTTCCTACCTGAGAGAGGACAGATGGGTGAGTGACAGGCCCATGAAGCAGACACTCTAACCCATTGCTTGCCTGTATGTTCCTCACTCTGTCCAGGAAGCAATGTAGCCTCTAGCACCTACCTCTTTACATATCCCAGAGTAGCCTGCAGACATCCACCTCAAGGTAGGAAATGTCTCACAGATGTTAAGCAACTTGTTCCTTGAGACAAAGGCAGCTTTGTCAGGGCATTGTGTGCCTTTTGAGCCAGGCATCTGACCCCAGCAACCATGCTGGTGTTCAGAGGTCATCATCAGAGCTCTCAGTGGTCATCTTTCCAACCTCAGTCCTGCCGTTTCTGTTGGGACAGTGTGCCCAGATGGAAGGCTGCTTCCAGAATCTCTTCACTGTGTAGCAGTTGGACAAGTGTGAGTGAGGTGATACTCAAGAGGCCAGAGGGCTCAAGTCCAGGCACTGTTTGTGGAGGCTGTGCTCCCAGACCTACTCCCAGTGTGTGTTGCCAGGAGAGCAGTTGTGCTCATAACAGCAGGACCACACAGCTCAAGTTCACCTCTATAGACCAGTGGCTTTCAACCTTCCTAATCCACAACCTTTTAACACAGTTCATGTGGTGACCCCAACCATAAAATTATTTTCATTGCTACTTACTGTCATTAACTGTAATTCTGCTACCATTATGAATCGTATTATAAATATCTGTGTTTTCCAATGGTTTGGGGGTCATGACCCACATGTTGAGAACCACTGCTATAAACAGAAGTCCCCTCTGTAGGCCCTGCTGATACCTACTCTGGGAAGGTCACTAAGGTAGAAGATGGACCTTTTACCTGCTTCATTAACCCCTGAACTCCAGTTAATGGGAACTTGCTTTCTGTAGAAGCTATAGGTGTTGCCCAGGGGAGTTATGGGATTTGTGAACACATCTCTATCTGGAATGTTCTTCCTCTTTCATAGCCCCTAGCCATATTTTGTAACTGGGTCTGCTTGACCTAGTGGCTTGCATTGCTCAGCTGTCTTGTCAGTAATAATGGGGAGGGTACCAGGCTGGAGTGAGAGAGACATTGATTTGCTGCCACTGTGGATCCAGAGAAGATACAACTTGGCCTACAGGACTCTGACATGCAACAGATGATAACAAAATGGCATCTCCCTCCAGGATTCAATTACTGAGCAGGGCTTTCCCCTCTTCTTTCATAAGATCTTGGGATTTTTGAGGAGAATTCACTTGGAGGCAACTTCCTGGGATGAGAGTCGGGGGACTGTTGAAAACACTCTCCTTCAGCCATGGGTATGATTAAAGCACAGAAAGATCACCCATACTTCTTTCCTTGCTGAAAAAAAAAAAAAAGTGTCCTAGATGATCCTTTAGAGGCACACATTCATCCGTGGCAGCGTCTCTCCACAAAAAAGAGAACTCAGCCAGGCCCTGGCCCACGTCTGTAATCCCAGCACTTGAGAGACAGAGGCATGAGGATCAGGTTACAAAGTCAGCCTCAGCTACACAGCAAGTTCAAAGCCAGTGCAGGCTATGTGAAACCCAGACTGAAAAAAGGAAAGATAAAATGGAGAACTTGGAGCCATTCAGCAGACTGTCTTTCACTTGCATACATAAGAAGCCACAGCTAGGTTTAACCTGAGGCCCTACGACTTTCTCACAGAGAGTTGAGGTGGAGGCAGCCATTTCTACTAGATCCCACAATCTGAAATAACTGTGAAGTGGTATCCATATTACTCACTGAAATTAAAAACAAAATGTACTTACAACATATGTCAGAATCACTTTCCAGCAAAAGAGTATAAAAGATAATAATTTGTGTCTCTTTTAGACTTCACTTCTAGTCCTGTGACTCCTCTAAACCAGCTTTTCATGCGCGATCCTGAGAACCCCTCTGCTGATCACTTCTAGGACCCTTTGTTCTCACTACGAGGCCCTAGAACCAGGGGGTGGTACCCTCCCTACAGCCCTGATGCTCACAACAGCAGCTCTCATCTGTGGTGCCTCCCGGTCATGGGAAGATGGCCCCACCTTGGCCATGTGTGTCTATTCTCACATAAGGCTTCTCATTTCTCTGCTAGCATTGTCCGCCCTGGTTGCAGAAGATGTGTCCAGGTGTCACCAGCAGGCTGATCTCCAGGTTCTTCTCCGCTGCTATGCAGGTCACTCAGGGTCCTGGTCCTGGTACACTTTTCTAGATTTCAAGCGCCTGCCTGGTTTTAGGGCTCTTAGGAGCAAAGGAGATGAGACTCTATTTCTCTACTTAACCTGGATTCTTGAAACAGACATAGGGGAGATTGGGACTTTGAGAGCTGGGCTGGTCTGAGCATCCTGCCAGGGCTGTGACTTGGAAAATAACTTCCCAGAAATTAGTTATTTGGCTAGAAATTAACAAAGGGGGAAGTTTGTACATGTGGACAGTGTATACCTGTATAGTACCAGGGACAAGAAGCTACATGGAAAAATGCTCTCCATGAGGGAAGCATAGGAAAGGTCAAGAGACCCCTGTTCTCAGCAGCCCTGTGGGATGTGTGGGCTTGTATGGATCTTGCACCAGGCTGTCTACTCACCCATCTGGATTTCAGAGGCCTAGCCACTAGTTTGGTCCTCCTGTGTATATTCAAGTTTTTCTTGAACTTAATGGGCATGGCTAAACCCTAACCTGAACTTCTTATCTTCACAAGCAAACAGGCCAGGGAAGTTCAGCTGGAAAGGCCAGCAGTGGAGTCCAGTGACGACCTGCACATTCTGGGCTGTTCAGATCATTCTGCTGGAGCCTTATCTATGGCACCACTGACTGAACCTGGGACAACTGCACCCAGGTTTTCGCCAGTCTCAGAAGGATAAGGGCTTGCCCGGGAGTGCAGAAGCAGCATTCACACTTGTGGAGAAAGGAACAGTCAGACAAATTGACAGTACTTCCTGTTTTGTGGGCCTGTTCCCATGTAGCCAGCACCCCTCAGGAGTCAGGAGGCAAAAACCCATTGTTTATTGAATCTAGCTTTCTCTGAATTGTTTTCTGCCAAACCTCACTTCTGGATAAATTGTGTGCTCTCCCTGAACAAAGTTTCTGCGTCTTTTAGCCAACAAATATGTATTAATCTTCATGAACAGACTGTGAAAGGGAAGAAAAGAGGACTCAGGGAGACTGGTTAAGCAAGATACTACTCACCTCCCCCAGGTAATTCGAGCAGCATCTACAACTAAAGTGGAGTTAGAAGTTCCCCAGGAGGTCCCAGGTCTCTGCCCTGAGATTGCCAGGGGTCCAGAAACCAGTCCTAGGTAACAGTATTGAAGCTCCAAAAGCCACTAATTACCTTTCAATCTCCCATTTTATATCCAAGAAACCAAGGCTAGAACAAAGATACTTGCCCAAAAGCATGCAGCCAGCACCACACAGAGACTAAAGCCCCGGTATCCCTAGTCCCAGCCATACAACTAGCTCTTTCTACCAGACTCATCCTGAACCCTGCTTTCTAACCTGGAAAATATGACTATGAATGCAAAACCATCTGATGGTGCTCAAGATGCCAAGAGGACCAGAGCTCTGCCTGCCAGCAGCACCGGGAGGCCCAGCTCAGAGAGGTACTATCTTACCAATTGCAGGCTTTGGAGGTGGAAGAGAAGGCACCTGAAGGTAAAGTGGTGGCTTCTTGTACAGGTCAAAGTCCAGGTGTCGCTGGCTCCAGCTCCACCTGTCCCGATCCAATACAGGTTTCAGCAGGCCAGTGAACAGTGAATTTTCCTGCCATTCCTAAATCGTAAGAGGAGCAAGTAAGTGAGGTAGGAAGGCACCGCTAAGAACCCCCCATGAGGCCCTCCTCCTTTCTAAAGACCTCATTTAGTTCTTTGACGGGTGGCAGCCCAAAATCCTGCTGGTAGCATCCAATGCTGCTCTGGAGACCCCACGTTTGGAACCCACTAGCTGTGAGCCAGGCCTGGCGGGACTTCTTCTGGGCTTTCTTCGCCTCTTCCTCTGGGTCATTCGGATCCACCATAGCTGACAAGTACTTCTGTGAATATGTGAATCTCTTCCAGGGCTCCTACAAGTGAGGAGGCAAGCATCTTCTAAGAACAGTATTGGATAAGGCTGAGTAGCCATCTGCTACCTGAGTAGCAGGTATCAGAAACATCTAGGAATACAGTGACACAGGGTCCTGACACTATAATGCACTCACACTAAACTCTTAAGGCAGTGAGTCCTATGAGGCTCATGTCATGTCTCCTTTCACAGGGGAATCCATTTTCTACATATAATGGGTGCTGAAAGTCTAAACCCAGGATTTTCTTATGGCTCACAGTTGTCTCCATGGCAACACAGTGCTGCCCAGAAGAACAGCTTCTACACTGTTTCCCACCATATGTATCTGAGCATGTGTGGAGCACCTCCGGCTCTCTAGAGCATGGTGAAGTCACACTCTTCTCCCATCACCTGATCTTTTGTCCACTGTCCCTATATAACTGACTTCACCCAAGGCCCCAGATTACCCTTGGTCAGAGGAAGAAAAGCTCATGTGTATAGTGATTTGAGTGAAAATGGCCCCATAGGCTCATCTATTTGAATGCTCAGTCATCAGGGGGCAGAACTGTTTGGGAAGAACTAGAAGGTGTTGCTTTATTGGCGGCGATGTGCCACTGAGAGGTGAACATGGAGGTTTCAAAAGCTCACACCAGGCTCAATGTCTCTTTCCCTCTGCCTGTTGCTGCCCAGGGATCAAGATGTAAAGGTCTCAGCTGCTGCTCCAACACCATGTCTGTCTGCTTCCCACCATGATGCTCAGAGACTGTCACCCCCAATTAAATGCTTTCTTTTTTATAAGAGTTGCCACAGCCATGGTGTCTCTTCACAGCAATAGGGCAGTGACTAAGAGGATGTGTTATCAGCTGCCTTGTCCCTCACCTTGGCCATTTCTTTAAACATCTCCTTCTTAGCAAGCTCTGTGGAGTTCAGGCTCTGGATACTGTAGTTGTGGACAGCTTTGTTCTCAGGAATGGCAATTCTAATCGCCTTCACCATTGATTTCAGAGGCTTTTTGGTGAGCTGGTATGCTTCTGTGATATTTTTCTGAAGAGAGAGATGGCGTTCATTACCTACATCAGGCACTTCCTCGTGAGCAGTAGATGTTCGCTGGCACAGAGCCATGGTACAGAAACTGATCAAAACTTCTTCAGTACCAGTGGAGTTTATAATCACACAGCCCATGACAAAAGGCTATCTAATCCAACATGTTCCTATCCAAAGTGGAATTCGGAGGAGTAAAATCTTGAGACTTCCCAAGGACAGTAACAACATCACACACCAAGCCACTACTCTTCCATCGACCCAGTAGTAAAGAATAAAAATGTACAGTTCAAATGTACAGTTTGGAAGTGTGAGACACTTTCATGGTGTGGCTAGGGGACACTGTCCTGAGGCAGCAGGGATGGACATCATTAGCCATGGCTGATTTTCAGTATTACAGGAGGTATGGCAGGAGCCAGGCCATTCTCAAGCAGGCCCGGTAAGGAAATGAACTGTTCCCTCTTCAGAAAGGATGCTGAAGAAATAAGGTGACTTTACTTGTGGGTTTCTTAGGGAATTAAAAACAAAATAACTTGAACATGGTGTATGTACCTGTAAAGTCATAAAATAAGGGGCAAGACAAGGCTGTCCACTCTCTCCATACCTCTTCAATATTGTCCTTGAAGTTCTGATAAACACCTTCAGCAAAGTGGCAGGATACAAGATTAACTCAAAAAAATCTGTAGCCCTACTATATACAGATGACACATTGGTGAAGAAAGAAATCAGAGAAGCATCACCCTTTACAATTGCCACAAACAACTTAAAATACCTTGGAGTAACACTAAACAAAAAAGTGAAAGACCTGTACCTTAAGAATTTTGAGTCTCTAAAGAAAGAAATTAAAGAAGATAGCAGAAAATGGAAAGATCCCCCATGCTCTTGGATAGGTAGGATCAACATAGTAAAAATGGCAATCTTGCCAAAAGCAATCTACAGATTCAATGCAATCCCCATCAAAATCCCAACACAATTCTTCACAGACCTTGAAAAAACAATTCTCAACTTTATATGGAGAAACAAAAGACCCAGGATAGCCAAATCATCCCTATACAATAAAAGAACCTCTGACCACCATCCCTGACTTCAAGCTCTATTACAGAGCTATAGTCCTGAAAACAGCTTGGTATTGGCACAAAAATAGACTGGTAGACCAATGGAATAGAATTGAAAACCCTGATATTACCCCACACACCTATGAACACCTGATTTTTGACAAACAAACCAAGTTTATACGATGGAATAAGGAGAAAATCTTCAACAAATGGTGCTGGCATAACTGGATGCAGACATGTAGAAGACTGCGGTTAGACCCAAGCCTATCGCTTTGCACAAAACTTAAGTCAAAATGGATCAAAGATCTCAACATAAATCCAGCTGCACTGAACCTATTAGAAGACAAAGTGGGAAAGTGCCACTGAGAGGTGAACATGGAGGTTTCAAAAGCTCACATCAGGCTCAATGTCTCTTTCCCTCTGCCTGTTGCTGCCCAGGGATCAAGATGTAAAGGTCTCAGAATGGTTTCCTCCCAGATGATGACTGAGAAACTAATTTTTAAAAAAATGGTCCCAAGTTAAAAAAAAAAAAAACTTAATGCTACTAACTGGATGGTGATAACACATGCCTTTAATCCCAGCACTCAGGAGCTCAGGAGGCAGAAACAGTCAGATCTCCATGAATTCAAGGCTAACCTGGTCTACAGAGCAATTTCCAAGACAGCCAAGGCAACACAGAGAAATCGTTTCTTGAACTGCACCTCCTGAAAAAAACTAATGCTAATGGGTTGTTTTAGAGGATTTAAAAATAAAATGTTGCCTAATTATAGGCAAAATAATTAAGAAATGTATGAAGAGATATTAGGCTTCATCAATAAATAGTACATCTTAAAACCTCTCTGAAAAACTCTTAAACATCAGAAATTAAACATCTCAAAGTCCAATTTGTAACATATAGCATGGATGTACAAAATGGTATTTCCCATGCAAGATAAGGATGCTTATACTGACATAATCGTTTTGGAAAATAATATATTGTTGGGAGCCAAATCTCAGGGCTTGGCATGAGATCCTAAGCCATGCTTGGCAGGCCACATAGTTAACCTTTACATAGCAGCTCCTTAGAACCTCAGCTCAAGAAAAGAAACAACTTGACCCAGTCCTCCACCCACAGGCTCAGTCACCTAGGCAACCCTTCCTGGACCTCTTACTCATGAACTCTTTACCCTGCCAAACATCCTCTTTGTGGCTTCCTAATATCCTGCCTATTCCAACACCTGGTGCACAACCAACCCATTCTGCCCCTCCCCATATCCTGACTATATAAGCTAGCCTGAGAAAAGTAAAGTTTGCCATTTGATCAGAATCCTGTCTTGTCATTCTTTCTGTATCTCTTGTCCCCTTGTCCCCATTCCCCTGTCCCTGACTCTCTTGCCCCAGGTTGATCTAGGCAATAGAACTAGCATTCGGCAATTGTAATCTTAAGTATCATATCCTAGAAAACAACTGCATACTTTTAGCAGAAAATGTAATGGCATAGAGTTAGAATACCTTTAAATTGCAAAAGATAAGGAATGATACAAATGGCCACCAATGAGTAAATAGCGTCACTGCAGGGAAGAAGGGGAACTTTGAGACTAGAAGTGGAGTGTGGAGGTAGAGGTGGAGAGGGCTTCACAAAGAGAGATCATGAGCAGATGGATTCAAGTCTCGCTTTAGATGTTTGTATTTCCAAGACTTTGGGCTGGCTTGGGGTAAGGCAATATCCTTGGCCGTCCAAGCCACACGGCACTGATCTTTCATCACCTCACCAGCTTCTCTGTCTTCTATTATCTCCTCTCCTTGTTTTCTCCTCTAGGCCAGTTTATTTTCTATGATGCTTAGACAACTTTTGATACCCATGCCTTTTAAACAAGATGTTTCACCCGTAACAGGTCTTCTCCTAAGACAAACACTAGACTGCAGTAAGTGCCCTGTGCCTGAGCTCACTCCTTCTCATATTCAAGGAAAACTGAGGTAAGAGGGACTGCAAGCAAATGCTCTGGCATAATTCAGTCCTGCCTTTCATATTGCTGACCTGTCCCTGCAGTGTCCCGAACCAGAAGAACAAATACAGGCCAGATGCCTCTTAATGGGTACCAGAAGCCCCAGGGGATCTGGGAGCCTCAGCATAGAGGGGAGAGAGAACGCCCACCTGGACAAGGCTACACTTATGGACTTGGTTCCTCAGCATGTTGTTCCGCCACTGCAGGTACTTCTCCTGGTGGATCTGGATCTCCTCTGGGAGAGTAGAAGTCTGACGTTGGATGTTCTCCTCATTGGGAGGGGACTGGGGTGACACAGTCAACATCTTTCCATTTATGAGTTCCTCCTGGGAAATGGGCATCCCAAACTCTTGATTCAGGTCTTTAATCATGGAGGAGGAAGGGAGCAGGTCTCTCATAATCACCTCCTTGAGCCTGGTGCTGTTATGGCAGATGTCATGGATTCTGAAATGAAGAACGGCCAGCCACTCAGCCTCAGCTGTGTAACCATTACATTTCACTGCAGAAATGAAAGCTCAGGTTGGCCAGGGGTGTCCGGTCAGAGCTAGTTTAGTTGGCTAAGTTGGGTTCCTGGCGTATGCTCCTTTCCCCTTTCTTCCAAGCCTGCAACAGTTAGGAGCTGCTCATGATATGCACTGAGTGTTTTTCTGTTACCTTGGCTTTATCCACAGTCTTCATCAGTCCCACACTCCACTAGGGAGCCACCCCAGAATGCTAGTTAGCTCTCAGCAGGTGGATCTCAGGGTGCTCCTGCACCAGAGATGATGATGTGATCATAGATCACTCCTCCACAGAGCTTGAGGCCTGAGTGGGTAGTCCTACCTTCTCCAGCCCCAGTGCTTACTGTCGGTAGCAGTGGGCCATACCTCCATTGCCCTGCAGTGGACCTAGGATCCACACTGACACTATCTGGGACCTTCTGTGTGCTACCCACTGCCTCCACTGTTTGCCAAGTCTGAACTGAGGTCTATGCTGACCCATGGACCTTACCTGGTCTTTCTGGGTTTGGGCTTCCACAACCCTCAGAAACAAAGCAAAGACACAGTCACTGTGGCTTTAGCATTGTATTAGTCACTTTCCTTGTCGCTGTTATCAAATACCTAACAAGAAGCAACTTAAAAGCAGAGGATTTGGTTTGGCTTTCAGTTTGAGGACACATAGCCCCTTGTGACTGATGGGTAGTAGTAGTATAAGGTCATGCTGCAGCCACAGGCAGGACTCAGAAAGAAATGAATGCTGGATCTCTCTTCTTTTTATTCAGGCCATGACCCCTGCCCATGGGGTGGTACCACCTTCATTCAGGGCAAGTCTTCCTTGCTCAGTTAATCTTTTTTTGGAAAGTCATCATGAAACACTGAAAGATATGTTTCCCTGATGATTCAAACCACCATTACATTGACAATCAAAATTAACCATCACAAGTCCAACCCTAAAAACAGGAGAATAGGGATCACAATCTACCCATGCTTGGAAGAGGCTGTCAGGGTAATAGCCAGTGCCTCCTCAAGGTCAGTCTGTTCTGCCTCCCCTGGTGCCCTACTACTCTCTTGGGCCCCAAGGGATGCACAATGACTGCCCAGGTGGTGTCCCTGCATCACTGGACTTCCCATGCAGCAGCCCTGCATCACTGGACTGACCACACAGCACCCTGCATCACTGGACTGACCACACAGCACCCTGCATCACTGGACTGACCACACAGCACCCATGCACCACTGGACTGCCCATGCAGCATCCCTGCATCACTTTTTTCCTCATGCCCAGTTCCTTCTGAACTTGCCAGATTCCAGCACCTCTCAGCCAAAGTTGGTCTGCAGAGGGATGATGAAACCCTCAGGACACCTGGAACAAAGGCAAGGCTTGATAGGCAGGGCATAGCAAGTGGGACACTTAATGCAAGAGCTGGCTCTTTGGCAACAGGCTAGCTCAGCAACAGAGAGGGAATATGGGGTGGGGCTCAGGGCAGAAACAAAGCGAAGCATTGGGTGAAAGGAAAGCCTGCAGCTGGTGTTGCCGTCCATATCCCTAGTTCTCACTGGAAATTATGCTTTGACCAGATGCTCCCTCTCAGATCCTTCAGGGGAGCTGATGGAGCAGAGTTGCTCAGTTTAGTGCCCAGTCTTCTTCCTGCTAACTTGTTTTGATACATCTCAGGAGAACCTGCATCTTTTTCTCCTAGAGCCTGGGAAATGCAGGACATTCTTGTTTGCTGTCCCTATGGTCCACCTAGCCTCAAGATAGTGGGATGTACCTCCTGTCCCATCCACACTCACCTGGCCAGAGCCTTAAAGGCCATGCGTGACACAGCCCCCCGAATGTAGAGCACTGGGTACCGCAGAAGCAGTGACACAGGCCTGAACAAATGCACATGGTACAGAATGGTCTCCAGGTCAGCATACAGGCGATGGCGGAAGAGCAACCTGGAGTCATACAGCACCTTGCATGCTACACGATTGGAGGTAGTGACCCTAGGAGGAAGGAGGATCAGCGTCACGCATGGGTCCTGAGAACACTTGATGCCTCTGCTGTGTCTATCGAGGTTTCCTTTCATTCTATACATTGTTTAAAAGCAATGAATAGAAAGCAATGATAGTAAACACGCCGGGCAAACCCAACCTGGGACCCTGAAAGCAGTGGTAGCCGAGGCCATAATTTTGTCCCCATTCCTGCTCCTTTGTCTCTCCCTAATCTGAAATGACCCTTGGTATTCCAGCAGTAGCAACTTGGCAGGGTTCCTAAATACAGCCCGCTCTGTGAGTACCCTGGGTGCCGCTCCCACATCTTGAAAACTCCTGAGATCTGTGCCCATCCTCCTATTCCCTGGGGAATCTCTCCTTGGTCACTGTAGTTCTTCCTTTATCAAGTATTTGGGTCATTTTCCAAGCTTTCCACATAGATGTTTTTATTGCTGTCATACTGATCAGTCTCTCTTGGCAGCCCAGGATGGCCTCATCATGATCCCTTCCTACATCCCCATCCTGAGTGCTAGGACTACAGGTCACATGCACACCATGCTAAACACGGGACTTGTTTTATGCAGTCAAGATTGCCAACTTTGTTCCATACACTGAAATATTTTCAGTCTGTTGCTTTTGTCTTCAAAACTTTATGTTTTGTTTAACAAAAATTACTCCTTTTTAATGTAGCCAAATAATGCATTCTTTCTATTCTTTGTACCTCATTGGAGAGATTTTTCTCTAATCTGATGTCATGAGTGTTTTTTCTTAATTGTCATCTAAAATTTCAAAGATAGGTTTTTAAAAATATGAGCACTGTGGTTCATACATGCAAGCCCAGAACTCAGAGAATTGAGTCAAGGGAACTGATGTGGACCTAAAAACGCCCTAAGCTAATGAGTTCCAGGACATCCTGGGTTACAATGTGAAACTTCTCTCAAAAAAAAAAAAAGTTAAAGATTGGACCATTATAGTCTATTTAGCCCTGCTTTATCGATCACAGAAAAAAATGCTGTAGATTCCATCCAGTATGACTGGAAACAAAAGCACACAAATTGAAAAGGAGAAGTCACTCCTCCTTATATCATAGCCTAGGATAAAAAACACCAAAAAATTTACCAGAATAAAGACAGACAACTCCTTCATTCAATAAGTTGATTTATGAGCTTATGAAAATCAGTTATGCTTGTGTAAATGATCAAAGAATATTTGGCACCTGAAATTTAATGTAGAATTTTCAAAATAACAAAAGTATAGGGTGGAACAAATTTGCAGTTGCCAGGAATTAAGGACAGTTAAAGAGGGTAGGCTTGATTACTATGGCAACAGGAGGAAAATCTTTGAGGTGACAAATAATTCTGTACCTTGATTACAGTGGCTGCACAATTCATCTGTGACAGACTTTGTGTGCAGCATGCCCACATGGCACTATCAGGACCCTGTGTTAGATATCCTATCAGAAGGAAGTTTGTAAGGGACACAGAGGGCCTCTTGGTCATATTTTTTAGCCTCTTGTTAATATATAATTACCTCAAAACGAAAAGTTTAAAACCTACACAGGTTTTAAACACAGAATGCCAGAAAGATGGCTCAGTGGTTAAGAGCGCTTATTGATCTTGCAGAGGACCTGTGTTTGGTTCCCAGCATCTACATGGTGACCCTCAACCACCTGGAACTCCCGTTCTAAGGGATCCAGCGCCCTCTTCTGTCCTCCATAGGCACTGCACACACAGGGTGAACAGACATGCATGCAGGTAAAACACATAAAATGAGATAAAATAAATTTAATAAAAATATCAAGTCTAAAGACCACATAGATTTTTTTTTGTTTTTTTGTTTTTGATTTTTGAGACAGAATCTCTCTGTGTAGCCTTGGCTATTCGGAAACTCACTCTGTAGACCAGGATGGCCTTGAACTCACAGAGACCCACATGTCTCTGCCTGTGCCTCTAGAATGCTGGGATTAAAGGCAAGCATCACCACTACTACCCAGCTTATATTTTCTTTTTAGGTAGCTGAATTTGTTTTTATAAATGGCTTTAAACGAATTTACTTTCCTTTTCCTATGGAGAAAAACAATTGTCCACTTTTTTTGTCTACTACAGATACCTATTTATGCTTATCTGTTTGTTTGTTTTTTGAGATAGTCTTTCTCTGTAGCCACATCACATGTCTTACTGCATGTCACTCTACAGTCCACATTCTGACGATCATTTGAAGGGCATCTGGTTTCTACTTTTTGACTCCTATATACTATACATTCATTTGCAGACTTTGGTGTGGATGGAAGTTTTTGGTTATCTTAGGTATGCATCTGGATAGAATTCATGCATCTCTCTGGTGTTTCTCAGTTTGTCAGCACATCAGGACAGGTCCCTCGGTGGTATGGTCCCCTCTGGGGTAGACAGAAACAACTTCTGGCCTCTTGCTGTTAGTGCATGAGGTCCAGGACCATGAAATCTGCTAAATTTCCACTAAAGAGGATCCTATTCCTCAAACAGGTTAAACCTAAGTGTCATGTCCTAAATCACCCTAAATTTTGTTTCATTTAAAAATAATGTATCACCGGGTGGTGGGGACACATACCTTTATTCCCAGCACTCAGAAGACAGAGGCTGGTGGTTCTTTGTGAGTTTGAGGCCATTCTGGTCTACCGAGTGAGTTCCAGGACAGCCAGAGATACACAGAGAAATCCTGTCTCAAACAACAACAACAAAAAGCTTTATGCATCACTCTGTGTGTGCACCATGGCATGGCATATACATGGACATCAGAGGACAACTTCATAGAGTCAGTTCTTTCCTTTCACTCTTTATGTGAGTTTTGTGGATTTAACTTGGGGCACCAGGATTACACAGAAAATGCCTACATGTACTGAGCATCTCATTAGCCCAAGCCTAAATTTACCCTTCCTGCTAAAACAGCCAGGTCTGCCTGTTGCCAGTGTTTAGAGGTCTTGGAATCTGGCCTTGGTTTTGAAACACCCACTCTGTTTGCCCTGTGTCCAGAGTACCATGACTGTACTTTGAATGTGACAGAGTGTACCTACCTGCTCTGGTAGCTTTCCCACAGCTGCCTCAAGCCATGTTCTGCCAAGCCTTCTAGAATAAAAAGGTGGATCCTTCCATCCAGCAGATGGAAGCCAGTGAGGACATCTAGGTTCTGCTGCTCTTGGATCTTCACACGTACCCTGAAGGCTGACAGTATCTGCTGCATTTTCTGGATGGGATAATTGTCCAGGCCCAGGGCTTTGGCATTGATCTTGGTGATGTCCTTCAGCAGGTCCTGTAGGAGGGCCAGCTTCTTGGTGTTGAACACAAAAATGATGCGGCCAAACTGGGTACCCATAAGGTCAAGCTCAGGAGCTGTGAACCAAGAACTCAGGGGCACTGCAATGTCCACTCGAAGCTTGAGTAGAGAGTTGGCTTCCAGGTAGTTGCCTATGGGCATTGAGTTGTGCTGGAGGACCTCCGCGGGGGTGCGGTACCCTACAGACCTCTTCCTGCTATCCTGACTCTGGCTGGCAAACTTTGGCTCACAGTTATGGATGGGGACAACCAGGTTCAAGTACTTATGACCAAGGAGGAGTTCAGCAAAACTGACCCGGGCAATCCCATAAGGGTCCCACATCTTGTTCTGGGACTCAAAGGGGTTATTCTCTGTGTCTTTGGGAGAGATGAAAGCTTGGAGATTGAAGTATGAATCCACAAAGTCCTCTCCAAACAGGGTTGGCTTCCGGGAATACTGCTCTGATTTTCGGTCCCTGTCATGGACTTCAACCACCATAGGGGGCCCTTCAAGGTACTCCCTCAAGTCACTAGGGTGCATGGCCCCAAGAAAGATGACATTGATATCCTGGAAAAATACATGAGTCCCATGGGGCTCCCCCTTGGTCTCATGAACTGGAGTCGTGTGGAACTGGTATCTGCAGTACACAGGAGCACACAGCCTCTACAAGAAATTGGGGAAACAAAAAGTTACACTCCACCTGTGTGCCCAGACTCTATAAGAGGGCAGGTACAGCAGGTCACACTCCACCTGTGTGCAGCTGAATTGGAATTTTCAGCTTGACTCTAGCCAAAAACGTTTTATAATAAAACAGTGAAAAGTGTCGATATTCTCCAAGAACCAGAGTCTTATAATATGGCATTCAAAAATGTCTATGACACAATCCAGAATTAAATGACCCACAAAAAGCCAAGAGAGACAAGATCAACAGATGCCAACTCTGAGATGACTCCCAGGTTGGAAATGTGAGAGTTTAAACTGTGCTATTATGGCCACATTACAAGAAGTAACCACAGATGCTGCTCAGAGTGTCTGCAAAGATCATTTGTCTTGTGGAAAGTACAACAAAGAACCAACAGAAACCAAACAAGAGATTAAAATTTTCACTGGATAGTCCTAAAAACAAAATGGACATAGCAAAAGAAAAAGAGGTGAACTTAAAGAGAGATCATAGAACTATGAAAGACTGACAAGGAACAGGAAAGAATTCTGAGACAACTATAATAATGTAATATCTGTATCATCATATGAGTCCCAGGAAGAGAAAGCAGAAAGGACATAGAAAAGCTATGAAAAGGAGAATGTTTAGAAATTGCCTCGCTTTAGAAAAGACATATTCTCACAGGCTCAAGATGCTCAATTCATCCAATCAGGCTTAATTCAAAAAGCCCACATCCAGACACATCCTCACTAAACTATTTTGTTTAATTCTATTTTCAAAAAAAGGGGGAGAGCAAGAACATCTTAAAGGCAACAAGGAAATGACCTGTCACACCAGGAGAATTGCAGTCATGGAGGGCAAAAAGAGAGGCACAGTGCTAAAAGAAGACATCATCAATTGAGGATATTAAACCAGTGAAGATGTGTAATGATAAATCTTTACACCAAAGCCGCTCGAGCCCTGCCACCACATGGGCTCCTTCTGCCAACTACCCAAGTTCTGCCCCCCACATCAGGGCCCCAAATAATACACAGAGACTTATATTAGGTACAAATGCTGCTTGGCCAATTGACTAGGATTTCTTATATACTAGCTCAGTCTTAATTATCATAAATCTATATATTTTATAAGACTTATCAAGGACACCTTCCACTGGTGTCCTCTTCCTGGGATCACATGGTAGCTCCGTAGAGAAGATAGCAGGAGGAAGAGCAAGAGCAAGAGGATAAGGATGATTTCCTTCTTGTCCCTGCTTATATTCTGAGTCGGCCTGCTATGTCACTTCCTGCCTGGATCTCTTTACTACATTTCCCAGAATCCTCCTTGACTCATAGTCCTACCTATCTTGCTTTCCTATTGGCCAACAGTACTTTATTTATCAACCAATAAGATAAACATACACCAAAGGACTTGCCCCATCAAAGATGTACCCCAGGGATGAAGTGAAATGGATACCTGTTCATGGATCAAGAAGAAAACCAAGATAATTTGTTACTAACAGCCATGCTTTAAAAGGTTACTAGAGTAGCTTCTGTTTGTAAGACATTCTAGCAAATGCAAACAAAAGATGGAGGATGAACAAGTCTTTTCTGGGAACTTGGTGGTGAGTACAAAGTAGCAACATTAGGAAGGGTTAGACATTTCAACTGACATAGACAGACCTGTGGCTTTAAAGCTCTATATCAGTGAAGGATTTTTTTAACTTAATCTGACAAACTTTTATAAACTGATATTTCAAAATAAACATATATTGCACGTGGATTTACTTGTAAAAAATAGTGTGTGTGTGTGTGTGTGTGTGTGTGTGTGTGTGTGTGTGTATACTGAGATACTTACTTAGTGTAAGATACTTACACTAAGATACATCATGTGTTAGTTAATTTTCCATTGCTGTGATAAAACACCAAGAGTAAGGCAACTTGTAGAATGGATGATTTGAGATTACAGTTCCAGGGGGATAGGAGGCCAGCATCAACATGACAGGGAAGCTTGGCATCAGGCAGGCAAGATGACTGAAGCAGCAATCTGGGAGCTCACATTTAAACCACAAACAGGAAGCAGATCGGGTGAACTGGGAATGCCATGGAGTCTTTGAACTCTCAAAGCCCACCCCCAGTGATGATGTACTTCCCCCAACAAGCTTCCTCCACATCTCCTAAGCCTCCTCAAGCAGAACCACCAACTGGGAACCAAGCATTCATCTGCCTGAGACTATGGAAGACATTCATTCAACTCACCACACACAATAGTTTCAGAAGGTAAAAAGAAGATCCTATACTCTTTGAGGAAAATAACAATGCCTTCAAAAACCTGAAGCATTATTTTTAACCAATAAATCTAAACCTAACTGTGCTGGCTACTTGTTTTTACTTTGGTTGGTTGGTTGGTTTCTTTTGGGTTTTGTCAATTTGACACAAACTGGAGACATCTGGGGAGGCAGAATATCAGTTGAGGAATTCCTCTAGCAGATTGGCTTGTAGAAAAGACTGTAGAGCATTTTCTCGACTAATGATTGATGTGGGAGAAACCAACCTAAGCCTACTGTGAGCGGTCCTGTATGATACATGAAAGCAGGCTGAGACATCCTGGTCTACATAGAGAGCTCCAGGACATCCAGGGCTAGACAGACAGACCCTGTCTCAAAACACAAGAAAAGAAAAGAAAAAAATAATAAAGGGAGCAGGCTGAGCAAGCCATGGAAAGCAAGTCAGCAGGCAGTGGTCCTCTGTGGCCTCTGCTTCAGTTCCCGACTCCCAGTTCCTGTTTGAGTGCCTCCCCAGGTTTCGCTTGATAATGGACCTTAACCTGTAAGATGTAATAAGACCTTCCCTCCCCAAATTAGTTTTACTCAGTGTTTTATTACAATACTAGAAAGCAAACTAAGCCACTAACCAGTTTTTCAAGCATGAGAATATGAAATATAATGATATTTTTAGAGTGTGAAATAATGTGGTCGTGGGATATATACTAAAGGATGTGTTTCAGCAAAACCTAAGAGCAAATAGAGGAAGAGGAAAGCAGTCCCAGAAACAATGGTCCAGACAAGAAAGAGGGAACTCCTAGGATACACAGTAGCACTGAGCCTAGAGGGTTTACAACAGCAGGAACCCATCTGGGTGTTGCTACTGTGACAGGGAAGCCCACACATTTCTGAACAGGCCAGTAATCTCCAGTTGTAGCCCACCTAAGAGAGTAGTGAAAAGCCTCAGGTTTGGTGGTTCCTACTCTCAGGAACCTCTTCTCTCTTGTGTCTCCCTACAGAATAAGCAGTGGGTGGTATTTCTTACACTGAGCACCTGAAAGATCAGATGACACACAGGAGCCACCTGGGTGGGATAAGAAGGTGCTCTTAACGGGAAAAGCGGGAGTTCTTTCTTACCTCCAGTTCACGAATGGATACAGGATAGACTGGAAGGCAAGAAGCACACCTGACCTTTATGGTCAGGGGGTTCAGATCTTGTTTTTGCTCTTCAGTCATGATAGGAACTTCTGTTTTTAAAGTCAAAAAGCAATCTAAAATGTTGGCAGACTTCTCACTGCCACGGCTGATGACTGTTTGCCAGCCTATAAGGAAACACACACAGCATTAGCCCCCTTAGCCCAGGACAGTTAGAAGCAGTTCTCTTCGGAAACTTGACAAGGGGTGCTAGCATCTTTGGTATTAGAAGGTACTCTTCAAGCTACCAAAACAAAAAAACGCAGACACCATCCCAGCAACAAAACATTAGATTTACAATGGCATCCTGCCTACAAAATATGCTAGTGCAATAGTCGCACAAAACTTTTAGGAGTAACCAGTCAATATCTGCTTTGATTTAAGGCATACTCCATGAGATGGAATATATAGCCATGCCACTTAGGTGGCCAAAAACCTGAGACGAGATAGCCTGGGGATAGAATAAAACTAAATATACTATTCTAGCACTACTGCCAGGAGACACGACATTCCACTGAACTGGAAGCTTGGACACCACGCTCATACCTCCACCAAAGCCATTTTGGGCTTCTGATGGTCTTAAGGCAACAGGCTAAGAGAGGAATAGCAGTGTTAGGAAGTGTACTGATCCAGATTACTATGGGGAAATTGGATTGCTTCTCCACAATGGAGTTAAGAAAGACTATGTCTGAATGCAGATCCTTTAGGCAGGATGACAAAGGGCACAGACCCTTCAGGAATGAAAGTGTGGGTTACTCCTCCAAGAAAACAGCTAAGACCTGCTGAAGTATTTGCTGAGGGTAGAGGAAATACAGAATGTGTAGTAGAGGAAGGTAGTTATAAATACTAACTGGAGCCACATACCAGTGACAGAAAAGAAGATTATAACTGACATGAGTTTTGTTGTATTTTATTAAGAATGTGTTTGTACAGATATTTACAGATTCTTTATCATAAAATGTAACATCAGGGGCTGGAGAGATGGCTCAGAGGTTAAGAGCACTGACTGCTCTTCCAGAGGTCCTGAGTTCAATTCCCAGCAACCACATGGTGGCTCACAACCATCCATTATGAGATCTGGTGCCTTCTTCTGGTGTGCAGATATACATGGAAGCAGAATGTTGTATGCCTAATAAATAAAATCTTAAAAAATGTGACATCAATTAAGATAATATCAGTGGTTATCATATTTAAGTTTGAGATGCTAAAAGAATGTTCCTCAAGGGGCATTGCCATCCATTCTAAATTTACAATGTGTTTTCAGTTGAAAATAGGATATTAATATCCTGTTAGGCAAAATTATAACCCAGTTAAATATATAATGCACTTGTAGTTGTACATGTGATAGTTATATCATATTGGGCATAATTATGGTTAAATATATAATGTTTGTAGTTGTATATAGGATAGTTATATCATGCTAAACATAGTTATGACTTGGTTATTGCTTTTATCTGAAAATTAAGCCTGACATGACATAAAGAGATATAATTGTGTGTCAAATTGGCAAGGGGTGGACTTGTGACTACTATTCTTGGCTTGGTCAACATGACTATATCTGGAATTAGCTAAAACCCAAGTAGCTGGGCACAGCTGAGGGATTTTTTTTCTTAATTAAATCATTTGAAGTAGGAAGACCCGTTTCTAATCCAGATCTTTGAAGTGGAAGATCCACCTTTAATCTGGGCCACACCTTCTACTGACAGCTATATAAGGACATGGAAGAAGGGAGCTTGCTCTTTCTGTCTTCTTCCTCTCCCCCCCTCTCTCTCTGTCTCTCCCTCTCCCTCCCTCCCTGTGGATCGGGATGTAGCTCTCAGCTACTGCTCCAGCACAATGGTCCCTGTCAAGATGATAATGTAACTAAGCCTCTGAAACTGTAAGTAAGCCCCCAACTAAAGAAAAGCCTGGTGCTATATGGAATAATGGGAGTGGTGATCTCAGGGCAAAACCCCACCCAGATAGGCTTCCAATTTGTGAAAAGGAATTTTTGAAAGCTTAAGTGATAAAGAAAACCATGAAAAGAAATTATTGTGTGTCAAGTTGACAAGGGGTGTAACAGAAAGCTGATACAAATGTAATTGAACAAGGAGCCAAGTTCCAGCCTCATCAAACAGCAGAAATGAGTAGCTTCAGCCATCTGGTCCTGGCTTTAGAGTCAAGGATACAAGAAAGGGTTTATGGAATCTCCTTTTGCAACTAATGAAAAAATTCTGAGGACAGGCATATGTCAGGGGTGTTCCTGCCCAGAGAACCAAAGAGGCCATTGTGTGAACCTGTGATGGTGGTGATCCCCAGTTGTTGGAGATGCCAAAGTCATAGGATACCCGCCAAGGAAAAGCTTCATAGTGGATGTGGAACCAGCCCAAGGAGGAGAAGTGTGTGGCAGTCAGCAAAGCTAGGAGTTGGAGATGCAAAGAGCATTTTGACATCAGATATGCTGATGTAGAATTTCAAGTTTTCCCTGTTGGGTTTTAGCCTTACTTTGGTCCATTATTTCCTCACTATGCTCCCTTTTCTCCCTATTGGAATATCAATGTATATTCTGTGCCATTGTATGTTGGAAGTATTTGATCTGGTTTTTTTATTATTTTGATTTTACACGGAGTATAGTTAGATTGCTATGAGTTTCAAAGACTTTGAACTTTGGACTTTTAAACAGTATTGAGACTGTGATAGACTGAATGCATTTTTTTTGTGTTATGATATGGCTACAAGTCTACAGTGACCAGGTGATTTGAATAAGAATGGCCCCCCGTGGGTGCATATATTTGAATGCTTTGTCACCAGGGGTTGGCACTATTTGAGAAGGATAGGAGGTGTGGCCTTATTGGAGGAAGGTGGGGAGGGATTTGAGGTTCAAAAGCCCAAGCCAGACCCAGTGGCTCTCTCTTTTCCTCCTGTCTGTGGATCCAGATGTAGAACTCTCGGCTGCTTCTCCAGCACCATGTCTGCCTCCATGCTGCCATGCTCCCCACCATGGTGACAATGAACTAAACCTCTGAAACTGTAAGCAAGCCACAATTAAATGTTTTCCTTTATATTAATTGCCTTGGTCGTGGTATCTTTTCACAGCAATAGAACAGTGACTAAGACAGAGGAACAGGGACAAGTGGGGGGAGGGGAAGCATAATCAGAGGATTTTATGTGAGAAAAGAATCTATTTTCAATAAAAGGAGAAAAAAAGAAAAGATTTTTAAAAAAGATTCATACCACAGAGGAAAATTTTAAAACCTTTAAGAATCAGAACACTGGACCCGGTGGTAATCATTTCTGATCCTAGCACCCAGGAGAATGAGGTAGGAGATGCTTAAGTTCTAGGACAGCCTGGGCTACACAGCAAGACTCTTGTTTCCAAAAATCAAGAGCTGGGATGTGGCTAGTATCCCCAAAGCTGCGGGGTCCATCCTCAGAACTGGAAAAACTTGGAAATGCCCACAGGTGGAATGGTGAATGCCAACATCTCAAACCAAATCAGCTCCCTAAGAGGACTGAATTTTTATCATTTCATCTTGATCATCTAAAGATAAGGCCCATATTTCCTGAATCACTCTGAGTATAGTAGTTTTTTACTGTGTGGGTGCCACCTGCACAGAGATAACTGGTCCAGTCTGTGACTTCTACACAGGTGGGTGACTATACAGCCTCTCTTCTAGGCCTGTGCCATTGTCAGTGTTCCTTCTCCATACTGGCCACATTTCAAGTGCTTAGTGGCTGTGTGGCTGCGAGCATGCAGACTTGGAGCCTGGCCTTCACTTCAGACAGTGCTAGTGGCCAAGCTGCTAAATGAAAACAAAACACCAGTGAAGGCAAGTGGTGTCCATGTAGGTCACTGGAGCTGAGAGATAGGCACCTCTCTAACCATCGCCGTTAAACAGCTATCTGAAGAGAACATGACCGGCACCTGTGGCATATGCCCTACTTCCTCTCCCACCTGGTACAAATGACAAAACATGCAGCAGCACCCTACAGGTGCCAGTAGCACCCTGCTCCTAGCTATGATGACCAAAAATGCTTCCACCCTTACCAAGTCACTCCCATGGGACACAATTTCCCAGAAGAAATGTCCTGCTGCTATGTGAAGGAAGGAGAAACAAGCTCTTACAAGTGCCAGCTCTAAACAGACATCATGGTTGCCTGATCCTTGAGATACTCTTCTGGGGTTGCTGTCATATTCCCTTTATGGAAGGGAAGCTGAGCTTCCGATATGTTAAGTAATCACCCAAGGTTGTTGAGCTTTTACACTATAGAGCCAGCAGCCTACCCAGGCTGCTCACTCTCCCCAGCCCTCCACACACAACCCCCCTCCTTTAATGCAAGAGTTCACGCCCAAGCTCAGGATCTCCCAAAAGTCCCACTGGGGACCCACTGCTGTCTCCTACAGTGGTATAGACAACCTCAGGCCTAACCAAAAATAGAAGATGTTTACCAAACAGAATGGTGCGAGTTTTGGGATGGAAAATCTCAGGCTATGATTTCATGTTGAAAGCAGCTGGCCCTTAGTCCAGGCCATTCTGATTGACCACCACCTGCAGTTGCTGTAAGGTTGGGTTCATCTCTGCTTTCCTGGAACCACCAGTATCTGATATCTGCTCTCCCAATGACCTGTCACCTCACGACCAGAGCCCCTCTGTTAGCAAGATCCTATACCGAGCAGTTTGCACACATTGTCTTCTGCGACACTTTGTCTTGACAGGTGTGTGGATTGGTGCCATCTCAGAACAGAGCCTGCACCTCCACAAAATAGCTAGTGGAGGGTGCACACTCCTCCTGAATGAAAAGCCAGAAAAAATGTTTGGAAAGGGTTTGAAATTATTTTCTCTAAATAGAAAAAAAAAAGATTGTTTTCCCCATATCACTCTTTTTTAAATATTACATAATTTAATCTAAAATTTATCTTGAGATTGCATCAAAATACATGAGTATAAGAAATAGCTGTTCATTGTTTGCCAGAAGGTAGAAGCATAATTTCTAAAACATGAAAAATCTTACAAGTCAAAACAATATAGTCCTCAATCCACCACTGACCTGTATACGCTGGGTAGGCTATTTAACACGATTTTTCCTCAACAAAAAACAATAGTGACAATGAAAAACCCCTGCCCCAACACCATCCCAAGCTCATTGAGTGGAAGGACAGAAGCTTCTCATGAGAAGTGAATGATGGGACATGAAGAATATGTCACAAATGGTCCATGTGAACTGCATCCTTCTGTTCCCTCTACTGGATGCTTTGATGAGGAACTGTAGGAAAGCAGCCACTAGAGGGCCGCTCCTTATTTACCAAACGAAGCCACGACAGTTCTCACAGGTTTCCTTGTACTTTGGAGTCAAACACTCGTGTTGAAATCCTGCTCTACACTTGTAATCTGTGTGATGCTGCATGGTAGCTAACCTCCCTGGGCCTGCATTTATTTCTCTGAACAATTGAGAGATTCCTGGGGTGACAATGAGGAGGAAACGAGGGACACAGCAAGATCTCAGTCACCACAAGTGTCTCACAGGTGAACATTCTAAACACATTAGCTACCAGCAAGGAGTGGCATGATGGACAGCTGGATGGAGAAGACGCTGGGCTTCCAGGAAGCAGCCGCCAGCTTCGGTTCTGCCTCCTCCTCTGTTTGATATTTCTTCATTTTCTTTGGGGCTTTCTTCTTTGTCTCTGAATCTTTCCCTTTAACTTTAGAGCCAAAAGAAATAAATGTTAAGGAGGGATTTACCATGCTTCAATATGTGCGTTCACATATGACATAGAGATCAGGAAGATTCTGGAAGCTCCTAGAAATTGGGGGCTATCTTTTGTACTGCTGTCTCTTCCTCACTACCAGGGAGGTGGCTAGCTTAGGTGACACACTATCATTGGCTATTGGTAGGTATAGAGTGAAGGTGTTCCCAACCACTCTGAGACTGAGGTCACCATGGTGATGACACTAACTGTGCTCCAACTGCTTGAGTCACTCAGTCACAGAACGGTGCAGAGCTAAGTTCAAAACCCAGTTCCACCTTCTACAGGAGTGGGGAAGGGCTTCTAACCCCAGATACCTCATCTGTCTAAAAACAGCAGTGTGCTGGGAGGAGAACAGGAGCAAAAAGAAAAATACTCGGCTCAGCCAGGTCTGGTGGCTCCTGCTTTAACCCTAGCACTCGGGAGACAGAGGCAGGTGGACTTACAGAGGTGAGTTTGAAGTTGTCTCTGTCTACATAGTGAGTTCCAGGCCAGCCAGGGTTACATAGAGTTCTAGGCCAGCTAGAGCTGCATAACGAGACCTTCACTTTAAAAAAGTAGAAGTGTTTAGCTCAGGTTGGTCTCAGGCAATGGCACAGGCTGATAGCTTGGGGATCATGACAGCCAGTGGAAAAGTCTAGAAAGCCCAGGCTCAGATACACACATGGGAGATTTGATTGGAGCCAGAGGGAGCATTTCAAAACAGCAGGAAAGCAGGGGCTTTCAGCAAGAGGCAGAGACTGACCATTTTAAGCAGTGGAAATTGCAGGGCTATCCCATACCATCTCTGAAATGAACTCCAGAATAAACTTCAGAGCCTGCCTGAACTGGCATCATACAAAGAAAGGTTTCCCAGGTGTTAGCCATAGTATAAACTAGAAAGAGGTAGTGAAATAACTTCTACACAAAGCAAGATACCACAAGTGAAGTCAGAGGATGTCATAAACCTGTCTGGGAAGGTCATCTACCACTGACATCCACAATTAGCAGACAGTGTAAGGCAGATCATGTAAAGCTGGAACTGCACAAGTCTCTAAAATGCTGGACACCCATACTGGAAGCCAATGGTGTAGAGCCAATGTGGCTGAGCACTGGAATTGAGGAGAAGGGGAGACCCTCAGGACATCAGGACAGTGAAGCCCCACCTAGACAAGAACAATCAAAACCAGGTGCAGACAACTATCTTATCCACAAGTCTCCCAAGGAATAGGAACACAGTGGTCACTGCGATGGTGTCAAGGATAGAAAGCCATTTGGGAAATTCAAGTGTCTCTTGACAGAAGGGTAGTAGTATATCTATCTGACAGAGAGCTCTGCAATAGTCGGAATGAAGGTAGCCAGCGTCTTTACATATGTGGGCATGAGTAAACTTCAAATGAGTAAGCTGAAGGTGTTGGAGACCATTGAGCAATTTCCACACATCCCGGGAGTGGAGCACTATGTTATCTGAACGTGTGAGAGTAGATGGTTGAAGGAAGGAAACAAGAAAGGTATGTCCCTCAAAAAGCAGGATGCCATGAGCACGTATACTGTATCTGTTATCTTTTGTTCCTTAAAACATGAAAAAGAGGGGCTAGGGAGATGGCTCCATGGGTAAAAGATTTGACCCATATGCATGAGGACCTGAGTTCGAATCTACAGAACCCACATAAAGTCAGACACAGCAGCACACAGCTGTAGTTCCAGTGTTCCATGGAGAGATGGGAGAGACAGGGGGATCCCCAGGAGCTGGCCATCCTGGTGTATATGGCCACAAAGAGACCCCATCGAAAGTGGAAGTCAAGGACAGACTTCCAGGGTCAACCTTCTGACCTTGAAATGTATATTTTGAAATTCATGGAACCACTCGTGCATACATACACACACACACACACACACACACACACACACACACACACGAATGTGCAGGCACATATGCACACATACCACACACATAAGCATACATACATAGAAAAAAAAACAAGAAATAGTGAAATAAGGCAAAATATTAAATCCTAAATTGCGGCCCATAGTTGTTTTATTTTCTGTGAATTTTTTTCTGCCTTCATTCAAAATAAAAGGAATGGTTGGAAACCCCTCACTAAAATATTAAAAACACATTTTCTAGAGGAGAGAACCCTCTGGAGGACTTGAGAGGTATCCAAATGTGAGTGTGGAGACCACACCTCAGGGCCTCCAAAGTAGAAGAGAGACTTATGCTGCTGTGCCTCCAATACCTGGACGAGAGCAGGACTCAGTCCTTCTCTGTAGCCCTGGGAAATGACGGATGATTGGCACATGAGGAAATAAACACAGCAGCTGCCCAGGACTAAGGTGAAGCAACCCATCAAGAGAAGCCTCAATTCTCACTAGTCACTCACCCGATTTCCAAAAATTCAGTGAGAAAACCCAGGCTAAGAATGAGCAGGTAGATTGTTCAGTGTCTTGGGTTTCCTTTGCTCTGATAAAACACCACGACCAAAAGAAACTTAGGGAAGAAAGGGTTTGTACAGTTCACAGGTCATCATCAAGAGAAACCAAATCAAGAACTCAAGCTGACAGGAACCTGAAGCAGAGGCCATGGGGGAATTCCGCTTACTGGTTTGCTCACCTGGCTAGTTCAGTCTGCTTCCTTATACCATGGAGGACCACCAGCCCAGGTGTGGCACTGCCCCACATCAATCATTAATCAAGAAAATTCAAGCCAGATGGTGGTGGCGCACGCCCTTAATCCCAGCACTTGGGAGGCAGAGGCAGGCAGAGCTCTGTGAGTTGGAGACCAGCCCGGTCTACAAGACCTAGTTCCAGGTCAGCCTCCAAAGCCACGGAGAAACCCTGTCTCAAAAAGGAAGAAAGAAAGAACGAAAGAAAGAAAGAAAGAAAGAAAGAAAGAAAGAAAGAAAGAAGAAAATGCCATACAGGCTTGCCTACAGGCAAGCTGATGAAGGCGTGTTCCCAGTTGAGGTTCCTCTTCTCAGATGACTCTAGCTTGTGTCAAGTTAGAAAACAAACCAAACAAACAAGAAACCTCAACCAGGACAAATGGCTTCTGAGGGTTCTTATTGCTCCACAGGCAAAGATGTCATGCTTTGTATGAGACAGCCCATGACATAAGATGCTGTGCCCTTCATTTCCCCAAGAAGCAAACAATCCCTTGTCTATCATGGAGTTTTCCCATAACCCCAAAACCCAGAACCTACCCCCAAACATGGCACTACCACGCAGTGTTCCAACTGTTCATTGGGAAGTTCCCTTTAGAGAGCAGACATTTTCATAGTGCATGGACCAGGAATCCAAAACTATTGGTAGAGTGAAAAGGAACAAAATTCTGTGGGTGAGTGGATGGATGGACGGACAGACAAGCAAATGGATGGATGGATGGATGGATGGATGGATGGATGGATGGATGAGCAAATGAAAGTATATATAATACAGTATAGTATCTAATACTTAGTCAGATGTCAAAGAATCTGATTCAAATACCTTAAATTTAAATATTTCATAACTTTTCAAGTCTAATTCTGTTATGAAATGTCAAAATCCCATCATAACTTACTTTGAGACTTCTGTTTTTCTAGCAGGTTTGTTAAGCTGCTCAATGACGCTTTCTCGATGATTTCCTTGATCTCCATCATGGTTGTTCCAGTCAAAGAAATCGGTGTTTTTGTGGGGGTCCGTCTAGAAAATGCTCACAGAGACAGGACAGTGAAGAAAAGGCACACAGGTGCCATATTTTGAGAATCTGCTCATTGGATTTTACTTTCTTCTTAAAAAATATATGCATGTGAATGGCCTAGGGACTTTGTCAAATGTGGAGTATGCCTCAGAAGCCTGAGCAGCCTGGGATTCATTAGGTCTATCTATCTCTCTAGTAACGGAGATACAGTGGGCCACACTTGCATAACCAAGATTCAAACCAACTAGAAAACGTGAAGAAAAATAATATATTCCTAAAGTAGCTAAAACTATGAGACATCTAGGAACTTTCAAGAATTATCAACATCTATGATAAGTGAATATTAACTCCACTAAAATCTAGGAAGGAGGGTGCACATTAAGTAAAAGGATATGCCGTGATCACGGGTGCGGTTCAATATTCTCAAATTAATATGTAAATCCAATGAAAAACAATATTTAAAAGTCAAAATTATTAGCTAGACATGACTACGTGCACCTTTCTAGTCCCACACTCAAGAGGTTGAAGCAAGAGAATGGCTTGAGCTTGAGAATGTAAGCCTAGCAGAGCAGCAGAGAGACTGTTGCCAAAGAAGACCCAGCAGAGGACGCCAACACTACCTACTGAATGTGCTCCTGGCTCTCCTCATAGCACCCCAGACCCACAGATGTATTTCCATTCTCCACCCCTGCTTCCCCAGAACCAGCTTGGCTGTCTGAGGACCCAGCATGGTGACTTCCTGGAAGCCCTAGACGAGGCTACACAGACTGAGGCTGCCCCAGATTCCGGATTTCTGATTTTGTGAAACTCACTGGAGGCCCTCAATGCCTTGTGCAGAAAGTGGGGATTGACAGTCAAACCACCCAACATGGAGGGTCAGTCTCGGAAAAGCACTCCTGGCGAGGAGCGGGTGCCTGGCGCCCAACAGCAGCAGCTCCGTTTCCTTCCCTGGTCTTTCCCTTTCCCTGGATTGCTTCAGCTCCCCCTTAACCAAAACCAGCAAAAAAGTGTATAGTGACTCTGAGCAGGCCAGTAAGGAGGAGCCTTACTCCGACACCAAGTAAGCAGCGCTCCTTACCGAGGCACAGAAGGGTCCTCCATCTTGATGGACTTCTCACATTCCTCGCCGTTCTTAGCAATTTCAGCCTCTACTTGGTGAGAACCAAACATTACCAGGAATTTCCCAGCTCCACTCTGTGCTAGTTCCCAGCAAACGATGGCCCTGCTCATTTCAGTGGCACATCTGCTAGCAAAGGCCTAACACAGCGAGGGGCCTTCAGAAAGCAGGGTTTCTTAATGAATGAAGGACACACACCAGATTAATTCCAATTTTTGTGCAAAGGAAGGCCAGTGGAACCCTACCCACCAAGAAGGAGGAAGGTCTATGTCTGCTTCAGTACATTATCAATACATTGTGGTATGCTGAGAGCACTCCTGAGAGTCTCAACTTCCCAGCTATAAGGAATGAATGGTTAGCCAAATTACAATCCTTTTAGATAGAAATACTACATCATCACCACAATTGAACTTTATACAAAGCTGCTTGTGATAATACAGAAACCCTCTCAGAAGACAGATGCGCTGTGTGTCTCTTGGGTAAACCCATATGCTAAAAACAAAAACAAAATGAATCCTAGAACAGAGAAATCTGATGTAACAGAACAACCAAAATGTCCCACCAGCTGCAATTGGTGATGGGATCATAGATTATTTTCCCACCTTTTTACACTTTTCTATAGTGACTGCATTTTCTTAACTTCCAAAGCCCAAGATTGATTGTTGTATTTTGTTTTGTTTTGTTTACTTGTGAAACAAACACCCATTAAATCAGCTGCATGTTGGCTCATAGTTGCAATTCCAACATTTAGGAGGCTAAGACTTCAAATTCAAAGCCAGCCTGGCCTACTGGCCTACACAGCAAGTTCTAGGCCAAGTTAGTGACCCTGGCTCAAAAAATCAAAAGAGGGGCCGGGCAGTGGTGGCACACATCTTCAAACCTAGCACTCAGGAGACAGAGGCAGGCAGATCTCTGTGAGTTGGAGGCCAGCCTGGTCTACAGAGTGAGTGCCAGGAGAGCTAGGGCTGTTACACAGAGGAACCCTGTCTTGAAAAACAAAAACAACAAAAATCAAAAGAGGGAAAGAGAAGTGGGGAGAGAATGCAGGGCAGGGGAGGAGAATCAGTCATCAAAATTAAGCCAGCCAGGGACACGGGAATGAGGACTGGATGGGACATGGGATGCACGCTGGCCTGTCTCCTGGCCATGACTCCTCACCTTGTGAAGACTTTATGTGTTTTTCTTGGTCACCTGGTATATTCTCTTCCTTCAACTCCTCGGGGAAAATGTTGGGTTTTTCATTGGCAACTGTAGACAACCTTTTCTGACTTAAAACCAAAAACTTCACTTCCTCTGGAATGAGAAAATGGATCTGTCAAAAATGCCTACTGGACACTTACCACACCCTGTCTTCTGACACCTTTCGTGGACATACAGCAGAGGACAAGAGGATAATCTACGGCACTGCCATCAAATACTAGGAACTTAGTCACACATCTGTTGGGGCCAAGTGCTTGTACCTTAGCTCCCCCAAGCACCTGTGTGTGCTATCCCACAGATGTCTGCATGCCACTGCAAGGAAGGAGTTGCTATGTCCCTCATATATACATGAGGAACCTGATGCTTAAGTAACTTTTCCATATCAGGGTCCTTAGAACAGAGGTTCTCAACCTGTGGGTCATGACCATATCAGATATCCTGCTTATCAGATGTTCACATTATGATTCATTACAGTTTAGCAACAAGCCGGGCCTTAGTGGCACACACCTTTAGTCCCAGCACTTGGGAGGCAGAGGCAGGCGGATCTCTGTTGAGTTCGAGGCCAGCCTGGTATCCAGAGCAAGTGCCAAGACAACCTACAAAGCAATACAGAGAAACCCTGTCTCGAAAAACCAAAAAAAAAAGAGAGAGAGAGAGAGAAAGAGAGAGAGAGAGAGACGAAGAAGAAGAAGAAGAAGAAGAAGAAGAAGAAGAAAAAGAAGAAGAAGAAGCAAAATAATAGTGGGCCACCACAACACAGGGAACTGTCTTAAAGGGTCAAAAGATAATGAAGGTTGAGAACCACTGCCTTCGAACAACCAGGACCACAAGCACTCCTTGCTCCCAGCCAGGGAGTTACACCCCCAGGCCAGTCCCTCTGTCAGCATGGAGCCTCCCACTCCTGCTAGTGTCAAGCACTCCATGACTACATTGTGAATGTATAAGTGAATAAGGGAATAAGTGAAGGTCATGAAAACTTCAAGAAGTGAAAAAGAAGAAGTTAAATTTGACTCATTGTTGAAAGGCAGATAAAAATTTTTGGAGAAAGGTATAGGTCTGAGAGAGCCCCCCCTCCCCCCGCAAGATGTGGCCAGCTGCCAGAAGGAAGCCCTGTCTGGAGCCGAATGTCCTGAGTGAGGGAGTGAGTGCTCCAACAGAACAATGGAACCTGAGGGAGCAAGTCCTAAAAGGCCTTCAATGAAACACCAAGACTGATGGAGAGGCACTGGCCCTGGTAGCAGGAGAGAGAAGGATGTGAAGAGAGTGAGAATTGAAGCAGACAGCCATGGGACAGAGCTCCAGAAAACCTTAGTCAAGTAGGAATGAAGGCGGGGTTAAATGAGTTCATCAGACCCAAGATAAATGATAAATATGTGTTTATTAGGAAAAGACTTACACAGATAAGAGTAAATAAACACCATGGTCTGCCTGCTCCAGAAAATGCAGTCTCTGCTCCCCCGATGGGCATGCAACCCAAGAGAGAAAACCAGGCCCTCCTCTACCTTAATCAGATCACCTCTGCACCTAAAACCACGCCCAAAGGGTGTGGCCACTCCTACAAGTTCACTGGCAAAATAAGATGCCACCAAATAGGAAGCAGTGCTGGGAGAGGAGGCTCAAGAATAGATAGCATAGGAGAGGCTCCCATAACATCTGTGGATTTGAAGGATGATGCTGTTTTCACCCAGCACTGCACGTCCAAGGAGCTGAGCATGAGGAAGCACAAAGGCTAGCTCTGCTGCAGAGGTAGTAGGTCAGTGCACCCTACCACATGCACTGACCTTTAGTGCATGATCCGACAAACAAAGGTCCTCCCTCCTGCACTATAGAACAGACCTCGTAGGGTGTGTCTATACTCCCAAGGAGTAAGGTGTCTACTAGGTATCTTTAGGGGACAAAAGGCAGATCCACAAGGAAGCTATCATAATGACCATCTCTGGACAGACACTGTGCGATTTCAGTTTTTCCTCCTTTTTCCTAGACATTCCTAACTGGTTTTTATATTCTGTTCCTTTAATGGAAAAAAAAAATTTATTTAAAACAAGAGGCTTGGACACAAAGCTTGGGACAGAGCTCAGGGGAAAGCTCTTGCTGTGGCTCCAAGCACCCTAGGCAGAGACTATGGGCCCTCCCTACAGGGTCCAGACCTCTTTCTTCTGGCCCACTGGATTCCGAGGCCCTTTCACCAGGCCATGCTGAAGCCCCTGCCCCAACACCTGCTGTAATGGTAGGCAGACATGGACCAGAAATTCTGCTCAGGCCAGGCCCTGGAACCAACAGAGGACATCTGCTGCAGGTAGCCAGTAGCCTAGCCTACATCCTGAGAACAAAAATAAATCTCTCTTGTCTGAATGACAAAAGCTATATATTGGTCCCATTTTCCCATAGAAACTCTATGGTATGAGTTTAGATTTGTATCAGTGGTTCTCAGTGAGTGGTGACTTGAACCCACTGAAGACACCTGGCAATGTGCGAAGGGATTCTTGAGCCTAGGATACTGCATGCTTTCATCCACAGGAAAGCCCATGGCCAGAAAGCACCTGGCCCAAATGCTCAGAGTACACATTACAAGTTCCCAAGCCTGAGGTGTCAAAATGGCCCTCAAGAAGGCAACCTGGGAAGCCAAAGTCTCCCAGTTACCCAAAACCAATATGTGATTCTGCCACTCCCACTTCCATTCAAGGGTGGTCTCAATCCACTCTCAAGTGGGATGACTATACTTATCTGAAAGCCAACAACAAAAACAGCACGTACCCCCACAGATTCTCTTTACACTCTCTGAGAGTCAGAGAGAGTCACGGGATTCTTACCCAGCGTCCACGCCTTCCCAGCTCCATTCTAGTCTTTACGTTCTCCACGGATAACAAATATTCTCTCTCGTTGTGCGAGTCTTAGGAGGCCACTCTCACCATCCTGCCTGTAGCACACTAGTGTCATGGCCACATGGTCTTTTCTCCTTTTTTTAGAGGTGAGAGGGATGTTCAAGAACCACCTATAGCTGGATGATGATGGCACACACCTTTAATCCAAGCACTTGAGAGGCAGAGGTAGGTGAATCTTTGTGAGTTCGAGGCCAGCCTGATCTGAAGAATGAGTTTTAGGATAGTCGTGGCTACACAGGGAAACCCTATGTCTTAGTTGGGGTTTCTATTGCTGTGAAGAGACACCATGACCGTGGCAGCTCTTCCAAAGAAAGACATTTAATTGGGTGGCTTACACTTTCAGAGGTTTAGTCCATTATCACCATGGTGGGACATGGAGGCATGCAGGCAGACATGGTGCTGGAGAAGGAGCTGAGAGTAGAGGAGGTATATCTTGATCCCACAGGCAAAAGAAGTGTTCTGAGACACTGGGCAAGGTTTGAGCATATATATATATGAACTCAAAGCCTGTCTCCACAGTGACACACTTCTCCCAACAAGGCCAAACCTACTCCAACAATGCCACACCTCTTAATAGTGCCACTCCCTGTGAGCTTATGGGGGTAATACATTCAAACTACCACATCCTGTGTCAGAAAAAAAAAAAAAAAAAAAAAAAGAGCCTGCCTGCCTATAGTCAACAGCTAGGATAAGGAGGAGATGGGACAGGATGGCTATGACATCACAGCATCTGTCTCTCTGTCCCTCTCTCCTTGCTGTTTGAGGGAGGTTCAGAAGAATCTGACACTGGTGTGGTGTGACACATAGCCCTGTAATCCCAGCACTAGTGAGGCTGTAACACAAGGATCAAAAGTTCCAGGCCAGCCTGGGCAACTTAGTAATATCCAATCCCAAGGTAAACTTGGGTTAAAAAAAAAAAAAAAGGTCCAGGTGATAGCTCAGAAGTAGAGCATTTGCCTAGCATGTACAAGACCCTGGATTCCACTCCCAGCACTACTACAACAACAACCCCCCCCCCAAAATGGGCTACATAGAGATGACAGCATGTTGTTCTGAAGAGGTCGCATTTGTGCATTTGTGTTTGGAGGGGGTGAGAATGCATGCAGAAGCCAGAAGTTGAAGTTTAGTATCTTCTTCAATACCATTCTACCTTAGTTTTTGAGACAGTCTTTCACTAGACCTGAAACTCACCAATTTGGCTAGGCTGGTGGTCACAAGTTCCAGGAACCCTTATCTCTACCTCCTCAAAACTATGGTTACAGGTGCATGCCACCACACCTATCTTCTTCCTGTGAGGTTTAGAAGGTCAGAGTTGGGTCTTCATATTTCCGTGGCAGGCACTTTACCAATTGAGCACCACTCCAGCTGGAGGAGGTGGAATTCTTAACAGTCTATTTCTTTTCCTGGAACTCGAGACAGAATCCGGAAACTCATACATGCAACACACACCCATTACCACTAAGCTGTACACACAAGCAAAATCCTTCTTTTGTTTCTTGGTATCCCTCTTTAACTTGGCATAAACATGCACTGTCAGTTTGGGGAGACAGGCTAGGGATGGGAACTCACCTCAGAGCTGCTCTGGAACAAAAGGTCACCAAAGTGAAGGAGGTACATAGACACTGCCCAAGTACACAGACACACCATGGCTCCCAAGTGTGTCCTGGGTGGATGGCACACCCAAGACAGAAAGCAGTGTAGGCACCAGGTTAATCAGATGGGAGCACAGAGGAGCACTGGCTTTTACTCTGATGTTACAGAGTTAAAATCCCCTATGTTAAATAGGGGATTTTATTTAGTACATTTCAGATTTAGTACATACTCATGTACAAATGAAGGTTCTTAGGGAAGAAACCCTACTCTAAACAGGAGGTCCTTTCGTGCTGTGTGAACTCTCCCATCATCGTCCGGAAGAGCACTACAAGGTACTTTGATGAGCCTTTGTTTTGACCACGATCTGTCATGTGACTTCAGCTGTGGGATTTTCCACTTGAGCTATAGTGTCAGTGTTCAAAAAGTATCAAACTTGCCAGGCAGTAGTTGTGGCCCACACCTTTAATCCCAGCACTCAGAAGGCCGAGGCAGATGGATCTCTGTGAGTTCGAGGCCAGCCTGGTCTACAGAGCACATTCCAGGACAGGCTCCAAAGCTACACAAAGAAACCCTGTCTCGAAAAAAACCAAAAAGAAAAAAAGTATCAAACTTGGTATCATTTCAGACTTTACATTTCTGGACTAAGTATGTCCAACCTGTAGTGAGAAAACATAAGTTAAACTGTCAGAAGCACATAGAATACAATCAAAACACCTGACTTACCGAAAGATTCTGGGTCTTCCAGGAAAGTAGCTGTCTTCAGCCGATGGTACCTGACTTTTTTAGAAACTTTGTCCCTGGTGTCCCAGAGCTTCAAAGTGATTTTGTGGAAATTTATTTTCTTCAATAATTCCTTCGTCATGTTGACATTAAAAGTTTGGCTCCATGACACCCAGATTTTGTCGTCTTCTCGCCATGGCTTCACAGTCTATATAAACACCGTTCAGAGACTGGGAAATGAAGGACCAACCCACAGCCTACCCCCAGAAGCAACATAGCAAGCACCCTCTACCTCGATGGCTTATGTGTCTGCTTATAACTCTAAATCCCAGGGAAGTGGGTTCCTCTGTACTGGACCCTGTCAGGGTGACCATTTCCTTGAAAACTAAAATCTAAGCAAACGCATGCATAGTGTCCCTGGTGATAACTTCCCAGCAATGGCTCAGAGCCAAGCCATTGCAGGAATTTCAATATGTGAACGCATGTTGGAATAGTCCTCCAACATGAACGTTCACACACACACACATACACACACACACACACACACACACACACACACACACACACACACTGTGTACACATGCTAAGAAAGAACCATCAGGGCTTACAGTGAATGCTCAGCACTTGAAAAATAAACAAAACAAAACAAAAACCTTGTTTGATGAAACATTCAAGAAGCTACAGGGTAAAGAAATCTAAAGAAGAAGCCGTGTAATTGTATCTGCAGGTCCAATCGACATCTCACTCACCCAGGATCCCATATATCTAGAATGTTCCACCCTTGTGTCAGCTGTAGGTCAGTGGGGCACCTTTTGCATCCTCAGTGTGACACTCCATGTAAAGACACACACACACCACCCACCTTTATTCCTGACTCCAGAAACACTTTGGCCACACCAGGAAACAACACAACATCAACTTTTTTGGGTTCTACATCATCGGGCAGGAAAAAATATTCAATGTGGTAGAATTGACGAGTCTTTGCTGCCCGGTTGTCTGGTTTAGGGGTTTTCTTTTTATCACTGAGATTTGAAGCTTTTCCCTTTTGACCTAGAAGACACAATTGTTTTCAATCATGTTTATTTTATGTGCATTGGTATTTTGACTGCATGTACATCTGTGTGAGGGTGTCAGGTCTTGCAGTTAGACAGTTGTGAGCAGCCATGTAGGTGCTGGGATTGAACCCAGGTCCTTTGGAAGAGCAGACAGTCCTCTTAACCACTGAGCCATTTCTCCAGCCCCCTAGAAGACACAAATTTAATGAACCTTGCTCTAACCCTTTGGGAAAGAAGATCTAGGCCCACAGCTCCCCAAAGGCTAGAAACATTGCTGTAGTTTGTGAATGTCTCTAATAGGCCCTGTGTTCCTAGTCAGTGCCATTACCAAAAGTAGTAGAAACTAAGAGTTGGACTTCATAAGAGGAGACTAGTCAGGGGAGTACATCCCCAGAGGTGATACTGGGTTACCAGCATCTACTCCCTCTGTCTGTCTTTGCCCCACCCCACCGCCACCCTGGCTGTTTTCTCCCCAGGCACTTCCACCATAACGTCCTGCTTGGTGACAGGCCCCAAGTAACCATAATCCAAGTCATCAAGGTCTGAAACTGTGATCTGGAACAGCCCTCCCCTCCTTACAAGTTGAGTGTCTCTGATATTTTTCTCTTTTTTTAAGATTTTATTTATTATGTATATAGTCTTGTGCCTGCATGCCAGCAGAGGGTATCAGATCTAATTCAAGGTGGTTGTGAGCCACCATGTGGTTGCTGGGAATTGAACTCAGGGCCTCTGGAAGAACAGTCAGTGCTCTTAACCACTGAGCCCCCTCTGGTATTTTTCTGTGACAAAGTTGACTAACCCAGAGAGTATATTGCTGGGGGAGAGGGGGGGCTATGGACGGCCATATTCTTATCCATCAGCTTGAAGAGAAGATTCAGACCCAGTTCAGCAGAAGACAGCCTGTGACTAAATACCATGCATACAAAGTTGAAGGGCACGGCTCTGGGAGTAGCCTCTCCTTAAGACTTTGTGTTAGCCACCTGGCCCATCTCACCCCAGGCCCAGCCCTAAGAATCAAGTCAAAATCAGACCTCAAAATCTCAGGACAATGTGGTAGGAACATGAACAAAGTCCTGGGAACAGCAGGACCTCTTAGCAGAATCTGGTAGGAGCCAAGATGGCAGACATCCAGACAGAGGAAGCAGCCTAGCAAAAACTTCTTAAGTGATGTCATCTATGTCAAGTAGACAGGCTGATGAGATACAGAAGTGAGGCTGGGCTCAGCCAACAGAGCCAGAACCCAAGGGACCACCAGAGTCAGCCAGAGCTTAAAAGAACCTTTTAAGTTGGGTCTTTTCCTACCACAAGATGGCGCTTAGGAACCCCACATACACTTGAGAATGTTTTGTTCAAGTTGGTTTTGTTTTGAGACAAGATCTCAGCAAGTTCCCAGGCTGGTCTCAGGTTCTTGGACTCAAATGACCCTTCTGCCTCCAAGGGCTTTCAGTATGAACCCGGTTTTCCATAAATATCAATCCAAATATCATTATCTTTAGAACACAAAATAAAAACTAATGAGAACAAAAAAAATTTAAATATGATAGCCTCTACCTCCACTATCTCTTCGAGACAGGGTATCACTATGTTGTCTTGGCTGGGCCTGGAACTCACCACATAGACCAGGCTAGCCTCGAACTCAGAGAGATCCACCACCTTCTACCTCCTGAGTGCTGGAACTAAAGGAGTATGCCATCACCTGTACCCTAAAGTATGACAACCCTTAAAGCTACTCTTTTTCCCTTTATTTTTTGTTTCTGGGTTCTGGGTTCTTGTTTGTTTCTCTTTTTCAATTTTTTCAGGTTTTTGTTTGTTTGGTTTTGGCTGGTTTTGTCTTGTTTTGCAGCACTGAGAAAAGGTCTAGCATGATCAAGGTCAAAGTCCAGACCTTGAACATGCTAGACACACTACCACTGTTCCTGCAACAGCCAAAGAGGCAGTTCTGTGACTCTGGGTCTTCAACCCCAGGCAGCAGCTACTGCTTCAAGCCTGTGCTGACACAGTAGTTAGTATTAGGCAGTTTGGAAGAGAGCTCCTGACATTGGGACTTGCATACATGATGGGCTGTACCCTTGAACCGAGTCAGGGGGAAAAAAAAAGTAGCTTTTGTCAGGGCATGATATCACAACAACAGAAAAAGAAAGTATGACAAAGGAGGAAGTAATGAATCTAGAAATGTTTTCCAGCTAGAAGTATGTCAAGGGTTTTGTAAAGTTCTGAAGATGAGTTCTGCAAATCCCCTTGAGTGAAAATGATAATATAAGAACAGCATGTCTACAGTGTGCTGCAGGGACATGCAGGCCAAAGGTTGGTCAGCTGAGCACCAGTTTTCATTTGGCTGGTTTCAGCCAGATAACTTTTCCAGTTCTTTTGTTTGATACCAATAGGCCCAAGATTTAGAAGAAAAGCACCTGTGGAAAGAGGAGGTCCCCACACAATGACAATGGGTTTGACTCACCAAGCAGATAGCACAATTATAAACAAGTCAAATACCTAACAAGACAGAACTGCAAGGAGAAGAGTCAATCAAACAGGGTATTTAAGAGGAGGAGGAAGGGGTGAAGAATCACAAGCTAAAGCACTGTTTTCTGTCCCCAACTGAACCATGTGACTTGCTCTAGCAGGAAAGATAATAGGAGGAGGTAACCTGAGACTTGAAGAACTGTGGTCTGTGTATTGGTTGCTAACCTGTGAGATGCCGGCAAAACAGCTTAGGGCAGTAAGTCCTTTTCTTGGCTTCCAGTTCCAGAGGATGCCATCCACCTTGACGGGAAGCTATGACCACAGGAGCATGAGGCATCCACAGTCAGAGATGGACGCTGGTGCTCAGCGTACTTTCTCCTTTGTATTCACTTCCAGACTTGGTCCCACAGAACAGGGCTGCCCACATTTAGAGTTGGCCTAGATAACCCTTCACAGACATAGCCAACTGTTTGTTTCCATGATGACTCTAAATCCCATCAAGTTGATAATCAAGATAAATCAACACAGGCTAGGTTTGCCCTGTTTGCACAGGCCTGTCCATAGGAAGCCAAGTGTCTAGACTAGCCCATCAAGCAAGAAGTAAAACTAAAGATATATGGAACAGAGGAAGGAAGGCCACTTGTCCAGTGCTTAGCCTAGACTGGCACCCTGATAAGGAAAACAAGGGTTCCCATTTGCAACCAACAAGTGTGGGTCCCCTACTATCCTACTAAACTGATATACTTCTTGACTCCAGAGACTTTGGGCAATGAATCTGGGATGTGTTTCAAGAAAGGCATTGGGTAACAGACAAACCATTTACGGGAACCAAGTCTTTGTTTTGTTTCTTTTTTTTAAGGTTTTATTTATTATGTATACAGTCTTCTGCCTGCATGCCAGCAGAGGGCATCATATCTCATTCAAGTTGGTTGTGAGCCACCATGTGTTTGCTGGGAACTGAACTCAGGACCTCTGGAAGAACAGTCAGTGCTCTTAACCACTGAGCCATCTCTCCAGCCATGTTTCTGTATTTTTGAGACAGGGTTTCACTGTGTAGCCCTGGATGTCCTGGAATTCACTCTGTAGACCAGGCTGGCCTGGAACTCACAGAGATCCACCTGCCTCTGCCTCCCAAGTGCTGGGATTAAAGGTGTGCACCACTACCGCAGGTGGGAGCCAAGTCTTAACTTCTGCAAAATTGTTCAGCTAAGGGAAAGAGGAGGAGGGATGATGGAGGAAGGGAGAGGTAGAGGAGAGAGAAGAGGGAGGGGTAAAGGGAGGGAGAGGGGAGAGGAGGCTGGGGCAGGAAAGAATATGAATATGACCTGCTTCTTAGGGCCCCTGAGTGTACTGAGTGAGCACTTTCATGCCTAGCCAATAGCTGGGCCCCCTGAATTTTCTGTTCTTTTTCTGACATCTGCCTCAGTTGGTGCCAGCCTCTCTATCACGGGAGGGGACTTGGTGGAGAAGAAGCCAGTAGTGTCCTGCCTTGTGCAGAAGTTCAATAAAGCTGTGCTTTAGCACCTACCCGATTGCACGGGGAAGGCCAGTGAAATAACGAATCTGCAGGGGACAACCTGGGGCACATCAGTGTTAAAGGAACAGGGAGGCCCCTCCGAGGATTCCAAGCTGCTGAACTGGTCCTCCGAGTCCCACTCCTGGGCTGGGGTCCTGGATTTCGGGTACTCATCTGTCTCATACTCGCTTGCTGACTGGTAAGCACTAGCCATGGAGGAGGCAGGCTCCATGCTTGCTCTTCCGTCTTCCTCCCATTCCCAGGCCTTCAGGGACATGTTACACAGCACCAGAACAGTCCTGGTGGGAGACAAAAAGACCCCAGGAGTAAACCTGCCGGGTGCAGGAAGGCCCACCCTCTCAGTTCCTTCTCTGTCTTATTTCCAATGTCCCAGGCTTCAGTGGAGGCCTGCTACACAGTGAGCGCTCCACAACTAGGGAGAATGAATGGGTGAAGGAACCAGAGAGTGGCAGTTGGCAGTGGCGATGTTTCTCCGACCTCAGTCCAGCTATCCCTCTCTCAGAAATCAGGAGTGGGCCAGTGGTTGCTCTTGGCATAGGACCCAGGTGAATCTAATTGACCACTGGACCAGGAGGCAGTGAAAGATGAGAGATCTGACTCCTCTCAAGAGGCTGAGGCTGAGTCCTGGATGTGACTTCAGCGCAGAACAGGCAGCTGCCACTTGCAGAAAGGGAAACTGAGTCGACCCAGTACACGCTGGACCCTAGCAAGATGACCTGAGGGGAGATACAAAGAGCTCTGGCTTGGACATCACTCAGATTTCAAGCTGTGGAACCCTGGCTGTCAGGAAGTCAGTGCCTGGGGGACCGGGAACGTCTGAGGTGAAATAGAGGCTGAACCCAAGCTCAAGGGTTACCTGTGAATAGGGCTCCTGCACCTGCTGCACAGTTGCAGCCACTCTGATCAGGGAAGCAGGGCACGAGCCGCTTAAGGGTAGCAGAGCCCAAAGGGACTTTGTTAGGCGGTTGCCAGGAGACCTCAGCCCACGTTGGGGGCGGGGCTTCCTTCGTCCAGCTGAGTTCGGCTCCTGCCTGCAGGCTCTGGGAATCTTCTTTGAGGTTTTCATTCCCGGAGGAGTGTGAGCTTTTCAAGCAGGAGCTCACTATGGGGGCAAGAGGGCGAGGAGCGGCTTCTCGCAACACGGTTTCTGTGCGGCCTTGGCGCACCAGCCAGTCATAAAGGTGAAAGGCAAATTCGGAAAGCTATCGCCTTCACCCATTATTAGTTCATTTACCCAATATTTTAAAAACTCTCGCTCTGAGCTCCATACCTGACTGCTGGATCCTCTCTATAGCTCCACCCACTCTCGTCTTCCACGTTTAAATAAAGCTAAAAGAAGTGATGGTCTGTCTCTACACACTCAGACCCCAAAATGCTCTCGTTAGATTTTCTGCTTCTGGGACTGGTATAGTGAAAATTCTGTTTCCGAGATGAGGATACAGACTTAGAAGGGTGAAGCATTCTACCCACGGCAAATGCATCACAGCACTGGCCTGAAATCTAGGCCACCAAAGCCTGCACTCCTCTACAAAGCCCACCCACACGGAAGCACCCCACCCGCTGCCCCTGACCCGGAAGACCACAGCACACCAAGTGGCCTGAGCCAGAGAGGAACAACCCACAGTGGACTGGCCAAATGGAACAGGGATGGACTTCGAGAGGAAACAAAAGTTAGGCAGGGTAATGAAAACAAGAGCGCCCATGCAGAAGAACTGGCATATAGAAGGCCTAGAGGGGTGAAGGCTCGTGACAAGCTCATAGAAAACTGAAGAACAGCAAGACGGCCTTTGGTGCCCAGCCCCAAAGTGCAGGCAGGCACTGCCACCACAATGGGCAGTGGGGGTGGGGGGTGCAGGGAGGGTGGGTAGGTATTCTAGTTGAGGGAGTGTTCCCACTCATCACCTGTTTAGTTTTAAAAGCTGGGGCTGGGGGAGGGAGGGGCACAAGGCTCCCACCACACACACTCATTGGGTTGCTAAGAAAAGTAAAGTTTGAAGGTGAACTATGACCTGCTTTGAGTCAAGGAGCAGAATTTCAGCCGAGTTGGAGCTGGAACCAAGTCCCAAGCCTCCCAGAACATACTTTTCTAGGTCATCAGATGAGATGGTACATTCCAGAATACTGAATGGATCTCTCCGGTTAAAGCAATACAAAACCTGAACCTGGAGAAAAACTGTAAGGGGTCCACACTGAAGGGCAGCAAGCCCCTTTTAAGAAAGTATTCCGGCCAGACGTTGGTAGCGCACACCTTTAATCCCAGCACTCGGGAGGCGGAGGCAGGTGGATCTCTGTGAGTTCGAGGCCAGCCTGGTCTCCAGAGCGAGTGGTAGGATAGGCCAGAGCTAGTTCCAGGACAGCCTCAAAAGCCACAGAGAAACCCTGTAAAAAAAAAAAAAAAAAAAAAAAAAAAAAAAAAAAGGAAGAAAGCCTATTCGCCTTGCGTATACCTCCAGCATCCCGGATATTGTACTCGGTGAACCAAGAGGTGCTGAAAATACACACGGAGGTGAAAGAACAAAAAGCTACTGAGGTCCATCAGCTCCTAAAGCTATCACACAGCAAGAGCAGTTCAACAGCACCACCCCTCAGGAGCAGACGTGGGATCCCGGCTCTGGGTTCCACCTGCCTCCTTTCGTATTTAATTTAAACAGCGATTTTTTTTTTTATTAAGTGTATGTCCCGTTAGGGTTTCTGATGCTGTGCCAAAACATCATAACCAAAAAGCAAGTTGAGGAGGAAAGGGTTTATTTGGCTTACACTTCACCATGGGCTGGACTCTCTCTCCCACATTGATCACTAATTGAGAAAATGTGTTCTAGCTGGATCTCATGGAGGCATTTCCTCAACTGTGCCTCCTTCCTTTCTGATGACTCTAACTTGTGTCAAGTTGACACACAAGACCAGCCAGTGTGGAACACAAACAAATTATATGCTACTGGTGCGGGAGCCTGAGGGACTCACATGTCCAAGAACCCATTTGCCCTTATAACAATGAGCCAACTGGTAAATTCAGCTCTGATTCAGAATTAAGCACCCTTTTCTTTTCATCCCAAGATACTTGTGAATAGCAACTAGTTGCTTAATTAAATAGTAGGGAGACTGAAGAAAATCAGGAACAAGTCTGAGTATCAAGATTTTATTGCCCACCCCAAATCCTACTTGAAGTCTGACCTTATTCCTTCACATTATCAGACATCAGCTCCTGACAAGTGGAGGTATCTCAGCAGTAAGGCACAGCCGAACTGAGCAAGTCCCTCGGTGTGTGTGTGTGTGTGTGTGGGTGTGTGTGTGTGTGTGTGGGTGTGTGAGAGAGAGAGAGAGAGGGGGGGGGGAGAGACACATGATCATGGTGGTCTAGCAACAGAGTTCGAAGTATCTTGGATCACATTACCTAGGAGAGCGGCGGTACTCCACAGGCTCAGGATGAGAGGCCATAGGTCTAAGCCAAAGAGCCAAAGCTAAATATACATCAGTGTTACCCAGAATGCATCAAAAATAATATTGTGCTGGACTGGGTGGCACAGGCCTGTCATCCCAGCTACTCAAGAGACTGAGGCAAGAGAATCACAAATTCAAGGCTACCTTGGGCCACAATATGTATTCAAGACCAGCCTGGGAAGTTTAGAGAGACTGTGTCTCAAAATAAAAAGTAAAAAGTAGATGTAGCTCAATGGTGATGAGCTTGCCCGGCATGTGCCAGGCTCTGGTTAAATTCCCAGCATAATAGTAATGCTAGCAACAACATGTTAATAAAATTCTGAGGTTTCACGCCAGGCCTTCAGGAATAATTCTCCAGGAATAGGGCTTAAGGACCAGTGGCATTGTGTGTTCTGAAGAAATGCCACCTCTTAGGCATCCTCTCACGCACTCTTCTTCCTTTGTATGATCAATACTCCCTGCATCCAGTGGTCAGACAGACGTGAGACCCACATCAGCCAATAAAGTTCATAAAAAGCAATAACCATGTGACTTCTGAAGTCGGCTCCTACAAGCCTGTTGCTGTCTTGTCTGGGGCCTCATCTACAAATATAACCTCCAAACTGTCAGCAAGTACAGATGGACACACAAGGATCACACGGAGCTGTTCTGCCAGCTCCCACCCAACTGCCACTGACAGCCCCCAGGCCTATAAGCATACTGGCTGCCACTACGTAGAGCAGAAACAGTCTCCACCAAGCTCTCCCTACATCGAAGATTCATGAGCAAATTGCTGTCCTCCTAATTTACAAAATGCTAACTTTACCCTTTCAAAGTGTCCTGACAGATGTGTTGTGAGTCCCACCACAAAGCAGTTCTATCAACCCCTCAAAAATTCTTTCCTGCCACAATACAAGGACTAATCTAGAATAAATACATCATAAATACGCTGTGGGTTAGGTGGTGGCAGGATTTTGGGTGACTTTTGTTTCTGTATGTATTTCTAGACTTTGTAATGACACTTTGAACAGTACACTATTGGAAGCAGCTCAAACAATACTGAAGTGACTTCAAAAGTAACGTCTTTGCCAGGACTTCAACTCTCCCCCACAGACATCCCACCCCCCAGCACATACAAAGGAACCACAAACCTCCTGAGTTTGCACGCTTTGAACCTCCAACAAAAGCCTTCTGGATCCAAGTGGGATTGTTTCAGGGGTGCCTAGTAACACAGCCCACAGACAGACAGGCCTAACAGCACGCCATTATAACAAATCTCCCCCACCCCCCCCCCCCCCCCCCCCCAAGCCACGGGAGGCTGAGCAGCAGCTCTATGGGAAGACACTGAAAAGCTTTGTTTTCCATACTGACTGGCCCAGGAAAGCTACAGTTTAAAGGAGTCCTTCAGCAAAGCAGTTACCAGCATGGGACTGGGAATGGTGTATGTGGCATCTTAGGCTGAGCTCTCAGCCTTCAAAACTGCCATGAAATAAAACCAGACTCATCTGCAAAGATAGGACTCCAACACAGCCCAGACACTTGCTTTAAATGCCCACATTAAGCTCCAGGGCCAGGACTTCATGGTCCAGCAGGAGGTACCTTCCACTGCCAACACCTGGAGCCTTAGGGGCTCCAACATCACTGGGCTAGAAAACATTCAAACCCCACTGAAGCCTGCTAGAGGCAGTTTTCCCTTTTGAAGCTGGGAGTTCATATTCACAAACGTTATGCTCCCGCAAAGCAAAACAATAAGTACTACTTTGTGAAGATCACTGGAGCACCAGGTCGCCAGCCCTGTGTGACTCAGGCCATGTATAAGACTCAAAGATGATGTGGTATAAAGGTTGCTTTAAAACTCACACACTGATAAAAGACATATCATCTGTGAACAACAACAAAACAAAGCTCAGGAAAAGCAACATGGCACAATGCCATTTGCTGTGGCAACCATGGGGAGACAGCTAAAACCATAAGTCTGTTTGTGCTAGTGTGTTAACACTATTCCAGGTGAGAAGATCAGGCAGCGCTCCTCCCACGAGGTCTGTTGTTTCATGCAGGAGGCAGATGATCCACTGAGGAAGGTGTAGAGCATGGGTAAGGGAAGTCTTCTGGTTCAGATCTGCAATGTTTGCCTAAGGTCTGTGTGTAAAAACCTTGGTCCCTAGGGTGCTGCTATTTGAAGGTGGTAAAAAGTTCAAGAGAGGGGCTGGAAAGATGGCCAGCGGTTAAGAGCACTGGCTGCTCTTCCAGAGGTCCTGGGTTTGTTTCCCAGCAACCACATGGTGGCTCAAAACCATCCATAATGAGATATGATGCCCTCTCCTGGCCTACATAAATAAATAAATAAATAAATAAATAAATAAATAAATAAATAAATCCCAAAAAAAAAGGTCAAGAGATGAGGCCCAGTAGCATGCCACTTGGGTTATATCCTTGAGGAGGACAGTCCCATGTCCCATCCTCTCCTTTTTCTTCCCACCCATGAAGTGTATGGCATTTTAGCTCCACCATGCATGCATGTATGCTAGCTACCACAGCCCCAAAGCAAACCATAAGCCAAAGTGAACCTCTGCTCTTACAAAGGAGGTACCTGTTACAGTGATGGGGAGCTGACTGACACAGGCCTGAAGAAAGAGGTTGGTGCCAGGAACTGTGGCAGACAGTGTGCAGGCTGATGTTCTCTGCATCACTCAACACACTGGAAATCACATAGTGTGCTGTCAGAGTCAGTGAAAATGGACAGGCCTCTTGAGAAAAGAGATGGGCCATTCGTCATGAAGATCTCAAACTGCCACAGGACCCAACTATCCTGGTTTGCTGTCTAATGCTACGATATATAATAAGACCAAAACCAACTTGGGGAAGAAAGAGTCTCTTTGCCTTACGGATGGTACCGCACTCCTGAGGGAGGCCAAGGCAGGATCAGAAGCAGAGGCCATGGAGAAATGGTGCTCACAAGCTTGTTCTACATGGCTTGCTCAGTTCACTTTCTTAAACAACACAGCACCACCTGCCCGGGGTGGTACCACAAACAGTGGGCCAGGCCCTCCCATATCAATCACTAATCAAGAGGAATGCCCCCACAGTCCAATCTGATGGAGGCAATTCCTCAGTCGACACTCCCCCTTCCTAGATGATCCCAGCCCTGTCAAGTTGACACAGCAACCAACCCACTCTACGGTATATGCCCAAAAGAGAGTAAATTATATGGATTCATACAAAAAAAATTCATAGCAGGATCAGTGACAACAGTCAAACCCCAGCACCTGTTAGCTGATGAATGAATACAGCAAGTGTGGTCTACTGACTCAGTAGAGTATCACTCAGAACTAAAAGAGAATTAGAGCACCAGTAGATGCTACAACACAAATAAATATGCTAATATGTCTCCTAAAAAAAACAGGAGGGAGGATGGAGTGGGGGGCTGGGGTGTTGGGGGAGGGGAGGGAGAGGGAGAAGGGATTGACATGTGAAGCAAGCTTGTTCCTAATTTGAATATATATATATATATATATATATATGAATGTATGGAACTTCCCAGGATCTATTCTACTCTGGGAACAAAAACAAAAAACAAAGACCATGTCCATGGATAACCACCTTTAATTTTCCCCTTTTAGTCTTATGTGTTAGGGTGTTTTGCAAGTGTCTGTATACCATATGCTTGCAGTGCTCATAGTGACCAGAAGGGGACATTGGATGCTCTGGGATTGGAGTTAGAGACAGCTGTGAGCTTCCTTATGGGTGCTGAGAATTGAACCCAGGTCCTCTGGAAAAAAAAAAAAAAACCATCTCTCCACCTTGCCATCTCTCCAGCCCCAGAAGGCCACCTTCTGTATGATTCCAGATATGCGAATGTCTAGAAATAGACAAGTTATGGGTTCAGAAAATAGTAGTGCCAGTGGCAGAAAGATGAGAGCCAGAGAGTGAGTAGTACTGGGGTGTACTGGGGCGGGGGGATGTTGAAGTATTAGCTGTAGTTGTGGTTAGACAACTGTAACCTACTAAAAACTGTTGATGGGTATATCCCCCGTTTAAGCAAAAGAGCCAGTATGCCGAAAGCAAAAGGTTGGTAATCACCAGAAATAGCAACTAGATCTGTTTATAGCTGCACTACCTCCTACGCAGTTCCTTGCGTGCGTCCTTGCGTAGTATTTTGTGCAGTGTTGTTATAGCCACATAGGTATTAACATTCACAAAAACTGCTGCATGTTTGCTCATTCACCTTGTTTGACGGTCTGTCCTGGCTGGGGCACTGCTGAATATCAGCTTCTAGCCAGTGTAAGCAATAATATGGTGAATGGGCACGTTGGGTGTGTGGTTTTCTAAGGTAAAAGCCATTGAGATGTCTGATTCCTTTCCAGTTTCCGGTGGTTGGACAACGTGTTTAAGAACGAGTAGGACAAAGGACAAAGTGCTAGTCTTGGGGGCTCTCTGTGAAAGAGAAACGAAAATCCAGTTAGCACTCAAGAGGAAGCGGCCTGTCGTCCATCTCCCAGAATCCAGTTCCAGGGCACCAGAGAAACAGCCCTTTGCCTCATCCCAGCCCGCAAGAAGGAACTCAGGTCTAGCTAGCACCAAGTCACCTCCTGGAGCCCGAAGATGGAAGATGGAGACCCCCATTTTTCCTCTCACCAAAACCCTTACTTGGTCTACTTGCAAGTCTGTTTCCTCCTCTGTCCTAGTTAGATGGGGGAGGGTGAGTTTAGGAAACAGTCTGGGGACCAGGCCTCTCCATCCGGCAGGGACAGAGGACGCCAGGCAGGTTGCCGGGACAAGGACTGGGAAGTGTGGGCGAGCACCACTGCTGAGGACTCAAGCACTCCTGCCTCTGGAGGCTGGAGCTGAAAAGGCCTGGGAGAGCAAAAGAACTGATCCAAGGACTCGGTACAGCGATG